TCATATTAGGAATAATAATCACCCCATTGCTTGGGAAAAAAGCTTAGAAGTATTTAAATCATCTTGTGTCACAGAAAGACTTCTGGTTGAAGCTCGTCTGATTAAGGAATTAAAATCAATAAACCGTAGTGATGGTCAGTTCAAAACTGATAATATGTTACATAAATTTATTTGTCAGTGGCCCAAGGTTAAAAATGCTTTGAAAACCTTTGATCTAGATGTATGATAGTTATTTAGTGGGTCCCTTATTTTTGACCTGACCAGTCACGTCAACCCCCTTCTCTTAAGCTCCTCTACGTGTGTGTTGGTGTGGGGATAAGTGGATGACCTCATGATGACCTGACCTCATGTTTTTAAGGTCACCCTGTATATTTAAGCCTCTCTCTGTCCATGTAATCCAGTTGCCTCTGAAGATGTCTTAAATAAAGACGAAAGCTAAGGTGCTCCGTTGTTTCCCTTTTCCCCGTGTGATTTTATCAATATATATATATATATATATATATATATATATATATATATATATATATATATATATATATATATATATATATATATATATATAAATAATCAATGACCTCACCATGATTCGAACCCTCGACCTACTGGGTGGGACTAGGGAACGCTACCGACCAACCCACAAGGACACTAAAAGCAGTCCTAGGCTCTGTTATATTTCACACAAAGCCTGTTCATCGAGCTGATGGCGCCATGAACCTCATTGGGAACTGCCCGTGCCGCGTATGTGGTTTCAGTAGCATTTTACCGAATCCAGGCTTTGTGTGAAATATAACAGATCCTAGGACTGCTTTAGTGTCCTTGTGGGTTGGTCGGTAGCATTCCCTAGTCCCACCCAGTAGGTCGAGGGTTCGAATCCTGGCTGGTGAGGTCGTTGATTATATGTTCAAAGTCCGTATGTTATATGGACTAAAAAGGAAGTATATATATGGTACCTCGTGTTTCATACCAGCTGGATTCGGTAAAATGCTACTGACACCACATACGCGGCACGGGCAGTTCCCAATGAGGTTCACGGCGCCATCAGCTCGATGAACAGGCTTTGTGTGAAATATAACAGAGCCTAGGACTGCTTTTAGTGTCCTTGTGGGTTGGTCGGTAGCATTCCCTAGTCCCACCCAGTAGGTCGAGGGTTCGAATCCTGGCTGGTGAGGTTGTTGATTATATGTTCAAAGTCCGCATGTTATATGGACTAGAAATGAAATATATATATATATAAATGTATATATATATATATATATATATATATATATATATATATATATATATATATAAATGTATATATATATATATATATATAAATGTATATATATATATATATATATATATATATATATATATATATATATATATATATATATATATATATATATATATATATATATATCTTGATAAATCACACGGGAAAATGGAAACAGCAGTACCTTAGCTTTCGTCTTTATTCAAGACATCTTCAGGCAACTGGATTACATGGATTTACATGATATATATATATATATATATATATATATATATATATATATATATATATATATATATATATATATATATATATATATATATATATATATATATATATATATAAATACTGTATGTATGTATGCTGATTGGTTGCTTGGTCCCTTGCAACTGTTGATTCACCAGTTGCAGGGGAGAGTATCCACTACACACTCAGCTGAGGAAATCCCGTCAGTTTTGTCAGATCGTTATCCTGCATTGTAATCTTTCCCAGTTATAATATTGTACACCTTCCTTTCTCCCAAGATAAAGACACCAAGTTGCACTCTCTTACACTTTACTTTTTATCCTCTTCGCCACTGATCGGCTTGTTAGCCGCTTGGGCGATCGGTCACGTCTCTCTTCCTTTATATTCTTCACCAAAAGGTCGGCTCGCTAGCCGCCCGGGCGATCGGTCACGTCTCTGTCACGCACTGTTGGCAAATACTGGGCATGCACCGGCTCCTGAATGTACCTGAACCTGCTCCAGTGTTGGTCAAGTCTTCTCTTGTAAGAGCTCACACTCGGTGCCGTCATTGAATCTTGGCAACCATTTCTTTGATCATTCTTGAAGCTCGCACAGATCTTTCAGCAGCTCTTCATAGTCTGTTTGTTTCTAAATTTCCATAAATAACTTGGTATTGTCTGCAAACATTTGTATGGAGGAATGTATAGCTTCTGGCATGTCATCCGTCCCTCGTAGCGATCTTCAAAAGTGAAGTGCTTCCCCATCTGGAGTACTGTCACCCCGCCTGGTCCCCGAGATATACTAGGGGCTGTCAGTTGGTTGAAAATGTTCAAAGGAGGGCCACCAGACTGGTGCCTGCACTTCGGCACCTCAGCTACCCTGAGAGATTGGAGCGCCTGAACTTGCCTAGCTTATACTATAGATGGGCAAGGGGTGACCTAGTTGAGGTGTATAAGCATCTCAGGGGGCACTACTCAGTCGAGTGTCCTTACTTGGAGCTGGCAGACACTCGCCCCACAAGGGGTCACAGCTCAAGATTGAAGAAGCCGCAAGTCCAGAAAACTGTGAGGGCAAACTTTTTCAGAGTGAGGGTTGTGAACTCTTGGAGCAATCTACCAGAAAGTGTTGTGATGGCACCGAGTGTGAACTCTTTCAAGACAAGTCTTGACCAACACTGGAGCGGGTTCAGGAGCCGGTGCATGCCCAGTACTTGCCAACAGTGCGTGACAGAGACGTGACCGATCGCCCGTTGGGACATAAGAACATAAGAATGCAGGAAACTGCAGCGGGCCTATTGGCCCATACTGGGCAGTCCGATTTACACCCAGCCGCTATTGCTCATATAAGCATCCAACCTATGTTTGAAGCTATCCAGCGTATTCGAGTTAATGATGATATTTGGTAACTTGTTCCATTCATCCACTACTCTGTTTCCAAACCAGTGTTTACCAATTTCGCGCCTAAATCTAAATTTGTCTAATTTAAAACCATTGTTACGAGTTCGCTCCTGGTTGGATAGTTTGAGTACCTTTGTAATGTCCCCTTTGTTTAGCCCTGACTTCCATTTATACACCTCTATCAGGTCGCCCCTCGCTCTACGTCTCTCGAGGGAGTGCAGATTAAGACGCTTTAACCTGTTCTGTACTCAAGGTTCCTAATGCCCGGGATTAGTCTTGTCATTCACCTCTGGATTCTTTCCAAGGATTCTATATCCATTCTGTAATACGGTGACCAGAACTGCACTGCGTAATCCAGGTGAGGTCTCACAAGCGCAAGATATAATCTTAAGATGACCTCGCTAGTCTTGTAACTAACACTCCTTTGTATGAACCCAAGTACTTTATTAGCCTTGTTACGAGCAAAAACACATTGTTTACTTGGTTTAAGATTCCTACTTATCATTACTCCTAAATCTCTCTCGCAGTTGGATTTCTCAATGGCATTGTTGTTCATCTGGAAACTGGTTTCCCTGTTTACGTCTCCTATACCGAGTCCTTTACATATGATAAGCCTCCTTACCGTTGGTACGCCCCAAGTGCATCCTCTTACACTTTGTGACATTGAACCTCAGCATCCATTTCTTCGACCATTCTTGGAGTCCACAGAGGGCCTTTTGCAGCTCTTCACAGTCCGCTTGGTTCTTTACATGTCCCATGTACTGTATATACGTTCTTTAATTTTATTGTACTAATATATGCAGTGTATGATTTCTCATCACTATGAAACCCATTTAGTTTAAGTTAATGAGGCTTATTATTAAGAACCTGGGGAAGGTAATACGATTTCCTATAAGGATTACCCTGCATATAGATGTGACCACTAGTGGCAGGGGTGTTTCTCAATGCTATCACGATCAAGCCTCGCCTCTTATTTTGAGTAGTGGCAGAATCCTGATAAAGAGGAGTGATGGCATAACAGAATATATATGGTATTGTCGAAAGAAAAAATTGACTTCGAAAACTCAGTACAGTACTTACCAATTACACTTTCTAAATTAGATGATCTCCCGCCAATTACATTTCAGGATGCTATCATTCTGCCAAATTCTGAAGTAGATATGCTAGGCCTCATCATTTCCTCCAATATGTCATGGAAGTCACACATCCTCAACATTGCTAAAGCTGCCTCCTGAAAGTTGGGAATGCTGTACAGATACCGTAGCTACTTCACTCCTGAGCAGTTGCTTCAAGTATATAAGGGATTAATTCTTCCTAACTTGGATTACTGCTCTCATATCTGGCGTGGCTTTTCTTCTGTCCAACTGTTAGATAGGGTGGAATCAAAGGCATTTCGTCTTATTAACTCTCCTCCTATAATTGACAATCTTTCTTCCCTTTCTCTTCACTGCAATGTTGCTTCACTCTCTCTCTTTTACAAGTACTTTAACGGATAATGTTCGGTGGATTTGGCATCCTGTGTGCCGCCAGCAAGGCTGTGGGCTCGTAACACACGTCTTGCCTGCGGTGCCCACCACTTCTCTGTGGATGTCGGTCACACTAGAATAACCCGTTATAGTGCATCTTTCTTTCATGAACAGTGACATCACCCACATGAATCTGATCTATATATACTGTTAATGAAAATGATGTATTTCTTTGTGTATGAACCTTTGTTCTGCGTGGCAGTGAGAAGTGATACCACCCTCAGTGTCAAGACCTGAATTAATTTCTCGGAATAGGCAAACTGTACTCCATGCTTTGTCAATAAATTTGTTAAACTAAAAAAAAAATGCTCACACAGCCAAACTGTGGAATGCTCTGCCTTCTTCTGTGTTTCCATACTCATATAATGTCTCACTTTAAAAAGCTGGTTTTCCGGCATCTTCATGGTGTAGATTAATATAACCTTTTTACTTTTCTATTTTTAATTTCTTTCTACAGTACTGTATTCTTGCTTTCGCCCCCCCCTAGGCCCCGTTGTACGTCGTTGACCTGTGCCCGGGTGGGCTAATTCCCATAAAAAAAAAACTTGATCACATGAATTAACAATGTCTCACTAATCTTCCTTTTCTCGTTTACAGGCTGATAAGTGAGGTGCTGTCATCCCACTAGGAGCTGCTGGACTGCTTCACCATCATGACCCAGCTGCCTCCACTCCTCCACTTGGGGGTCTTCCTAATGATGCTGTCTCCAAGCATCTGTTTTAACTTGGAGACACGGGTGTTTAAACTGTTCACAGACCCGTACCTTAATGACAATGGTCGAGAGTCCTATTTTGGTTTCGCCATCGCCCTACAGCGAGGTCCTGACAACACAGCCTGGTAAGTTTTAGTTACAATAGTATGTACTGCACTTGCCTCTCGCAATGGCCACAAAATTTCATTCTTCTTGAACTACCAGAAAAAATCCTAGCGATAACAGAACCAATATCACGGACACAAAGCATAAACTACAGCCACCAACTTTGTTATGAATGCTTATGAAGTTAAAAAAATTATCAAATATTAGTATACAAATCTAACCGTTAAAAACTAAGGAACTCTTTCTCTCCTTTATAGGCACTTCAAATTTATGGCTGCATATTGTCTGCTGAATGCTTGCCTTTCCTGGCTAACCATGTAAAGTTGTGTTTTTTGCACAAGAGAGACTTATTCTAAGTACAGTAGAGGGGGGTCCTCTTTATAAGTGGTTAATAGGGACCAGAAAAAAGCCACTGCTAATGAAACCACTTATAAAGGGGAAGTAATTCCTATAAGAATTATTAGGAATAGGGTCTAATCAGGACTTATCACATTGTAAGCAGTACTCATAAAGTTTAATTTGTTGTTATATAAGGTGTGTATATATACACACCTTAGAAACATTTGATTACACATTATTTTATTAAATTATTTAACCTTACAACTTATTAAGTCGTTTGGGATCGGTGTGTTGATGTGGCTCAAGCTACCTAACCATGCACTCATGCTCTCATTTCAGTGAAAGTGGTTCTTTGAGACCTGCTCACCACTTTTCTTACGACATGTAACTTCTAATTTCACGTCCTAACCCACAGCTACTACGCCTCCTTTTAGCCACTACACCATCTTGCTTCGGCAACAAAAATAGTCCACCAATGTCACCAAAGACACAACAAAGTTGATAATTATAGTTCTTGGAGCCCTTCAAAATAATACCTGTGGACACAGGCAACTGGTACTGAACATGCATAGTGTGGGCGAGAAGAATGAACTTTAAGAGAATGGGAGGCGGGCAGGAATATCAGTAGCTCAAATGCTTGTGCTCCCAAAGATTGGTGGATTTCAGCCTTAGAATCCTCTTAACTGCAGGGACTTTTTACATGTAGGTCCACAATTATTGGACCACTTACGTGTGAAACCCTTTATAATGAAGACACTTATAATGAGGACCCCCTGTACAGCTTAATGCAGATAATGTCCAATGGTCACCCTTGTTTTCCCCTCTGCACACAAAACTGATGTTAGTCTCTCGGGACTAGGTTGATGGTCGGTGCCCCGCGAGCTAATTCCAGCAACTACAAGAATGAGAAAATTACAGAGCCAGGAGTCCTCTACAAGTGCAACCTCCAGACACTACACTGTCAAGAGCTCTTCATTGATCAAACAGGTATAATGTTTTGTTCTGTTGTTTTTGGTGCTAGAATATTCTAGTATTTTATGATATTATTAGGATGTCAGTTATCATACAAAGACTTGCATTCATGATAGTACAGTCAACCCTCACTTTAAGCGGTTAATATAACCCACAGGGTACCGCGGAAAGTGAGAAACGCGTAAAGTGAACAACATAACATATGGGATTAATTGAAATAGAGACCGGGCCGACCCCCAAACTCCACTTTTTGACGACACACAACCATGTTGTAGTAAAAATTTTATCTTAACTTTATGATGGTATGCACAAACAATTAATATAGAAGAGGTTAGGTTAGGAAAAATAAAGGTTAAGTTAGGAAAACTAAAGGTTAGGTTAGGAAAACTAAAAGTTAGGTTGAACACTTATGTTAGTAGAAGAGATGGGTCAGCATACGGGGATGGAGGCTGGTTCCGAGGCAGAGGGCAGGCTACTGGCCCTCAGGTGAGTCACCATCACTGTCATCCACACTTGTCAGGGCCTCCCTGACAAATCCCTCAAAGTCATCTTCACTGTCTCTACCTCTGTCACTATCACTGGCTTGGGCTGGCTGTGGTGGGTTGCGGGCGAAGAACTCTGTTATGCTTTGCTGACGGCTGGTGTTTATGTTGTCGTGATAAACCTTGAAGTACGGCTCCATAGTCTGCCACAGCTGGGTAGTGAAGATTTCATACCTGTTTGCGTCATGGTCGTCGGAAAGGAGGAGCTTGATTTTCTCGACACACTCGATGGCACCCCTAACATTACTATGGGATAAGCGGTGTTCTTCTTGGGATGACGCACCACCTGCCTCTTCACTGACGTCATCATCATCTACCATCTCGTCGGTAGTCACATCAGTATCCCTTATCACCTCCAGGATGTCGTCGTTGGTGGTCTCGGAGAAGCCTGCAGCTGTAACACTCTGCGCAGCTTCTCTGGCAAGGTCCACTGCTACTGCAACAGTCTGAACCTCACCAGTCACAGATTGACTCTGCCTTACGCCCGGAATGTCTTGCAACACATGTCTCCATGCGTGACGAACAGTTGCTACAGACAGCTGATCCCATGCCTCCACCAAGAAGTCCACAGTTTTCCTGATGTTAAATATTCTCCAGAATTGTTTGAAAAGTATTTTTTGCTCTGCCAACTCTTGATCCTCGTCTTCTTCGCTCTTGCTATCGGTGGTGGTGTTACTCAGGTTACGCAACTCTTCCCTGGTGTTGGTGTAGTCGTTCGGGAGCTTGAATTTTTTTGTTGAGAATGCAGCTTTTACATTACAGATTAACTCTTGGTCCATGGGCTGTAATATAGACGTAGTGTTGGGAGGAAGGAAGACCACTTTTACGTTGGGGTGACGATCTAACAGTAGGGGCAAGTGTCCTGGTGCGTTGTCCAGCAGCAACAAAATCTTGAATGGCACATTCTGCTGCTCACAGAATATCTTTTCATCGGGAACGAAACAGTCATCAAACCAAGAGAGGGACAGTGTAGAGAACATCCACGCCTTACGTGCGGTCAGCCAGTGGACATTTAGCTTGGTCATGTCCATGCTCTTGTAGGCGTGCGGCTTGCGGGCTGTGTGGATCACCGATAACTTGAGCTTACAGGTACCGGAGGCATTGGTGGTAAACAGGACGGTGATGCGCTCCTGCATCTCCCGGCCCCGAATCTTGCTGGCATTCTTCACAACGAAGGTCTTGGAAGGTAGCTTTTTCCAAAAAAGACCAGATTCGTCCATGTTAAACACCTGGTCGTCGGTGTACTGTCCTTCCTCCATAATGTCACGTAAAAATGGAGGAAATTCCCTAGCCGCAGCACGGTCAGCACTAGCTTCTTCACCACCAATGTTTATATTGGTGATCTTGTTCCGCATCTTAAATCTCTGTAATCACCCAGAGGAAGCATTAAAGGGTTTGGGCTCTGTAATTCCCATCTTTTGTGACACTGCAGCATACAGTTCACGTGCGTACTCCTTAACAGAGCTCGTGTTGACCGCTATGTTCCGTTGCGCCTGACGCACTAAGTAGCTCACAAGTAATTTTTCCGTCTTGAGAAGCACCTGGTTGTGAAAATACTTGATAATAGAAGCACCTGTAGACTTTGTGATCTTCATGTGCTCCTTTGTCTTGGCTGCATCCTTCTTTATCGTCCGGATCGTAGATTCGTTCACACCATGCTGGCATGCCAAATCAACCTGTCTTGTTCCTTTCTCTAACTCTTGGATGATCTTGTACTTCACCTCGTAGCTTAAGGAACGTCGTGTCTTCTTGGGCTTAGGGCGGCTGGGTCCAGGCAAGGAAAGGTTTCTTTTTGGGGGTGGTGGTCCGGCGGAAGCCATTTAACAGAACAATGGATGCACGATTACACGGTGTGGCCTGGAGGGATGAAACTGCCGCGGCTAGGTCAAGCGTCATCTTTCCTCCCTCCCTCCCTCCCCCGGGTGGACACGTCATATTACTTTAAACCAATTACAGCTAGCAGCGGAGGGAGGTAGGGATGCATGGCCAATCACAGTCCGATACGTCATATGACGTCAGTGATAACGCAACAGAGACATGCACTGCGGAACTTTACCGCGCGGCTTGGCCAGGCAGAGGCGGGTGGGGCGAATCTAAAAATAGTGTCGAGCCGGACACTCTCCGCGTAAAGGGGTACACGCACCGCGGAATGTGAGCATCCTGGGTTCCGGCAGGGTACCGCGTAAACGTGGAATGTGGGACCGCATAAAGTGAGGGTTGACTGTACACATTTAAAAAAATAAACTGAGTTTCCTATGTTTTATGAGTAAACTAGATGCAGAACAGAGTCTGACTGTTGAAAAAGAGACTGTTTAAGCAGAAAGAGTAAAATATTGGTGTTGGTAGAAATTGTTTAATTTTATTATTATCATTTCAGGGAATACTGTGTCTAATTACCCAAGCAGTTGGACCATTTATCAAGACCTGAAGAATGGTGGATGGCTGGGCGGCACCCTCGACGCACAGCCTACGTTTGATAGTGGACGGCAGGCCACTGGGGTGAAATGCTTTTTTTTTTATAACAATAAAAGCTTATCATGCAATATCAGTGCAGTAAACCCTCAAAGATCCGGACCCGGAAAATCCGGATTTCGGAAGATTCGGACAAAATATTGGAGGGTTCTGGGCTAAGAACCCTCCTAGAAGTTCTCTAAGTAACATTCCCAAACCAGAGCAAATAACATTTTAGACCCGTGGGCGCTGCTTGACCCGTCAGTTGCTTGGACACAGGTCCCCGAGGAGGTGGGAAACATAAACAGAATTGACAATTGTTGTTTGTGGGAATATTATTTCATTCACTCTAGTAATGATACAATGTTTCTTATTATGTTATCATAGGTAAATGCATGGTTTATATACGGTAATTTGTTTATCACTACATTGGTACTCTATTTTTAGTGTTTCTTATATCATTTATTATTTGCCGGAAAATCCTGACAATCGGCTTTTCCGGACAGGTGGTCCCCCCTTTTAGTCCGGATCTTCTAGGGTTCACTGTACAGTATACTCTTGATTTAACAGAATATGATATAACAAACACTCAATTTACCAGAAGGTTTTTTATTTTATTTTTTCACTCGATTTAGTGAACTAGTTCGCTAAATTGAGATTAATTCTGTTAATACGCTCACACCTACGGAGACACCTCAGACACATGATATGCACATAAAACCATTAAAAACATAATTCATGGTATACCTTAAACTAGGGGGTTTGGTGTTTGTTTACATTTTCTTTATTATTTCCCAAACTTTTTTCCAGTTGATAGCCGCACTCTTTTGACTTTCTCCCCCACACCGCTTCCTTTCTGAGACTTCTGAGAGACTAGCGTGATGTTTAAGTGCAGTAGTTAGTTGACTGAGAGGAAGAGCAACACATGCGGTGGTTTGCAGAACACAGATTGAGCGGATGTAAACAAACCCCACGCGCCAAGTGGTGCATTTGGCACAAAATTTAACCGAATCACGCTCGATTTAGTGAACTAGTTTACTAAATTGAGCAAAAATAATGGTGTATCTAAAAAAATTTAAATGTGATTATGTATCATTATGGGATCGCTCAAATTAATAATAATATTTAGCACAAGGTACAGAACATACAACATTAGATCAGTGTTTCACAACTAAAGTATATAACACCCTTCTTGCACCAACGAGATGGTACACCAGATGAATACGAAATTGAAAGTTGTGATTTAAACAGGTGTCTATACAGGTACTCCTCTACTTAAGAACGTTCAACTTACAAACTTTCAGAGATACAAACATCATCACTGAGGGAGGGTTACCTGCCAGAACAGGTGTTTAATGTGGATGAGACTGAATTATTTTGAAGAAAATTCCAGATAGAACAAGAATTACCTAAAAGGAGAAGAGTGAGCCAGGTTTTAAGGCTGTATTAAAGGGTATAGCTGTACTAATTATCCATAATATTTTCATTTTTTACAATATGTTTGGTATATACAAGAGTAAAGTTGGACTTGCAAACAATTGGACTAACAAACAAGCCTCAGGAACGTAACTCGTTCGTAAGTAGAGGAGCACCTGTACTGTATAATACCACCAACGAACTGGCTAAGAAAGTCGAGTTTCCAAACACATGTAATCTTAATTAAATTATTATTAGATGAGCTGTAAGACTTACTATTGCCACGTGTTAATGTAGGTGTGTGCGCCCCGGTGGATAAACCAGCATTTTATTCCCGACTACTTCATGAACGGTGCCTGCTACTGGCTCAATAATTCCTTGACTGAAGATGCTCATAAGAAGCTCCCACTCCTCAGTCTTAGTAAGTACTCCATCTATTGGACTGTGTGTGCATGTATGTCTACATATAACACATATGCATGAAGATTATGTTAACAAAGCATTTTTGATTGATAAATTAATTCAGAGGAAATATTACAGATATGAAAAAGAAGGAATAGGTCTACCTATATTTAGACATTTTTATTACCTTTGTGATGGTTTATAATTCAAACTACAGTATAACTGTGATGAAGATACAGTATATCACACAGTGCATGGTAAGATATATACACATCTGGGTCAGATCAGACAGATTACATGAACTTTGGCCATTTGTTGACCCAAACTTCACCAGAAAGTTGTAGCAAAATTTAATGAATGTGTGTGTGTGAGTGGGTGTGCGGGTTTGCATTGATTATCTGTAATATACATTCCCGCCTCTTGTTTCATCACTACAATGTGAGCATCATAATGTTTTTTAAAGCTTTCCACAGTTCCTGAAGTCATAAAAATTTTTAGAAAATTGCTCTAGGATTCTTTTATTGATTGACCGAGGTGTTCATTTATAGTGGCTGTGAGCGTGTTCTCTGAGGAGTGCAGACTTTGTGCAGGAGCAGAAGCTACATGGATTTTTACTTCTGCACTGCTGAGGTTGTGCAAGAGGTGGTTGGGATGTCCACCAGGGGCTCCATGAGGAGGTGTCTAAGTCCTTTTTCCATTCGTAATTTTCTGGAGGTGGCATCTTCAGAAGAGACATGTCACTTCTGGCCTAGATGAAGGCTGTTATTGGGCTTTGTTCAAATGGACAACCAGAGTATCTTGGATAGCTTCCATTAATTGGTTTTGTGCCTTTGTGTCAAGGCTTAAGTGTCAAGGACTCTTTAAAGCCTACGACTCAGCTGTGTTCCTACAGTAGCCCTCGTGTCTGGTGTGTTGGAAGGAGGAGGGATGATGCCACCTCCGCAATCTTTCACTTTTTTCTGACGAAGAAATTTACCCCTTGCTGGGATGACTTCCTTTATAATCACACCTAACTGAGATGTGTTAGTGATCATGCCCTTGTGGCAGACTAATATTATTTAAAAAATAACTTGGCTATCCTGCCGGTCTTGACCTCACTGGCACCCTCGTTCGCCCAGTGTTGCTGTCCAAGATAGTTTGGCTTTTTTGTTTTGTTTTTCCAGTTTTTCTCTATGAGTTGTTGGTATCTCTGTGCCATCATTTTGTGCACTGTATCTACCTGTGAATTGTGGATCGTATGCACAATCACAGTCTTTTAGAAAACACACAAAAAACTTTTTGTGGCAGTAATAATATGCTTTCTTGTTTTTTACAGGCATTCGTGCCTGTTGTTTGGCTCGATTTTTTTTCACTTCAGTTTATTTTCAATTTCAATCTCGGTTTTTGTTATCACAATGGACTGACCTAGCTAAAGGCACAGTACTACACTCTCTGATCATCCTTTGGATGGTCAGTTACAGCCATGGACAATCCTCAGTAAAATTTTCTGAAGTAAATCTTGGCATATGGCAGTGGTTTTATGGTTGTGTCCCAGCTGCTTATTGGTTATCTAGTATAAAGTGACAAGTTCTGTGAAGAAGACCTTGCATGCTTGTTGCTTTTGCATCATTTATTACCCATTTGTATTTCAAACTTTAAATCTGTAGTCTTTACAATGCTTAGGTTCTTCTCTTCATTGTTCATTCTTCGATCGTTGGAGGGATCCATAGATGACTTGCCATAGAATAGAATTTACCTCCGACATTGACAAGTTTGTTTTGGTTTGAGAGAAAATCTATAAATCACTGAAGGAGCAATTCTCTGATGCAATATGCGTACAATTTGTGGAAGAAAGTCTATGTAGAAATGCGTCAAAAGCTTATGTGCATTTGAAATTGATGGGAACAAAAGTGGACTCTGTCCCTTATATGCATCTAATCAGTAATGGTGGTCAGTAGCAGAAAGCTGTCAGTTATTGAGGATGTTATTTTATATAAAATGTTTGTGATTCTTTCTTTGATTAGGTCTTCACCATGATACATATGAAGCTGATAGATTGATAGCTTTGAAGAATTGTCTGTTTCTTTTTTTGAGTCAAATTTGCTATCTTCAGTGTGTCAGGGATTGTACAAGTGCTCACACACCCTGAGAATAATACATAAAGAGAATGGGTTAAAGAGCCTCCAAGTTCCTTTAGGATATACAGTATGAGGGAGGAAATACCATCAAGGCCTAAGGCTTTGTTTGCATTCAGTGTACTGTATGGAGTCATAAGCACAGTATACAGTAATTTGAAAATCACTGATAGTATGGGGAATATCTGTGGAAGCAAAAGGCTCATATGTACAGTTCTGGACAAAATTCCTTGAACACTTGGCAATATCTGGTATCTATTTCTGGGTCACATATATAATTGGCTTATACTTAATAACTTTGTTTTATCACTTATTAGGCCAGAGCCACAAAATTAAAAAAAAAATTAATACAATGAAAAATATGAGAAAATACATTAGATTTCCAATCCCCCTCAACTAATGATCCTCAAGCACAGTACATGAATTTCAGACACTGCCAAAGGTCCAGGGAATTTTGTCTATATCTGTTCTTAACCTAAACAATGTGGAATAAGTCATTGTGAAAGAGAACCTCCTCATCATTTCATTTATTTGTCAGTGCATATTCAATGATTTTCATGAAGATTTGTTAGGTGTAGTTGTGTACAGTATAATTTTTCTTTTTATGAACAGACAATGCTGTGTTCAAGATAGGCGTAAAAAGTCTGTATTTCTATGCACACGGAGAGGCAGGACTCTCTCTCCATTTCCCAGACAATCCAGCAGAGATGATCATTGGTGCTCCAGGTGTTTTTAACTGGCAAGGTAAGAAGTTCTGTCTGTTTCTAGCAAAGTTAACAGTCATTACAGTTTGTAAAAGTTGATTGGTAGCTGGTTTCTGAATGAATTGATCCACATTAGAAAATCCATTGAGCTATTTTATATTGGGTAATTATTTGGAACTTGACTGTTGCTAGTTTGGTGGACAATTTTGGTCTCATTTTGCTTAATATTTGCTCAATGATGATTTTTTTAAGTAGGTGGTGTACTTAATCCTTTATTTTACTGAAAATTAAACACATTATTTCCAAATTATCATTTGTTATCTGATATAGTTAGATGTTAATGATCACAACAACTTTTCATCTATAAAGTAAGGCATTTCATCCTGGAAATACCTGTACTGTAAAAGCCAACAGGGAATGTAGATTACTACTATACTATACTATACTATACTATACTATACTATACTATACTATACTGTACTGTACTATACTGTACTATACTGTACTGTACTGTACTGTACTGTACTATACTATACTATACTATACTATACTGTACTATGCTTTACTGTACTGTGCTGTACTGTGCTGTGCTGTGCTGTACTGTACTGTACTGAGCTGTACTGTGCTGTACTGTACTGTGCTGTACTGTACTGTATTGTACTGTACAGTACCGTACCGTGCTGTGCCATACTGTACTATACTATACTGTACTATGGTTTCTGTAAAGGAGCTTGATGGGGATAAGGGGCATTTACCATCTCGTTGATACAGGTACTACATAGGCATTTCTACAGTACAGTAAATGTAAATACTGTACTGAATTCATGAGATTTTATATTATTATTATTATTATTATTATTATTATTATTATTATTATTGCAATTTATACACAGGATCAGTGATTCGCATGAGTGATAATACAAACTCAGTCCCTGGTGAGATTTCCCGAAGACGACGTCGTCAGTCTCAAATAAAAGAAAGTGATATGTTTGATTCTTCTTTTGTGCCTAACCCATACTTCACATCAGTTATTGAAGATTTTGATCTCCTGGGTTATGCTGTGACTTCAGGGAGGTTCATGTCTAAGGATGAACTACTGTATGTTGGTGGGGCACCACGAGGCGCACTCTCCCATGGCAAGGTGATAATATACGTTTTTTTTTGTCATATTCATTACACTATTAAAATTGTTTCAGTAAATATTTGGAAATGTGAAATAGCCACAGACCCAGATTTTGATTGAAGTTTATCTATACGTGCCACAGCCTATGGACTATATTTTGATAAGTACAGACTTTAACATACATGCTGTTAATTTTGTTATGCTATTATGCATGTACAGTGAGATGCAGCATTTGACATAGAATACAACTCAGTCCTAAGATTAATAAGGTACAGTATGTGAGATTTGGTAAAATTATGTCTGGTTCGTTAATGTTTACTGCCACGACTACAGTACTTATTTTTTAGTTACACACAGGGCCGGATTCAGGAGTGGGCAAAGTGGGCAGCTGCCCAGGGGCCTCCACAATTGGGGGGCCTCCACATATTACAATATTTTATTTATTTATTTATTCATTTGGATTATTTTTATTTTCATTCTTTAAAATTCATGTTTATCTATTCCATCACGTAAAACTATGTTCAGCAAGAAGCGTGATAGAAATTAGGCTAGCTACTCCTTGAAATTCATGAATACCTGGTTTTCCTATGAACCGTATATTTTTAATGAATGCTATTGTTTGTGTTGCAAATAATATATTTAGAATTCCACAAACATATATTGATTAAAAATGAACTACTACATGGAATAACGAAATTGAGATTAATAAAAAAAAATATATATTTTTTTTCATTATCACTTCCATTACGAATGACTTGCAACCACATGAATGACTTCAGTCATGTCTCACTTTTGTGTGTGTGTGTTGGGAATTTGTACACTATCAATAAATGTACAATTAATTAAAAATTTCTCATATGTTCTAATTTCCTCAATATAACTGCATATGGCTTCAAAATTCTCCAAAGAAGTGTTCAAATTTCAAAATTTTCCCGGGGCGCTTACAGCGCCCACCGGAACTCCCAGATGTTTAGGCTCACTTCATTTGCCACCCCACCCTCTTGGGTAGTTATAATGAGGGGGGTCTCCACAAAGAAGCTGCCCATGGGCCTCCACAGGTCTAAATCCGGCACTGGTTACACAGGCTGTACTGTACATACTCGCTTGTTTAGCAAAATTTAAATAAGAGTCTTTATCATTACACTATATAGGTGACTGCCTTTAGAGTGTCTTATAGGTACTTAAAAATGAGAATTCCAGTACGGTAAATCCTCTGATAGCGACGGATCAACTAACGAAGATTCATATCTAAGACCCTGGTTAATTTAGGACCCAATTCAATTTACGCTATTATTTTCTTTGTGTTAACAACGAAATTAAAAAAAATATATTAAATTTTCGTATAAATAAAAACTAAATCCCGATAAAAAAAAAGCTGGAGGCTGCCGGGCTTGTTCGTGGTGATGCCAGCATCGCTAGTATAAACAATCGCAGCTGGCGGGCCCTTTGTTTTCACGCATCTGAACAGGAAAAGGCGATAAACTTTCTCAGGTTTCTTACAGCATTTTTGCATCCCTATTCAACATGAGCAAGAGAGCAAGTGATGGTAGTGTTGTTTCAAAAGCTAATAGAAAGTGTATAAGCTTAGCTGAGAAAAAAGATATGTTAAAATGATATGAAAAAGGTGAGAGGTCTGTGGATATTATATGGAGCAAGCAATGAACATATTTTCTGAAGTGGATCCATTAACAGAACAAAGCATTAAAATTTAAATAAATGCAAATGACCTCTACATAAAGATGTATAATGAGAAAAGAAAGCAGCTGTGCAAGGTTCTTTCGACAGCCTTATTATTCGAAGGTATAAACCATCAACTTTAGCTACACCATCAAATTCAGCATCATAAGCAGCTTCAACAATTTCAGGTTCAGTTTCAGCAACAGCTTTATGGAAAGCTGCAGCTTTAGCCAGAGTTGTATCAAACTAGGAATTAAATGTCTATTACTCTTGAGTAATGTGCACTTCGTATTAAGATAAGTAACATTGCTAAGAATTTACAATATTTCTTAAGACAACTGCTTATAATCTAATCAGTGTTTGAGCTTCCAATGCAATAATTAAATTGATGTCAACTATTCAGCCTGGCAGTCACATTTCTTCTTGACTCAGCTTTGGAGTGAACAAGGGTCATTCATGGAGAGCGGTTAGACTTCAGAGAATTTGGCACAGGGTTGGGTGGTGGAGTGGATGATTACTTTTGACCTTGACTGCTCTAGCTTCTTTATACAGTACAGTATACAGTAGTTCCCTGCCTTACATTTAAAGCTATAGTAAATGGTGAATCAGATGTATGATGCAAAACTGAATGTTGTGCCTGTAGATGTTACTTTGATTATACGTACTGAAGTACAGTAAGTATGGACAATATGAGAGAATGGAAATTGAAATATTGGTAAAAAATACTGTATGTAATTCATGAGTGAGGATTGGTGGCTAGGAGGGATAGTAGAAGACCAAGAAAGAAGGAGATGGATGGATGGAATGAAGAGTTGACTAGAAGTGAGGGGGATGAACTTCCAAGAAGCAGTGGAATAAATGAAGGATAGGAGAGCATGCCATTGAATGCTCTATTTTTTTAATGGGGAATAGCTGTTAGAGAGTTAGAGCTGTAAGAGTGGATGGATGCCAGTAAATATAGAGAAAAACTGTGCTTTTGGTTTCAGCAGGAAAAGTCTTGCAAGGAAAATCAAATGTAGAAATGTCTATGCATACATGTTTTCTACCTCTTTCTAACAAATATAATGGAAATTTATTTTGCAGGTTCTTATCTTCAGTTATCCTGATTATGAATACCAGTCTCTGAATGTGAAGGCAGAGTGGCAGGGAACACAGCTGGGTGAGTATTTTGGGGCTGCTGTTACTGCTGCTGACATCAATGGTGATGGTCTCAGTGACCTGGTGGTGGGCTCCCCAATGTACGCCCTCCAAGACATTCCTGATGTGGGCCGAATCCAAGTTTTTCTCAGTTCCAAGGTAAGCTCATGATAATTTCTAATCAATGCTAACCATATGCATGTGACAGTTGACTGGTCAATCCATGGCTAGGAAATTGAATATCAGAATTCATCCACCCTACACAGAAGTGGAAAAAAATAGACTTGATAAATTAAAATGAAAGAGAGGCATTGTGTAAGTGAGATGCAATGGGTGAGTGGAAGGGAGGGAGGGAGGTGAGAAGTGGGGAGTGGGAGAGAGGCAGTGGATATTGCACGGCTCTGCTCTGGCTGAAGCTAATCCATCTCTGCATCACTGAAATTATGATTTAGGGAGTGATAATAGAGATAGTGGTGATGATGGGGGCTGTGGTAAGTGGTAAGGAGGTGATGCGTCTAATGGTTTCTTTGGTTGCCCCCCCTTATCTTATTTACTTCAGTTCACTGGTTTCCACATAACCTCAGTTCTTTTTGGTAGCATGGCGAGGGCTGGCACATGGGTATAGTAATTCTGATATCAAGTCACTTGGACGGAAATGAAGGTGAACTACTGTGGGGAAAAATGAATACTCCTAAAATACTCAAAGAACTGGTTTATTAATATGAAATACAAAGGGAAAAAGATATTATTAACATACCACTTCAAGGTGCAACTCCTTGGCCTACTCCACTGCATTTACTCAGATCCTGTGCTCTTACTACACATAACCTTACTGGTGTTACATTACATTGCATATGTTACATGACAACTCCTGGCTTCTCTCAACTGCCAATCCAAAGGGGATACTTACTTCACCCACGCTACTGGTGATACATTTCATTACATACATGACAAACTTGCAGGTGATACTTCATTACTGAAACCAACTCATACATGGGTCCACTACCCAACATGGGATAATTATTTCCAATTAATTATCCCCAAACATATACATCAAACACTGTGGGCCATAAATGCCAGGAATGCCTCCCAGGGTAGGACACTGGGGCTCACGACCGTTGCTGTGATCGGTGGAAGCCAGACACATGGAGAGTCTGGGGTCTAGCTCTATGAGGCAGTGAACAGATTATTCATGTCGAATCAGTGCCATCGCTCACATATTGATCATTGCTGAATGACCACCGGCTCTGAGCGACCGGTGGGTTTTCAATTAAGCCTTCCCCTGTACCTGTAGACAAGTTGGAGAGGACGCGTCACAGAGGGAAAGCATGGTGGTTCAAACACAAACAACATCTCTCGTCTAGCAACGTCATACGACATTTACTTTATATTACTTCTCACACTGGGTGAATGACAATTCCACTGTCACAACATGAACACTGATAATTCACTACAATTGACTAAATCAAACTGAATGGTTATATCAGCGGGAGAACACAGCTACATACCTGTAGACAAGTTGGAGAGGACGCGTCACAGAGGACGACTCTACTCGGCAGCAGTTTATATACCCCTGAGTTGCCAGCGATCGCTACTCACGTAATGACAGAAATCACAAACAATCCAGCTGTTACTCATTCAAGGATGACCCTCAGTTGACAAGGATCTGGCAAATTATTAAAGTTGATTTACACAGACTAATCCAAGATTGAGCTTGCCAGGAAAAAGTGGAATAAAAAACACATTGACAACTGTGTTCGAAAGTGGGACTTACTGGGAGGGATCATGAGTATAAGCGTCGATGGGGAAAAACACGTCTTCTTATGAATAGCTAACCAGCTATCCATTATCATGTTTTGCGGTTGTGGAGTATAATAAGAATCAGGTTCTAAAACAGACTAGCAGTCAAGGTGACCATGAGCAATGTTGTATCCCTTGAACATTACATTACACAGCATTTTAAAAGTATGGAGTGAGAAAGCAGAAAAGTTGGGGGGGGGATTAGAGAGGTGGAGTGGAAGGGAGTGGTAACACGCACCGGCTGTGTTACCAAGCGCTCCTCAACAGCTTATTTCAACCCGCCACCACACACTTGTGCTTCAGTTAACCATACAATATAAAATTGTAAAACATTTATTAATCAACTGTAGTCATGGGTACTTACCAACAAAGCACTAAACCAGCAACACATCACAACAGCAGTGGGAGACATGACGAGTAAAAAATAGTCACAATACTGTACTGTAATATATATATATATATACTGTATATTTAAAAACCAGCGAGTCAATAAAAGGCTAAAGGGACTCATGAAGAAGGGTGGTGACGTGACCTGACCTGGCTAGTCACGTCACCACCCTTCTCTTAAGCTCCCATACGTGTGTGTTGGTGTGGGGATTAGTGGATGTCATCATTATGACCTGACCTCATGTTTTTAGGTCACCCTGTATATTTAAGCCTCTCTCTGTCCATGTAATCCAGTTGCCTCTGAAGATGTCTTGAATAAAGACGAAAGCTAAGGTGCTCCGTTGTTTCCCTTTTCCCCGTGTGATTTTATCAAGATATATATATATATATATTTTGTTTTTTGTTTTTTGTTTAAACATTTGTTTGCACTCTAATGACTTATTGATATGTTTCATTGATTTGTGTTTATAACATTTTTATTTACTCAGGTTGATTTTTATGCATATGGATAGTAACCAATAAAATAGACACTGTTGGACACGTCTTGTAATGTGTAATTATATTATTTCACTGATATTTTTTTACAGGGTCAGGTACCACAGAAATCTGATACTAGTTACTTTGGATCTAAAACCAGCTTTGCCAGATTTGGAACAACTCTTGCCTCTGTTGGTGACCTCAATTTTGATCGCTTTGATGGTGAGTGGTTGGTTGGGTGTGAACAGTAATGGAATTGCCAGGTAACCAAGGTTAAGTATTGATTACCTCTTCCCTGCTCTGAATGGATTCAGACCTGTATGATTTTTTTAACTAAAAAAATTAGTAATGTGTTTATTTGGCTCGTGACTACAAGGTGGGGACAAAGATGTACAGTACAGCACCTGTATTCTAGATTCAGAAATTAAACTTAAGATAGTGTGTAGAATAGTGGAAAGAAAGTCCCATATTCTTTCTATCACTTGACAAAATAAAAATTAAAGGTGTGTGGGTGTATTAATTCTGAGACTTAAAGATGGTTGCGTACTCAGAATGGATATAGAATCCCTGGAAAGAATTCAGAGGAGAATGACAAGACTAATCCTGGGCATTAGGAACCTTGAGTACAGAGACAGGTTAAAGCATCTTAATTTGCACTCCCTCGAGAGATGTAGAGTGAGGGGCGATACGATAGAGGTGTATAAATTGAAGTCAGGGTTAAACAAGGGACATTACAAAGGTACTCAAACTATCCAATCAGGAGGGAACTAGTAACAATGGTTTTAAATTAGACAAATTTAGATTTTGGCGCAAAATAGGTAAACATTGGTTTGGAAATAGAGTAGTGGACGAGTGGAACAAGTTACCAAATATCATCATTATCTCAAATACACTGGATAGCTTTAAACATAAGTTGGATGGATATATGAGCGCAAGGGGTTGAGTGTAAACGGGATTGCCCAACATGGGCCAATAGGCCCGCTGCAGTTTCCTCCATTCTTATGTTCTTATGTTCTTAACAATTATTCATGCATTGCTTTATGCATGGTTTACATTTTGTACTCACATAATGGCACCACCCAAACTTCCTGTCATTACTTTTACTCACTGTAATGGCCTTAGCGAGAAAGCCAAGATGGTGTATGCACTTCAAATTCAAGCTAGAAAGACTGTAATTCATTATGCAATTCTATGATTGAAGAGTGATTAGTTGCCATTGCTAAAGGCAGCATCACACTGGCACTTGTACCAGCAATTTTGGCTTATGCTTAACACTAGCTGCAATGGTTTTCCTGCAATTTTTAAGAAGTGTGTTCACATGATGGAGGTACTTTTGTCATTGGAACTGGAGTGGAGCTGCTGGAGCCAAACCAAAACAATAGCAAGATGGATGGATGCCTTTGAAGATTTTAGGATAAACTGTTAGTTCTTTCAACTCTTTCATTATATTTTTTTTTATTTTTTATCATCTTCACCACTGATCGGCTCGTTAGCAGCTTGGGCGATCGGTCACGTCTCTGATTACTTTTCCTTTTCTTTTATCCTTTTCACCAAAAGATCAGCTTGCTAGCCGCCCGGGCAATCGTTCACGTCTCTGTCACGCACTGTTGGCAAGTACTGGGCATGCACCGGCTCCTGAATGTATCTTAACCCGCTCCAGTGTTGGTCAGGTCTTGTCTTGACAGAGCTCACACTCGGTGCCGTCACAACACTTTCTGGTAGATTGTGTTCAGTATACACAGAAGAAGAAATGCTTGTGGATGTGTACCCGACTGGCAAAAAGAAAGAAGGCTTGGTTGAACTGTAGAAACAAACTAAACTAACAGGAATATCCCAAATTAAAATCTGGTTTCCTTTAATACAGAGCAAAAGAGTAAAAATTACAATACTGTGCTCTAATGTGGCTTAGAAATAAAGAAAATATTATGTAAAACTATAAATTAAGAAAAATGAAGAGCATAGGTGTGTATGTGTGGAGGGAGTGAGCTGTACAGTACTGTGTTGCCGACTCACCTGCATTCCTCCTCCCAATGTGTCATTACGGCATACATACAATCATACGCACACGTCTCGGAGTCAGCTTGTTGACTGCCTGGCTGAACTGTGTGATGTCTGCTATTTTTGTACTGTACACTAACGCGCCATAGTTTCGATGCACCCTCTACCCCTACTCCTGACTCGATGGAAGTCGTAGCCTTGGCTTCATACCGAACGTCCCCCTCCATCATTCAGTGGTGTAATGTGGTAGCTCGAAGCTTCGCTGTATTGTACAAATAGCAGTTCATGATGTAATATTTGAGAGAATATATGCACGATACAGGTATTTTAGTGATTTCACGACACTTTATTTACCATCACTATACTTAACATCACTATACAAGAGGGACCGTTTGGCTTGCAGTCCTGATGACGACTTCCCTCGAGCCAGGAGTAGCGGTAGAGGGTGCATCGAAACTATGGCGTGTGAGTGTACATAAAATATGTGCTATTGTATTTTATGATATACAATTTATAAATTTTATTGTTTATAGCAATTTTTGTTAACAAAGCGGTTATAGTGCCACTGGTGGTAGACAAGCAAATGAATGACTTCAGTTGGGTTCAGATTGTTGGACTAAATTAGAATTTTTACCAAATGGGACCAAAAGAAGACAAAGTTTGGATATCTGGAAGATTCATATACAGTTGTTGGAATTTTGGATAAAAGGAAATGCACTATAAATTAAGTAAAGTCTACGACATTGGATTTACTGTAAAAGTGGAGACGTTCTGCATACAGTGGCCTTATATGAATGGGGGAGGTTGTTGGGTGTTACTGGGTCAGTACTGCAGTAACCAAATTTTACCAGGGGTGCTGAATATTAATTCTGGTGTCCTAGATATTTTGTAGTACAATATACTGTACAGTATAGCACCTTATACTGTACCAACAAAATTGGGGTGCTACAGCACCCTCCTTTCCCATGTCCATGTACTGGGTGGAGTAAGAGGGGGAAGATGGTGCAGCACATACGAGAGAAATGACTAACTGTGGAGTGTGTGCAGTAGATGCATATCTGCCAATGGTCAGTCACAAAATTTCTAACATCCTCACAAATAACTGCATTTTTATTTTTAATCTTGAATAAAGGGTCACTAAAGTAATAATTTTTTGTAAATAATTAAATTCACAAATATGGCATTTGCAGGTGCAGAGAGATAAGTGTACCGTTTATTGTAATGTAATTAGCTGACGATAACTGTTCATTACGCCAGTACATAACAAAATTTATTTTAATTTTTTAACATAATACAATAGTGGTTCTCTTTTTACTCTGGAGAATTGCCAGTAGCTGCAATTTCAGGACCAACACTTCGATCTTGAGGAATCAGCTGCTGGCAGATGAAACTCCAGACACTAGCACCCCAAAACCAGCTACTAGTGCTAGCCGGTACAACTGCCTATGTGTCACAGCCTTTAGTTAATGACTCACTCACTTGCAGGGTGCTTTATACGTGCTCTTTTGTCATTCTATATACATGAGTTCTCTTAATTTGATTGTTATACCTGTACATTTTTATTTTAGGTAATATGTTTGAGTTTTATTTAAGCATTTGTGAGGAAGGAGACAACTCTTGCTGGTTACAGTTGGTTACGCAAGCTGTTCTACCAGCAACACTCACTTAAATCTCAGCCATATTAATTCTTACCATTAAATCTTCAAAATGCAATAATCCCACAAAATTTCACAGATCTTATAAATTAGAAGCATAGTAGATAAGAGTTGCACTCAAACTAAAAATCAAACTTTTCGGGAAGAAAGTGTACCAGTTTGTAGTACCTTTGTTGTTAGCCCAAATTATCAAATACTGCAACTTGACTAAAGTATAGAATCAATGCTGATTAACTAGGTATCTGTCTTAATCATAGAGCGTTCTTTGCTGTAATTATCATTTTGTTAATCCTGTAGATGTGGTGGTAGGAGCACCCTGGGAAGGAGCTGGGGCAGTGTATGTGTACTTGGGCTCTTCCAGTGGACTGAGACCAAAATTCTCACAACGAATCACTCCAGCAGATTTCCCACAAAGCCTCTCTGGATTTGGCATGGGGTTTTCTCGGGGAATTGACATTGACGACAATGGCTATCCAGGTTGGTGGTGTATGCTTATGGTTAATTTCTCCTTGTGTTTATTTTTTTGTTCATATCATTTAGAAATGTGACTTGTAAATTGCAAGTAAAATTCCTACCATAGCCACCAGTACTTCTAACAGATACAGCAAATGGAGGCAATGTTTGCTTAGCTTACATAGCTAAAGTACAAAATCTTATAATATTTGCTTGAATGATTGATATTTATTTCTCTTGAAATTAATTGAGAGAATTAATAATAAGAGATGAGTATGCAAGAACACTTTGTGTCATATTTCTTAACTTTCAGATTTGGCAATTGGTAGTTTTATGTCCAGCCATGCAATTGTGTTGCATACTCGACCTGTTGCCTCTCTCACTGGTCAGATCATTACTACACCATCCGTCATTACCTTAGAAGACAGATCTCTTAATATCTCTGCCTGCTTACTTTATGAAGGATATAAAGTTCCAAGAAATGCGTGTAAGTATTAAACCTGTTCATCTGCTGATGGGTGATACAGGGCCTTGTTGTGACATCCTTCTTTCCTCACACAGCCAAACTGTGGAATGCTCTGCCTTCTGTGTTTCCATACTCTTACAATCTGTCTCACTTTAAAAAGCTGGTTTTCCGGCATCTTTGCAGTGTAGATTAATATAACCTTTTCCTTTTCTATTTTTAATTTGTCTATTCTTATTTTTTCGCCCCTCAGGCCCCGTTGTGGGTCGTTGACCTGTGCCTGGGTGTGCTAATCCTCGTAAAAAAAAAACATGGCAGAGCAAATCTGTTACAGCATTTACAGAGAATGAATAGAGTAGCAGCCAATGATGGAAGACTATGTGATGCTTTTAATTGTGGCCACTCTGTCCCATAGTGGGAAAGGGGCTTGCAAGGTTGAAAACTATTCACCACAGTGATTAAGAGTATGAGAAATAGTAATGTGTGAATAGGACTGCTTACAGTAGCAGGTACAATCAAGAAAATGACTGGGGGAAGGCCACTTCCTTTACCTCAGAGGTAATGCTACAAGTTGGGGGATTGCAGGATTTTAATTCTGAATCAGTCACCAGCCAATTTGACTGGTTCAGCTGATGTCTGGGTCAGTTCATATTGCTATGCCGAGGCATAATTTGGTATAATGTTTGTAAACTAGGTGCTTTGATTAGTTTCTGCCCCAAGAGCAGTTATTTTGGCAAGTTTAGGGAGGTTTTTGTGTATATATTGATGTATTACTTATTTAAGAATATTCTAGAATGTATGGCATCATTTTTGTTATGATTAACTTATTATTGTAAGCCTCGATTAGAGTAGAATGTTCTAGAACCTCCCAGGTGTGTCTGGGTTGTGCTAGGGTGTTTTGGGATCATCTGATAATGAGGTATATAAGCGGCAGCTTGCGGCTGACTTAATCAGTTGACAGTGTCTGCTCAGAGTGTAAAGAACAATCCTAGTAAAACAACTGAAGATAATTGTTGTGCAAGTATTGTGGAATTGTTGTGATCAATATAAAGCGAAAATACTAAGGAATTGTACACTGGTAGTGTGGTGACTATACAGTCAACCCTCGCTTTGCGCGGTCCCACTTTACGCGTTTCCACGTTTACGCGGTACCCTGTCGAACACGGAATGCTCACTTTCCTCGTTGTGTGTACCCTTTTAAGCGGAGAGCGGCGCGAGCAGGGTGCGCACAAGGTCGCCCAGTCATCAAAACATTACCGAGTTCTTCACCCGCCACCCACCACAGCCGGCCCAAGTCAGTGATAGTGATAATGATAGTGAGGATATGGACTTATATGGACTTTGAGGGGTTTGACAAAGAGGCCCTGCAAGCCTCTGTGGTGGATAGTGATACAGGTGAGGGCCAATAATCTGCCCTCTGCCTCGGAACCAACCCCCCATCCCCGTGTGCCCAGCCATCTTTTCTACTAATGTAAGTGTTAATAAACCTAATATTATTGATATTTCTCTAAATTATTAATTGCGTGTGCATACCATCATAAAATTAAGAAGTTATTTTTACTACAACGTAGGTATTGTGTCTGAAAAAGTGGAGTTTGGGGGTCGGCCCGGTCTCTATTTCAATTAATCCCATATGTTATGTTGTTCACTTTACGCGTTTCTCACTTTAGGCGGGCCGCCGTGGGTTCAATTGACCGCGTAAAGTGAGGGTTCACTGTATATTCAAAGTGAGAAGTCCAGCTGTGAACAGTGTTGTGAAGAATTAATGATAATTAAAGACTACAGTGCACAAGTGAGTTTCTATGAACTGGTGGAAATCTACCTGCCCTTTGTTTGTCTGTACACTGAAACCGATCGTTGGAAAATTACTGGAGACTGGCGGGACAGCCAGTGGTAATTCAATGTCACTTGTGATATCTACCGTATATCACGGCCTATAAGGCGGCGGGGTGCATAAGACGCCCCCCCCAAATTTCCATTTAAAAAGTAGCTTTTGAGCTCTATTTGCTGTATAAGACCAGTACCCCAAATGTGACACTTACCCACTGACTCAGTAGTCCTTTACCAACCATCCTTGATTTTTTAAAATAAGGCCAATTCACTTCAAGTAATGTCATCAAATTATACCAGCTGGTGTAGTGTAAACACTAGTGACGTCACTGAAGCGTGGTGGGAGTGTTCCCTCGTCTCGGTGGTGTGGCTGTGTTCCGACTATTTATACAACATGTGATTCAACAGCAACCACCGTATTCTAATTGTGGTGTTTCATTAGGATTTGAGTGAAAAAGGTTACCAGTATGTACTTACTACATACATTTATTACACAAATATATATATATATATATATATATATATATATATATATATATATATATATATATATATATATATATATATATATATATATATATATATATATATATATATATATATATATATATATATATATATATATATATATATATATATATATATATATATATATATACATATATATTTTCTTTAATTTATAAACTGTTTTGCGACAAAGGAATGTTCTCCAGTAGTGTTTCATTAGGATTTGAGTGAAAAAATATTACGTACTTACACAATTGTTCCTCTTACTTTGACAACACAACATACATACAGTATATTATTTCTCAGTTTTGATCTTTTTTTTTAATTTTGTATTTATTTATAGTTAGTTACTTAAAATAAGGCCAATTCACTTCAAGTAATGGCATCAAATATTACCAGCTGGTGTAGTGTAAACACTAGTGACGTCACTTGAGCGTCTGTAATTAACCGTCGATAGTTTCAAGAATTAATGCACTCATTTACTGAATATTCTTTGTAAAAAAATAAAATTTAAATCAATTATTTATAGGAGATAAATATTATTATGAGTAAATATACCGATACCGGTATGCATTACTGACCACCTCCACGGCTAAAAATAGCCCAATCTCGGGTCACTTTCCCTTTCTTGTCTCCTCACTGGCAAATGGGGGGGGGGCGTGGGGAGGGGTGTGTGATGATAGCTGTGTTTATTACAGGGGTATAAATCTCTTTTACGGTATGTTAGACAGGTTTATAATACATTTTTATTATTTTAATATACCGGTAATCTTAATTTGAATCCAGCTTGCCAAACGTAAGTTTCAGTATAAAATAATTAGTGGTAAGACCTTGTGAGTGGCTTACGATGTTTTCATCACCACTCTTGACACACTAAACCACAATATTTAAGAGGTAAGAATTTTAAACTTGGTGGTTTAGACGACCCCCTAACTTTGGGCAGATTTTTTTAATGTTCAAATTTCGTCTTATAGGCCGTGATATACGGTACTGCTTCTGTACATACGACCCTGGCCACTGGTAACCAAAGGAGGACCATCACAATATAATTCCTGGAATTAATTATTCCTCCCTGATAGAAAAGTCAGTAGCTCAAATTTTGTTAATAACTAAACACTTCTCAATCTCACTTCATCAGTCTGCCACGTACTATATTTTAAAGATTTGCATTAACTGTGTACGCCAAGAACTCTTTGATACCCAACCTTTACAAATCTTTGTGCCTTTTAATTAAGGATTTAGTGAAAGCTTTAGGATTGCCTTTTCACTCTTGAATCTTTGTTTCCTGTGGCTGTTTTCATGATATAATCTTATGTTGGTGAGTCCACTGCATTCTTATACTTAATACATGTACAGCGGTGTCTCATTTTATGTAGGTCTTGCATGAGCGGTTATCGCTTACTTAATTGGTTGAAATGGGACCATAATTATAGCTTATGCAGAAAGCCATGGGTAGCGTGGGTAACGATAGCATTAAGTTAGTGATCTTTTGCTTGTCTAGGTTAAGCCAACAAAAAAACGGGCTCTGGGTTATTTGAATTACTCAAAAAAATTTTGCTTGAGAGATGGTGAGTGCTGGCATTATTATTAGGAAGAGCAAGAATGATCAGCTGATACCGTTGGAAAATTTAGTTACAGTATTACCCCGCTTTACACGGTATCACTTTCCGCAATTTCTCATTGACGCGGTACCTTGCCAGAACCGGACTTTCACATTCCGCGGTGCATCTACTCATATACACGTGAAGTGTAATTTTTTTTTTTTTTTAGCTCATAAAATTCATACAAATTACCCGGCCAGAATATAATTTACATTACTGGAATTCGTACAATATGATGATCATTTTGAATATAAACATCATGGATTTTGCATTAGACATACAAATTTTAGATCTAATGTAATAATTTGGTTTACACAAAGCAAGTATTTTATCTTTTGTGCAAAATATATGAAGTTTACATTCAAAATATTCCCTGACCTGCAAGGAATCCAGAAATGTCAATTATATTATCCTAACTTTAGTCTGAGTTATTATTTATTACTAAAAATGTAAATTACTATTTTCTCCCAAAGCTTCTCTGGTAGGGAGGGTTGGTGGGGGGTGGGAGGGACCGACCGACCATCTGGCGCGGTTGGAAGAGGGGGGGGAGGCAAGGTGGGGTACTTTGATTGACAGATAGTGTGTGAAGAATATATTTTTTTTTTATTAACTGAAGATATTTGTTTTAGCTCATAAAATTCATACAAATTACCCGGCCAGAATATAATTTACATTGCTGGAATTCTTACAATTTGATGATCATTTTGAATATAAACATCATAGATTTTGCATTAGACATACAAATTTTAGATCTACTCTAAGTATTTGTTTACTCTGAGTAAATATGTTATCTTTTGTGCAAAATATATGACGTTTACATTCAAAATATTCCCTGACCTGCAAGGAATCCAGAAATGTCAATTATATTATCCTAACTTTAGTCTGAGGTATTATTTATTACTAAACGTTAAAATCTAGTGTTTTCACCCAATCATTTCTCAGAGAGGTAGGGGCTAGTGAGCTGGGAAGAGGGGGGGGGGGATTTGAGTCCATTATTTGAATGGACATTAACCTGGCGACTGTATTTCTCTTAAATATTAATTGTGTGAGCATACCATCATAAAATTTAGATGTTATTTTTACTACAACATAGGTATTGTGTCGGAAATAGTGGAGTTTGGGGGTCGGGCCAGTCTCTATTGGAATTAATCCCATATGTTCTGTTGTTCACTTTACGCGGTTTTCACTTTCCGCGGTACCCTGTGGGTTCAATTGACCGCGTAAACGGGGTACTACTGTATTTTTCAGCACTGTTTTATTAACCTGGCACCAAATGAATGTAAATAATGTGGAAATTATGGTGAAATTGCAAGCTATTGTTATAAAGGGATCGCAGTCTGCCAAGCGGGAGGTGGTGAGTTGTCCTCTCTCCCTCCCTGCTCTGCCACCCTTCACCTACGCACCCAAACATAGTTTTGTATCTTAATATAATTCATATTTTATTCCTATAATTCATTCAGTTTAATCTATTTCATGATACATTCCTATAATAATAATATTTGACTTAACTTTGGAACCACATGGTTATTTCAGATTCATTCCAAATTAAAATTGTTTATTCATTAAAAACAAAAAAAATAATCCGCAATCTGAATTAACGAGGGTACAGTGTACTGTTCAGTGATCCCTCGGTTAACGAACGCCTCGGTTAATGAAATTTCGGTTAACGAAATACCTTCCATAAGAATACAGTGATCCCTCGGTTAACGAGATTTCGGTTAACGAATTACCTTCCATAAGATTCTTAGCTTCGGTTAACGAGCATTCCCTGGATTAACGAATTCCTTACGAGCGGCCCTCATCATGTTTTCGCTTGCACACCAGTTGTTATATTAGTCCGCCAATACAGTAATCGGTTCTAGGGCTTAAATTCATTACCATTTTAGTAAATATCAAGAAGGTTGTACTATTCAATCATTTTAAAAGTTTTATATTAAATTTTGTAGTCATTTTAACTATTATTGAACATAATTGAAGTACAGGAAACTAGTTTTATGCACGCCAAACAGCCTGTCAACACACCAAACAGGCGTCAGTCTGTGTGTCTTTTCAGTGGAGGAAACATCTTGCTTCAGACTCACTTCAACATAAATGCTTTTTTTCTGTGTTTTCAGTAAAATTATTGATCATTTTGAAATTTATTTTACATATTGATGATATATAGAGCAGTGCAGTGTTAATTTAAAGAAAATATTCTCTATTTATAGCAATTAAACTTAAAATATCACGTGTTGAATTTTTTTTTTAATCCAGCATGGGTCCCAAGAAATCTAGAAAAGCGATTTCAATTCAGATGAAACAGGAAATAATTATAAAACATGAAGAAGGCATTAGAACAAATGTGCTAAGCAAAGAATATGGCATGTCGACATCAACTGTATTGACAATTCTTGCACAGAAAGACAAATTCAAGGAAGTGAAAGTGAGAGACAAGTCTACCAGAGTGTTCAAAGGTAGATCCCTAATAGCAGAAACAGTGAGGTTACTTCTCATCTGGATTAGGGAAAAACAGATGAAAGGTGATTCAGTTTCTACTGAATTTATTTGTGAAAGAGCCAGGGAGATTTACGAACATTTGAAGATTTTAGGGCCAGCAAAGGCTGGTTCGAAAAATTTAAGAAAAGGAGTGACATTTTCAGTGTTATTAGGCATCATGAGGCTGCTAGTGCTGATAAGGAAGGGGCAGCAAAGTTTTCAGTGGAGTTTAAAGAAGTGATGGAAGAAGAAAATTATCTTCCACAGCAAGTGTTCAATGTGGACGAAACTGGGCTGTTCTGGAAAAAGATGCCCAAAAGAACATTCATCACCAGAGATGAAGCCTCTTTACCTGGGCATAAACCCATGAAAGACCGTCTCACTCTATTTCTTGGTGTCAATGCTTCAGGGGATTTCCGACTGAAGCCTATGCTTGTCTACCACTCTGAGAACCCCAGGGTGTCCAAACAACAAAAAGTGGTAAGAGGACGGCTTGGAGCTTATTGGAAATCCAACCGTAAGGCATGGGTGACAAGACAGCTCTTTAATGAATGGGCTGTTGAGGTGTTTTGCCCTTCTGTAAAGAGCTACCTAACCACCAATACACTCCCTTTAAAGGCTCTTCTCATGGAAAATGCCCCTGGTCATGACCCTCAACTTGCCAGAACTTTGGAGTCTCAATTTGACTTTGTCAAAGTGTTGTTTTTGCCTCTCAACACTACATCAATTATACAGCCAATGGACCAGAATGTGATCAGCAACTTTAAGAAGCTGTACATGAAAATTTTCAGGAGGTGTCATCAGGCAACTTCCACTGATCCTGAACTAACACTGGCACAGTTCTGGAAGACACAGTTTAACATCCTGGAGGCTGTAAAATTGATTGTGTCTTCATGGCAAGAAGTCTCCACTAGAACCCTCAATTCTTCATGAAAAGCACTGTGACCATCAGTAGTCCATGATTTTGAGGGATTTCAGGATGAAACAGAGTTGCACCAGGAGATTGTGTCCATTGGTCAGTCATTTGGCTTTGAAGTGGAGGAGGATGATGTAGAAGAGCTTGTGATGTCTCATGAACAGGAACTTACTCCTGAAGACTTGCAGCAACTGGATGAGATGTTAGAGGCTGACAGTGGTGAGGAGGAAACGGAAAGTGATGACCATATGTCAACTTCAGAGTTGAAACATGTTGTTCACCACTGGAAGAAGTTCAGGAAACTGGCTTCAAGGCACCCAGATGTGGAAAAGTCTGAACTAGCTTTGTGTCATGTTGAGGACACAGTGGTCTCCTTCTTCAAACATCAGTTAATGATGAGGAGGAGAGATGCCCCACAAACAAAAATTGACAGTTTCTTTAGTAAAAGGCAGCAGGAACAAGATGCTAGCCCTCAGCCTTCCACTTCAAGAAGGAGAGAGGATGTTCCTGGTGGAGAATTTGTCAGTCCAGAGGTTCCTGACATTTTCATGGAAGGTGACTCACCTTCCAAGAAGCAGTAAAATGCTTCTCCTCCACCTCCACCTCCACCTCCACTTCCTTCTCTTCTCCCTTCTCCTCCACCCTCATTCTAATTCCCATCATCATCCAGGAGCCTTCTACATACACACCTCAAAGTAAGTGAACCTTTCTACCTTTTTTGTTGAATTTAGGCAATTTTCGGTGAGCTGGAACCAATTACCCAAAAACCCATTGAAACAATGGTTTCGGTTAACGAGTTTTTCGGTTAACGAGCAACTCTCTAGAACGGATTGTGCTCGTTAACCGAGGGACCACTGTATTCAATTCGGTTAACGAAAAAAATTCAGTTAACGAATTCCTTACGAATTTTTCCCAACATGTTTTCGCCTGCTTTCGCCTGCTCACCAGCTGTAGTATTAGTCTGCCAATACAGTAATCGGTTTTAGGGCTTAAATTCGTTTCCATTTGAGTAAATATCAAGAAGGTTGTACTATTCAATAATTTTCCAAGTCTTCTATTAAAATTTGTAGTCATTTTAACAATTATTTAACATAATTGAAGTACAGGGAACTAGTTTTTAGCATGCCAAACAGCTACTTGACTCACCCAGAATGGCGTCAGTTTGTGTCTCTGCTCAGTGGAGAAAGCATCTTGCTTGAGACTCTCTTGAACATAAACTATTTTTACATTTTTACAGTGCAATTATTGGTCATTCTGAAGTTTATTTTACATATTGACAATATATAAATATATAGTGCAGTGCAGTGTTGATTTAAAGAAAATAATCTTGAATTACACCAAGTGAACTAAAATTTTATAGGTGAAATGGCGGAATGAAGCATGGGGTGACTTCTCTTACACCCTAATGCCTTCTCTTCTCCCTTCTCCTCCACCCCCATTCTAATTCCCATCATCATCATCAACCAGGGGCCTTCTACATGCACACCTCAAAGTAAGTGTACTTTACTGCATTTATTTTTAGTTTGTATGTAATTTTCGGTGAGCTGGAACCAATTACCCAAAATCCCATTGAAACAATGGTTTCGGTTAACGAAATTTTCGGTTAACGAACGACCTTCTGGAATGAATTGTGTTCTTTAACTGAGGGGCCACTGTACTGTATATTACTTTTGTCTTTTTTCAAGACATCATCAGGTCATGAGACCCACTAATTCCCCACTCTGACAATGGGTGACCTGACACTGCATCAGGTCACTAATATGAGACCACTAATCCTTCACCGCACCTTCACTGCAAATGAAAGAAGTTTATATTTAATGGTTGATCTGATATGATATCAAGTCAGATCAGTAACATGAGAGAATGAGGAGAAATTTACTGTTTTCCCATAGACATAATGTTTCTTTCTTATCTCTATTTTCTTGTCATTCTTTAATTAGTACTCTCTTTCTTTCTCTCTGTTTTTCTTTTTATTTCTTTGCCTGATTTTTCATACCATATCTCTTATTTACTTAAACAATTACGGAGGGCATAGATTGATGCAGTCACTTTTCCCTCAACCTTCCACAAGGGTTGCTTGTCTTTTCTCCCTTGTAACTGGGTGTAGCTCTCCTAAACTGGTTGACATTTGGATTTAAGGTAATCAGAGGTGTAGGATTTTGATATGTGAATTTAATTCATGATTGTTTGACAAAAAATTTCATCATCTCCACTTCTTCAGAGATATATCTAAGTTTGTCCTTGTAATGATATTTTAGAATGTTTCTTCTTCAAAAGTCAATGAAAAAATAATGCCATTTAAATAAAATTAAATATACTCTGCATCTGTATTTACTGGAATACAATATGTAGCTCATCCAGTAAATTTAGTCAAATGAAAGAAGGAATTCTGTTGAATGATATTTCAGTAATTTCATTAATAATTTTCAGATGTCAAGGGTAATGTGACACTTGACTATGGATCTTCCACCCCTCGAGCAGTCTTTGCTACATCCCAAAACTTCAGTATAGAGTTCAATGAAACTGTTGTCATGAGGCAAAAAAAATGCATTCCTTACTTGGTTACAATCATGGTAAGTGCTGTAAAAGAACACAAAATTTTGTATGGTTTTAGTTTTGGTAAGTGTTGTTTCAAGGAACTGTGAAGAGGTGGGTAAGTGAATAAGTAGACTTACCCAGTAGGCTTCATGTTTTTATCAAGTGTAGTCATAAGTTTGAGTCTTAAGATTTACCGAAGATAAGAATGCGACGCCTAGCTTATACCTAGGTATGTTATGATCCCTTGTACAGTATACTGTACAGGGAATGGCGATAACTAGTGTTGCAAAAGTTATAGAGGGGTTAGCCTTTGGCATATACCAGGGAAAAGTACTATACATGGTAAAGTTGTTATTGTGAGTTTTGTATTATAAGAAAAACGAGTGAGTATAATGGAATAAACAGTTTGGGTTCAGAAGAGGATGAGGGGATTATAATTTTGTGGTAAAGAAGTTTCTAAAGGAGAGGAAAATTTTGTTTATGGTATTATTGGATTCATGAAAAGCACATGACTTGAATTGATAAAAAAGTGATATGGGAAGTATTGAATGAAAGCAATAAATGGGAAACTGCTAAATGTTATCCAGAGTTTTTATAGGAGTGAAGCATGTGTTATACATTGCCAGGAAGTGGTAAACTAGCTTCCAGGGAAAGATGTGTTAAGTCACTATGGTTGTTTTAATAATTTTATGGATGAGGAAATAAGACTGATGGAAAGAAATGCTACACCTTCTTTCATTTGCAATTGAACAATTGACCACTTGCCTTTAACAATCAAGATTTTGGAATGACAAATTTCTATTTGCTTTCAACTATTTTCCGAATCCATTCAACAATCAGTTATTTTGATTTGACAATTTACAAAACCTTTCAACAGCCACATATCTCCGATTGCTTTCAACAGTCAACCAAACTTTTCAACAATGCGACTGAAACTATCATCATTGAAAAGAATTTATTCAACAATCTTTAAAATCAGTAACAGCCATGAATATTTAATTTTTGAGTATACTTACACAAACATCAACAACACAATGAATTCTGGTATAAACATATGTAATTATGTAATGTCTTTAGTCTTTAGTATGTAGTAGCTACATAAAACATACGATTGCTTAAAAAGAAACAAAGAAAAAAGGGCCTTATACTATTAGCTAAATACATTGGTGTCATGATACTTCCACGAAGCAGTTCACAGTAAAGGCCTCGTACACCTTGGTGGGTTGTTTCTGCCTGGCTGTAAGGTAGGGATGGAGGTAGGTGAGGGTGGGAGGGGTAGTGGGATTGGGGAGAGGAGTGTCATATCAGCATCCCGTTGACTTGCCTTCCTCCTCTGCCTCACGAATAGTAACCTGTCAGGTAAAAAAGAACCCATGAGTGTATAGAAGGTTTTTGTTGTGAATTGTTTCAAGTGGAACAAATGGTAAGGCAGTAGGTTATACTCTATTACTGTAGACCTACTGTATATCAATTGAAGATGTCTCGGCGCTCAATACATTGAACCAAGTAGGTGTTGACATGGTTATAGTTCTGCGACACAACATGTTCCGTGACACTAGGCAGTGCAAATTCCACGGCAACTTGCAAAATGTTCTCCCTCAGTGCATTGAGAGTCACTCCTTCTTGCCTGGCGTGGGCTGCGTTGCACCGTGGAGCTTCACGGTGGAGGTACTGCTTCAGGTATGATTTAAACACAGAGAAACAGTTTTCTATGGGGTTCAAGCAAGGAGAGTATGGAGGGAGAAATTTAAAATTCAGCTCGGGATAGACTGCTGCGATACCGTTGTGAATTGGAGCGTTGTCTAGAACAAGTATGGATCTTGCGTCTCCGATTATTGCTGCAAGTGATGCGATGAAATCACTGAATACTTCCTTCGTCACTGAACCATAGTGAATTTCGTGATAGAGTATTCCACAGTGTTCAGCTATCGCAGCAATCACTGTCGTGTTTCTGCCACGCTGTCCACCAACGGCGCGATGCACACGCTCCCCGCGTCTTGCCCTGCCGTACGTCCTCTTGGTCCACAGATTGAACCCTGGAAATGAAACATCAGTGTATGTAGTCATACTGTAATGTAATTAAATATTAACACAAGGAAAGTTGTACGATGCATCAAACTGAGATCAATATTAAGTACTCACTCGTTACATACAGTTTACTTAAGTAATTATGTAGTACATACTACAGATAGTTGATAAGTGGTTACATAATTACATACCTGTCTCATCAATGTATACTAGTTGCTGCTGTAGACCCGTCGCCAGCATCCACGCAGCGTACGCGTGTCTCGCCTCCTTTACTGCGGGAGAATTTCTTTCTGCTGGGGAGTCACGGGACATTTTCAGTGATATCAGCTCCCCCTCCAAATAACGCGAAAGCGTTACCTCACTGAAATGTGGTTTTGTAGGAAATATATCCATGACCTCCTCCTTTATCTCTCTCAAGGTCATCATAGGGTTTGCTTCAAGCATCATCACTATTAGATCCAGAGTTTCATTGTCGATGATCTTGTGTCTGCCTCCTGCGTGAGCCGCTTCAACCCTGTTTTCGCGTTGGTATACTCGCACAATGGAGTATGCCGTGGTGCGCTGAACTCCAAGGGCTGCTGCAACTACGAGGAAATCTTGTTCGGCTCTGTAGGCCTTGATAATGCGCTCGCGATCTGTAGCACTTGTTATTCGGTGCCTCCGTGGCATGCTGGAGGGGCTCGGCGACGAACTGTATACGGGAGAAGCTGCACACTCGTAATGAAAATACTGAGTGTGTAGCACACCATCTCGACTCGGTGATTCGTTACTTGCTTCAAAAGTTCGAATTAGATCAACTAGTCTTTCGATCTACGAAAAATGTCAAAACATAAACTTTTTGCATAGTTATGATGTTTTAAAGATTGTTACTTAGTTTTGTAAAATGTTGAAAGTATTAGTGAATTGTCAATGAAGAATGAGACGATTGTTGAAAGCAAGTAAACATTGTCACGTGTTGAACGACTGTTGAAAAGTTTTGGATGATTGTTGAACGGAAAGTAAAGATTGTTATTAATCAAGTGTAAGAATGTTGATTCCATTCGAAGATGTTGAAACCAAAAGTAACATTGTTCAATTGCAATTGAAAAAAGGTGTAGTACTGTACAGGGTATACTATTTATTTTATTTTTTTTATTATTTTTTATCATTTCCACCACTTATCAGCTTACTAGCCATTTGACCAGTTGGTCTGTTCTATGTTGCAGTTATTACCGATAGTGTCCAGTTTGGCCAGTAATGAAAAGGGATATGATTTGTGCTGTGATATGAATGTGCTGTGTACCTGAGCAACACGAGGATATAGTACAAGACATACTACAAAAAATAACACAAAAATGCAGAGAATTTATACTGGTAAAATAACTGTTTGTATGTACTGTATATATAGGTGAAGTTTAATATGTGTTGTATCCATGTTTCCCAGGAGAACAAATTGGATCCACGTCAACCTGTACTGATGAAGATGATATACGAGTTAGTTGAGACTCCTTGGGAAGAAATTATCAGTAAGTATACGAAGAAATGTTAAGAACCTATAAATTATACGTGGAAATAAGTCAATATTGAGGCAGGATAATGAGGAACATAGATAATAGATAGACCACATGTTAATGAATAGAAGAATGTAATGTACAGTAAGTATATTAGGGGAAGCACATGGAGGGTTTAACTATTATTATGTAGAAGTAAAAATAATGGAAAGTTCAGGAGGAAAGAGATTCAAAGAAATAAAGGTCATAAATTTGACTACCCGGTGGCTAAAGAAAGAAAATGTAGCTGAGTGATTTAAAGAAATTATTAAGACAAGGTGAGAATGTGTTAATGGGGAGCTTTTGAAGGGGGTAGTAATTGAAGAAGAATGGGAACGGTTGAAGAGTGCAGCTAAGGTATGTATGTACAAGAAAATAGATAGGAAAAACAAGAAGAGGGAATGGTTATATGTAAGGTTGGAAGTGCTCTTCAAGGAGAAGGGAAGGGCATAGCAGTGTCAGTTACAAACAAGAGAGGAGTACATGGAGGTTTAAGGATAATTATGAGAAAAAGCCGTTTTTTTTCTAAAAAACATTTTTGGTGATATAGCTCGGAATGCGACGTCAGCAATGTTACCTAGGTATGTTAATTCCTAGCCAATTCGCCAGGCCAACATACAGGCAATTAAAACAGCTAATAATTACTTAATAAGTAGTATTAGGAGGACACGTCGCGTAATCCGGACTTACTTGGTCCGGACTTTCAAGGGTTTATTGTTTATACTGTACACTACTGTACTGTATACTCTATTGCTTGTGGTGATCTTTGTCCAAGTTTTTTTCTAAAAAGTTCATTTGAACTTTGGAAATATTTTGTCCTATTTTTTCAGGAATTAACACCAGTATTGCCTAATTTAAAATGAAATTTTGTACACCTTATATGCTGATAATGATAAAATTATATACAGTGGTCCCTTGGTTAACGAAATTTCGGTTAACGAATTACCTTCCACAAGAATCTTCATTTCGGTTAACGAACAAAAATTCTGTTAACGAAATTCTTACGAAAATGTTTCGACATGCTTTGGCTTGCTCACCAGCTGGAAGATTAGTCCGTCAATACAATAATCGGTTCTAGGGCTTACATTGGTTAAAATTGGAGTAAATATCATGAAGGTTGTACTATTCAATAATTTTCCAAGTTTTATATTAAAATTGTTAGTAATTTTAACACTTATTTAACATAATTGCACTACAGGGAACTAGTTTTTGGTGCGCCCATCAGCCACTTCACTCACCCACCAAGGCCTCAGTTTGTATCTTTGTTCAGTGGAGGAAACATCTTGCTTGTGGGTCTCTTGAACACAGAGTATTTTTACATTTTTACAGTACAATTATTGGTCATTCTGAAATTTATTTAACATATTGACAATATATAGTGCAGTACAGTGTTGATTTAAAGAAAATAATCTTGAATTACACCTCGTGAACTTAAAATTTTATGGGTGAAATGATGGCATCAAGCATGGGGTGATTTCTCTTCCACCCCCACTTCCTTCTCTTCTCCCTTCTCCTCCACCCCCACTTCTAATTCCCATCATCATCATCATCATCATCATCAACCAGGAGCCTTCTACATACACACCTCAAAGTAAGTGTACTTTACTGCATTTTTTTTTTTACTTTGTATGTAATTTTCGGTGAGCTGGAACCAATTACCCAAAATCCCATTGAAACAATGGTTTCAGTTCACAAAATTTTTGGTTAACGAACGACCTTCTGGAACGAATTGTGTTTGTTAACCGAGGGACCACTGTATTTGACCCATTGCACTTTATTTTTCCTTCTGGACAATTCTTTCCTTGCTTTTGTCACTGCTAAATATCAGCAATGTATGTTTTCTCCTCAGAACAACCCATGCTAGATCCAGACATGGAAACAAGTATTACATCCCGAGTAAGTATAGTAACGGGGTGTGAAATGGATGGAAATGAAACTTGTCTGATTGACATGATTCTGGAAACCAGCTTCTCAAATTACAGGTGTGTACTAGTTCCCTTTAGTAGTAGACACAATAATAATTGTGTTGGTCAAGTACAGTATGTACAGTAGTAGCAAGTCATTTTGTCACATATTTAAGAAACAAAATTATGAATGCATTACAATCATTTCCAGTTTGCTACCTATTTGGTTTTTTTTTCAAATTCTCTTGTTTCCAAGAAAAAACTTTTGCCAGGTATTGTACTGTGAAATGTAATTGTGTTCTGATATATCATATCATATATTCTATCACAGCATTACATATGAGTCACAGTGAGAAAGCATAGCATTTACATTGGTTCATAAAATGTGTAGGGAACAAGTGGTAATGAATGCTGAGTACTGTACTGTGATGTGAAAAGGGTAGGTTTGAGATAGATTTCAAGGATGTACCTGTAGTAGAGGAAAACTAAACAAAGGTAAACAACTTGGAAATTGTTAGTAAAGGATGAAATAACATGAGAAATAATGTGTGAAGGAATGAAACAATCAGGTCATACTGTTGTGAATGAGATGGAAATGTGCAAAAAAAAAAAGCAGTTCTTTCTTAAAACCAGTTTTTGTGATATAGTCCAGAATGCGACGTCTAGCTTTATACCTAGGTATGTTGATGCCTAGCAATAACTCGCCAGGCCAACATACAGGCAATTAAAACATCTAATACTTACTTAATACGTAATAATAGGAGGACACGTCGCTACCTGGCATTTAATTGCAATTCTAAACAGAACTAGAATTCATTGTAGTTTTGGGAGATGAGTATCCCCAAATTTTAATTGTTTTCTTGAAAGATACAGTAGTAGGAAAAGTGTTGGAAAATAGATACAGAGTACAGTAGTCCAAATATGTGTAAGTTGTACCTATTAAAATTACTTGTCTTGTTTGGAATTAAGAGATATGGTATTTTAGAATTTGCAGGATGAACTATGTACTCTTTTTTTTCAGAGATGATAAGAGGTTGATTATTGGTAAGGACAACAAGCTAAAGATGGAAGTAGTAGTTGAAAATGCAGGAGAACCAGTTTTTCTACCAAACCTGACTGTGATTGTGAACCCACCCCTAACATTGTTCTTACCTTCCTCACATAATTGCGATTTTCCAAATGGAGGAAATCGCACAAGACTAATTTGTAACCTTGCCAATCCCATCACAAACAGTGGAAAGGTCAGTCTAAACTGAAATTTTCATGTAAAGGCATTTATTTATTTTTATTGTTTCTTCTATCAAATAAAAAATACTGTATATTTTTTAGTGGTAGTCACCTTATCAACAGCATATGATTTATACATTTGATTTTTTAAGGTACATATAGACTTAAGAGTCCGTTGCTATGTGAACACTATGCCTTTCAATTTTGTGGGATGAATAGCCCCAAGGTTAGCTCAATCTGGGATCTTGACATGACTGAGTGTACACCAAATATATTAAAGGTCTGCCAGTCCTGCATATTTGTGGTATAATCTCCTGGTTAGTGCACTCCTATTCTATAAAAAAGGCTATTAATTTGATATGGTGGTATAAATGATGGTGAGTAGTGAGTTGATAGTGTAAGTGATGACATAACTGGCAAAATAAAATTTGTCAATCAGCTTTAATGTGTTATCTTTTGAAACTTCAACAGGACACAGTGAAGATTGATGTAGATGCAAGCCAACTGACGGACACCTCTAACAAGGTGTCTGTTGATGTGATTGTATCAGGGGAAGGGGTGGAGCAAAATAACCAAGATAACAATTTCCAGCAGGCACTCCAGCTAGAAGCCCAGGCTAAACTGAAGTTACATGGGTGAGATGAATGATTCTGATTTACTGTTATACTGTATTGATCACTTGGGCATCAGTTGCCTTTATCCCAAACAAATATCTGTGTATGAATTTTGGTGATGGTGTTTCAAGCCGGTAAATAAGGTAAGGTAGTTTTTATATAAATAAATATAGGGTGTGTGAGAAATTGTGAAATAACTGGCACATTCATTTGGTTATAGACACCCATCTGCAGTACAGTACTGTACTGTTTACACAGCAAAGAAATTTTTATCTTCGGCTATATCCCTTATGACCCTTCCACAAGATAGCTGATTTCCATGCAAAACTGTCTCTAGAATTGGAAAAATTCACAGTTTGAATGATTTCCTATACTGACACCACCTACCTCACAAACACCCCCACACTTCTTTTCCTCTTCATCTTTGTACACTTGGTATTAAGACGTGGTTCATCATCTTTTCGCTAACTTTAAATTCTTATACAGTTAACCCTCACTTTACGCGGTTAATGTAACCCGGAGGGTCCCGCGTAAAGTGAGAAACGCGTAAAGTGAATAACATAACATATGGGATTAATTGAAATGGAGTCCGGGCCGATCCCCAAACTCAACTTTTTGACGACACACAACTATGTTGTAGTAAAAATTTTATCTTAACTTTATGATGGTATGAAAAAACAAGTAATATAGAAGAGGTTAGGTTAGGAAAAATAAAGGTTAACATAGGAAAAATAAAGGTTAACATAGGAAAAATAAAGGTTAGGTTAGAAAAACTAAAAGTTAGGTGGAACACTTACGGTAGTAGAAGAGATGGGTCGGCATACGGGGATGGAGGCTGGTTCCGAGGCAGAGGGCAGATTACTGGCCCTCAGGTGAATCACCATTACTAGGTGAATCACCATCACTGTCACTTACAGTTGTCAGGGCTTCCCTGACAAATCCCTCAAAGTCATCTTCACTGTCACTATCACTGGCTTGGGCTGGCTGTGGTGGGTTGCGGGCGAAGAAATCTGTTATGCTTTGCTGACGGCTGGCGTTGATGTTGTCGTGATACACCTTGATGTACGGCTCCATAGCCTGCACCAGCCGGGTATGGAAGACTTCATAGCGGTCATCGTCATTGTCGCGGGAAAGGAAGGACTTCATTTTCTCTGCACACTCCATGGCACCCTTAATATCACTATGACTTAAACTGTGTTCTTCGGAGAATGACGCACCTTCTTCCTCCTCTTCACTGACGTGTTCTTCTTCCAACATCTCGTCGGCAGTCACTTCAGGATCTCTGATCACCTCCAGGATGTCGTCGTTGGTGGTCTCGGAGAAGCCTGGAACTGTAACAGTCTGCGCAGCTTCTCTGGCAAGGTCCACTGCTACTGCAACATTCTGAACCTCACCAGTCACAGATTGACTCCTCCTCTCACCTGGTATTCCATGCAACACATGTCTCCATGCGTGACGAATTGTAGCAATAGACAGCTGATCCCATGACTCCACCAAGAAGTCCACAGCTTTCTTGATGTTAAATACTCTCCAGAATTGTTTGAACAGTATTTTTTGCTGTTCCAACTGTTGATCCTCATCTTCTTCGCTCTTGCTATCGGTGGTGGTGTCACTCAGGTTACGCAACTCTTCCCTGGTGTTGGTGTAGTCGTTCAGGAGCTGGAATTTTTTTGTTGAGAATGCAGCTTTTACATTACAGATTAACTCTTGGTCCATGGGCTGTAATATAGACGTAGTGTTGGGAGGAAGGAAGACCACTTTTACGTTGGGGTGACGATCTAACAGTAGGGGCGAGTGTCCTGGTGCGTTGTCCAGCAGCAACAAAATATTGAATGGCACATTCTGTCGCTCACAGAATTTCTTTACATCGGGAACAAAACAGTCATCAAACCAGGAGAGGGACAGTGTAGAGAACATCCACGCCTTACGTGCGGTCAGCCAGTGGACATTTAGCTTGGTCATGTCCATGGTTTTGTAGGCGTGCGGCTTGCGTGCTGTGTGGATCACCAATAACTTGAGCTTACAGGTACCGGAGGCATTGGTGGTAAACAGGACGGTGATGCGTTCCTTCTGCATCTTCCGGCCCCGAATCCTGCTGGCATTCTTTACAACGAAGGACTTGGAAGGTAGCTTTTTCCAGAAAAGACCAGATTCGTCCATGTTAAACACCTGGTCGTCACTGTACTGTCCTTCCTCCATAATCTCACGTAAAAACGGAGGAAATTCCCGAGCCGCAGCACGGTCAGCACTCGCTTCTTCACCACCAATGTTTATATTGGTGATCTTGTTCCGGATCTTAAACCTCTGTAACCACCCAGAGGAAGCATTAAAGGGTTTGGGCTCTGTAATTCCCATCTTTCGTGCCACTGCGATGTACAGTTCACGTGCGTAGTCCTTAACAGAGCGCGTGTCGACCGCCATGTTCCGTCGCGCCTGACGCACCAAGTACCTCACAAGTAATTTTTCTGTCTTGAGAAGCACCTGGTTGTGAAAATACTTGATCATAGAAGCACCTGTAGACTTTGTGATCTTCATGTGCTCCTTTATCTTGGCTGCATCCTTCTTTATTGTTCGAATCGTAGATTCATTCACACCATGCTGGCGCGCCAAATCAACCTGCCTTGTTCCTTTCTCCAACTCTTGGATGATGGTATACTTCACCTCGTAGCTTAAGGAACGTCGTGTCTTCTTTGGCTTAGTGCCGCTGGGTCCAGGTAAGGAAAGGTTTCTCTCTGGGGGTGGTGGTCCGGCGGAAGCCATTTTACAGAACAATGGATGCGCGTTTACACGGTGTGGCCTTGAGGGATGAAACTGCCGCGGCTAGGTCAAGCGTCGTCTTTCCTCCCTCCCTCCCTCCCCCGGGTGGACACGTCATAATACTTTAAGCCAATTACAGCTAGCAGCAGAGGGGGGTAGGGATGCATGGCCAATCACAGGTCTGATACGTCATATGACGTCAGTGATAACGCAACAAAGACACACACTGCGCAACCTTACCGCGCCGCTTGCCCAAGCGGAGGGAGGAGGAGGGAGAGGCGAGGAGCACAGGCAGGCAGGCGGGCGGGTGGCGGGTGGGGCGAATCTAAAAATAGCGTCGCGCCGGACACTCTCCGCGTAATGGGGTTCACGTACCGCGTAATGTGAGCACGTGAGGTTCTGGCAAGGCACCGCGTAAACGTGGAAACGCGGAATGCGGGACCGCGTAAAGTGAGGGTTAACTGTATTTTCTTTTTATGAAATACATGAAGGGTCCCTAAATTATGAAAGTTTGTATTGCAAACAACTGTGCTTATGAAAGTGATCCCCTTATATATTAACTACCCTAAATTTAATTAAACCCCTTCAGGTAGGTTTAGCATGGTTAATCTTTATGGATCAAGGTATGGTAATGAAAACAGTTTTTCTTTGCATTAATTACCTGCACTACAAGCATTCCCCAATACATAGGGTCCTTTTTATTTGTACAATCGCAATACTATGTATGTATATTTAGTTATTCTTAGAGCACTTTTTACCACTCAAAATTCATTATTTGTATGCCATACTTAGTTATATGAATACTAATACAGTAAAACCATTATTTAATGGACTACCAGTAATTGGGGAAAAGGATGTTCATTAATGCTGGCAATCCGTTGAATCCAGATGTTTATTACACTGTTTTCATATGATCTTGTATAATGGCCCTCTCTGATAGCAATTTATATAATATGCACCATTAAAGAGTACAGTTATCCCTGATTATTCGTGTGTCTCATATTTGTGCCTTAAGTAATTTGTGGGTGTCAATAAAATACTGATATTAGTACTGTACAATAATTTGAAATAGTACCTGTTAGCAGATAATGTGCCTGCTTATACTACAGTACTGTCTATTGAAGGCAGGGAAGTTATACTTTCATCCGCTGATTGACTGTCTTTGTTTTTAGTTTATTAAACATTTTAAAATATCTTTAATGAAACATACAGTATTAAATATATTTAAAGCTTCCATAAGAAATGAGACATTAAAGTGAGTACCTACTTCCCCTGTACATACTATATTTAATGTTTATATATACCAATACTGTACAATACATATAACTTTTGTTTATTAACCCTCTTGCTCACGAGAAAAGTTTTAAGTTTTCCAGTTCCAAGATCACATCTCTCAGGCCCCAGGGCAGGCGAGACAGCTCACAGTGAAATTTTTTTTTGCCTTATCAATTTACGCCAAAAAACTTGTTTTTAATGGCATAAACCATATATCTTTGGCTTCATAACAGATTCTCTGCAAAAAAAAGCCCCCCAAAAGAATAATACAAGTATATAGCTAATTTTTGTCACTTCTAATAAAAATGAAGACAAGGCAACAACACACCAATACATTCACAACCTCCTTGCTCAAAATTGTCTGAGGCAACTGATTAAATACTATACATTGCTAGAAGCAGAATTTTATTTTCTTTCTAACGTAGTAATCCGAGTTCTGATATGACCAATAGTTTTTTGAGAAAATGGCAAAGAAACGATTCTCAATTTTATTTTTTTTTAAATATATTTTTCGATTATTTTTGTGCCTATGTTATATATCGATATAAATTATATTGCATCGTATAGCCATACTATAAAAAAGTAGGAATCTGACATAGTTGGGTTCAGAGCTGGGAGTCTGACTGTAGGAACTGTATGGTGCATGGAAGAAAGCTAGATGTCTGCTGCATGCAAGAAACAAGGTGGAAAGGTGGCTCAGCAAGGATGATCACTAGTGAGAATGATAGCTACATTATATTTTGGAAGAGGAGTGAATCTGGCGCAGGTAGTGTAGGGGTTATGATCACCAAAAAGTGGGTGGAGAAAGTACGCGGGGTGAAACAGGTGAATACAATAATTATGGTTTTGAAGCTGCAACAAGGAAAAGATCTGATCATGATCATTTTGGCATATGACCCACAAGTTGGGCTAAATGAAAAAATGAAAAATGAGTTCTGGGATAAATTGGTGGTGTTCAAAGCAGTCATATTGGGGTACACACAGAAGGCTATGAAGGTGTGCATGGCAGGAAAGGCTATGGCACAAGAAATATGGAAGGAGAAATTATACTTGAGTTTGGGGATGCAATGAAAAAACTGGCTCCTTGTGTAAATATTGTTCCTGCCACTTTGTTCCATATTGTTACAGTCACCCTGTTCCACATTATTTCAGCCACCCTGTTCCAGTGTTCCAGCCACCCTGTTCCATATTGCTCCAACCACCCTGATCCAATGTTTCAGTTATCTTCCTTCAAATGGGAAACGGCTTGCAAGAGTTAGATAAAAATACTGTACTGCAGTCTCATTATTCACAAGCCTTCTTTTATTATATGAATCTCTTGTTTCTCATAAATCGTAGAGTAGAGAATAATAAATATCTACCTGAATTTTTTTAATTTAGTACAGTATTGTTATCTTTCAGGTACTCAAAGGATGAGCAGGTTTTGTATCCGCGTTTGGAAGAGGACAAGATCAATGCATCGAGTTCTCCAATTTTCTTTCACCAGTTGACAGTAAGTTTTGAGATTTAGCCATACAGTATTTATATTCATCCATTTAGTTCAGGTAAAGTGATGCAAAGTGAATATTAAGTGAATATGTGTAGAGTATTTTTACTTGTCTTAACCCTGCTCAGTTGCTTTCTACACTTGTTTTGCATCATCACCTGTTTTCTTTGAAGTGTCTCTATCCTTTGGTCCACCATACACAAAAGTGGGAGAGAAGTAAAGAGTGTAGAAAATAAATTATAGGAATAATAGAGTAGCCATGGATAATTTTCATTTAATATATTCCTGCAAACCATTAATGTTCAGCAAAACAAAAGATTATGACTATAGTATTGTAGTCAAGTGTCTAATGAGAGAAATTCAGTACCTGATGGTGAACTAATTAAATTTTTAATTGCAATAGAGGCATTTACCAGTTACCCCGCTTGTGATTTTTTAATAAATACAGGATTTTATAATATTTTAATTTTGATATTTAAACTTAATAGGATTTTATTTTATTTCTATTGTAGGTTTAATTTACGAGTTTCATTTTCGGAGTCAAATGGCTATAGGCTGTGACGCCAGATATTTTACCCAGTCAATCATCAATCAAAACCTCTAAACTTGTGTCATTGAGACACACAAAAAATTACTCTCTTTACTTACTTCTCCATTTTTCATCTTTTTCTCTACTTTAGAAATATCTGCCACCAACATAGAGTTCTATATCTTAATATAGTCTGATATCCATTGATATACAGTATGTAGTGTACTCAATTTTAGAACTAAATATTTATGATTATCGTCATTACTATGATACTGTACAGTACATTATTTCCCCAACAATTGATATTTTAACCTAGGCTCAGCACTTACCCCATGTTAAGATGTTAGTGTACAAGATGTACTATCATTTTTTGGTGTTATCAAACATACTGTACATCCCGTAGAGTCCAAATTGTCTTATCTTACATTTTTTTTTATTAATATTACATGTACTACAAATACTGTATATGTAAGACGTGTAAATAACAAAGGCAGTGAAAAGGTTACAGTATATAAAAAGTTAAATTTTCACATTTAATTAACTCTCATAGTGTTTCTGATAACTGAATAAATGATTTGTAATTCATGCTGCAAGTAGAAATAATGGAACATGGACACTTTAATTTGATTATTCTGTATTTACAGCTACTGAAAGAAGGACCTACACCTCTAGGAAAAGTGGTGGTAGTAGTTGACATCCCAGTCAATTTCACGAAAAACGACGAGACCTTTGTTAAGATATATGCCCCAAAGGTCAGTAGAGTACAGTATGAGCAGTCAACAGTGGTAAAACTTGTATTATAACTTCAGGAAAAGATTTTAACATGTTGAATTAAAAGAAATAAATTTTAAAGCATTTCATAGATGTAGTAGTCAGAAAGGTGAAAATTTATCAGCAAGATTTCCCTCATCACTATATGGCTATCAAAGACTGTCCTTGTCTGCTTAAAAATAAAAGTACGTATTTGAAAAAAAAAAAAATCAATCTGAATCTCAAAAAACTATCCGTAATTTCTGACTGTAATCATTACAAGCATTTTATGTGCTTGTTTGTTTGTGTGTGTGTGTGTGTGTGTGTGTGTGTGTGTACCCCTTTACGCGGAGAGTGTCTGGCTCAATGCTATTTTTAGATTCGCCCCTCCCGCCTGCTCCCGCCTCCGCAAGCCGCGCGGTAAGGTTGCGCAGTGCATGTCTCTGTTGCGTTATCAGTGACGTCATATGACGTATCGGACTGTGATTGGCCATGCATCCCTACCTCCCTCCGCTGCTAGCTGTAATTGGTTTAAAGTAATATGACGTGTCCACCCGGGGGAGGGAGGGAGGGAGGAAAGACGACGCTTGACCTAGCCGCGGCAGTTTCATCCCTCCAGGCCGCACCGTGTAATCGTGCATCCATTGTTCTGTAAAATGGCTTCTGCCGGACCACCGCCCCCAGAGAGAAACCTTTCCTTGCCTGGACCCAGCCGCCCTAAGCCAAAGAAGACACGACGTTCCTTAAGCTACGAGGTGAAGTACAAGATCATCCAAGAGTTGGAGAAAGGAACAAGACAGGTTGATTTGGCGCGCCAGCATGGTGTGAACGAATCTACGATCCGGACGATAAAGAAGGATGCAGCCAAGATAAAGGAGCACATGAACATCACAAAGTCTACAGGTGCTTCTATGATCAAGTATTTCCACAACCAGGTGCTTCTCAAGACGGAAAAATTACTTGTGAGCTACTTGGTGTGTCAGGCGCGACGGAACATGGTGGTGGACACGCGCTCTGTTAAGGAGTACGCACGTGAACTGTATGCTGCAGTGTCACGAAAGATGGGAATTACAGAGCCCAAACCCTTTAATGCTTCCTCTTGGTGGTTACAGAGGTTTAAGAAGAGGAACAATATCACCAATATCAACATTGGTGGTGAAGAAGCTAGTGCTGACCATGTTGCGGCTAGGGAATTTCCTCCGTTTTTACTTGAGATTATGGAGGAAGGACAGTACACCGACGACCAGGTGTTTAACATGGACGAATCTGGTCTTTTTTGGAAAAAGGTACCTTCCAAGACCTTCGTTGTGAAGAATGCCAGCAAGATTCGGGGCCGGAAGTTGCAGAAGGAGCGCATCACCATCCTGTTTACCACCAATGCCTCCGGTACCTGTAAGCTCAAGTTATTGGTGATCCACACAGCACGCAACCCGCACGCCTACAAAAGCATGGACATGACCAAGCTAAATGTCCACTGGCTGACCGCACGTAAGGCGTGGATGTTCTCTACACTGTCCCTCTTTTGGTTTGATGACTGTTTCGTTCCCGATGTGAAGAAATTCTGTGAGCAACAGAATGTGCCATTCAAGATTTTGTTGCTGCTGGACAACGCACCAGGACACTCGCCCCTACTGTTAGATCGTCACCCCAACGTAAAAGTGGTCTTCCTTCCTCCCAACACTACGTCTATATTACAGCCCATGGACCAAGAGTTAATCTGTAATGTAAAAGCTGCATTCTCTACGAAAAAATTCAAGCTCCTGAACGACTACACCAACACCAGGGAAGAGTTGCGTAACCTGAGTAACACCACCACCGATAGCAAGAGCGAAGAAGACGAGGATCAACAGTTGGCAGAGCAAAAAATACTTTTCAAACAATTCTGGAGAATATTTAACATCAGGAAAACTGTGGACTTCTTGGTGGAGGCATGGGATCAGCTGTCTGTAGCAACTGTTCGTTACGCATTAGGGGTGTGTCATAGGAGGGAAGATCAGCTAAAACTAATGGCCCATCACTTTTTTAAGTAGATTTTAGTGTATATAAACATAAAATAATTTCAGTTTCAGTATTTTGCAACCTTTTGCTAGGTAAATTTTAGCGTGAAATTTATCGAAAATCTAACGTACAGCTGCATTAGTGCATTACAATTAAATAGTGAACATTGCTTTCTGACTTCATTCTTTAACAACCCAACTAACAATATTTTTTTCTGTTTCAGATTCTGATGCATTTATAAGTTGATAATATTTGCGATGGCTGCTTGTGTCAGGACGAGGAACCAAAAATCCAGCCATCTCAGTCACTATCTTGGGTCTGGGAGAGAGCTCCTGAAGTCGGAGTTGCCTACATTGAGAGATGCTTTGAGATATGTGTTTTTAATCAGGCAAATCAGTGAAAAGAACCAAAGAACTTACACAAACAAAGACATTGCCAGTGATATGACCAAAGTTGTCTTGGCACAGTACACTCTGGCTAACGCTCAGTTCAAGCCTCCAGTCATAACAAGTCAGAAGAAGATTAGTGAGAGACTGCTAGCCAGTTGGGAAAAGGCAAGAGATATCTCTCTTGGGAGAGGAAAACTTGTAGTTAAGGACAGCTTTGCCAAGCAACTGGACCAGTTATTTGACATAATTACTTGCAAGTGCCCAATTGTTCTCTGTCCTGAGTTTGGATGCGATCGTGACTGTAAATCCGAGGCCCAACATCTCTTGTATTTGCAAGCGTGAACTGAAGATTCCTGTGATCGAACTGGCATTTGTCAAAGCACAGAGAGAGAAGACTGGCAGTATAGGGGCTCTCATGATTTCTAGCCAAGATATTCCGGAGTCCAAGAGACAGGAGGCTGCCACAGAGACAGAAGAGGAGAAGAGTTGCCGAGGAAAAGAGACCTGAGAAGGCCCAGGGTGAGGTAAAAAAGGCCGATGATTGGAGTCAAGCTGATTCAGAGTTTAATGACTTCCCCATGGCTGATCCGAGTGCTGACCAGGAGAATGGTGACTTTGTCCCTAACCCAGAAAATAATGATCCCAAACTTTCCAGGCATAAGATTCGAAATAGGAAAGATATCCCGAGCATAGCTCTGGCCAGCATGCGACACCACACTGGTCTCAGAGAAACTGCAGAGATAGCAACAGGTGCCTGGGTTGACGGTGGTTTTGATAACACCTGATGATGTTCACCTGGTGATAGATCATAACAAAGTAAGGAGAGCTCAGGAGAAACTTGTCAGTAACCTAGAAGAGGAGTTTGATAAGGGGATAAGAGAAAATGGAATCAATTGTTTGTTCTTTGATGGGAGAAGGGATGACACTAAAGTGTTCATGAAAGTTGGAGATTCTGACAAGTTGTTCCCTGCCATGGTGAAGGAGGGAACACTACTCCTGCTGCAGTGAACCAGGAGGGAAGTATTTGTGGCATTTCACTCCAGAGAAAGATGACATCAGGAAACCAGCTGAGATAGTGGCAGATAACATTGTAAACTGGCTCAGAGAGAGGAACGTAGACCAGACCCTGCAGGCCATTGGAGGGGACAGCACCAACACGAACACAGGGTGGCAAGGGGGGTCATACAGTGGATAGAGCGAAGATTGGGAGGAAGCTGGTCTGGATTGTTTGTGACCTCCACACCAACGAGTTGCCACTCAGACATCTGATCCAGGAGCTGGATGGCAAGACTCTTTCAAACAACAGATGGTCTGGTCCTCTTGGCAAGATGCTGGACTCTGCCACTGAATTAGAAATAAATCCGAGCTTTGAAAAAATCACAGTTGGCCCTCCACTCGTTGAGCTTGCACATACTGTCATTGACGACCTGAGTACTGACCAGTACTATGGTCACATGATTTGCAGTGCCATCAAAACTGGCGTCATGCCTGATAGACTTGCTTACCTGCAGATAGGTCCAGTCTCACATTCTAGGTGGCTCACAACGGCTCTCAGGTTCTGCAGAATTTGGGTCGCTCATCATAAACTGAAAGGGAACCAGCTTCACAACCTGAGACTTATTGTCCAATTCATCGTGAGTGTCTACTTGCCAAATTGGTTCAACACCAAGGTCAAGTCATCGTTCTCCGAAGGTCCGAGGCATGTTCTCTTCCAGCTTGAGCTCCTGAGGAGTCAGCCAAGGAAGGTTGTTCAGATAGTGGAGCAGACTGTGAGGAGATCTTCCTGGTATGCTCATCCCGAGGCAGTTCTGCAGACAATGCTCTGCAGTAAGGATGAGGAGGAGAGAAGAGTGGCAGTCAAAAAGATCTTGGATATGAGACTTATGAGAGGATCTGGGCATGACGAATCAGTTGGTGACGATTCCTTCAGGGTCAGGAAGACTCCTGAAGTCAATCTAGGTGCCAAGACCCTCACTGATCTCATAGATCTGGATAACATCCAGGCTGGCAGTGAGCCCCCTCTTACCTGCAGCCTCACCAATGTTCAAGTCAGAGCTTTCCTGGACAACCCCATGCATGTCCCTGCCTGGCCCTCGCACACAGAGTATAGAGCGTTGTGTACAGCAAGTGAGCGAGGCCAGCAGTCACGTGTACAGCCAGGAGAGGAGGGAAGGCTACATCCGAGCTCAGGTGGTCAGCAGGGAGGTGATGAGTAGAAACAGAAGCAAGAAAGACATGTTCTCTATGGTGTGCAGCAACACCGGGTCGTAGTAGTAAAACCGGTTTTTGTATTTGATGATTTTGTTTTCTAAAGGAATATTAAATTTAATAAATGTGTCAAGATCATTCGTTTCACTATTCTGGATCATTTTCATCCTAATAAATTAACCTGATACATTTACTTTACTTTAAATAAGCTATTTAGTGGTGTTGGTAAAAGGGTGGGAATACTGAATTTTCATAAGATTTCAAGTTAAAATTTACCTAGCAAAAAATGAGAACTTTTCAAATCTGAAGATATCACATGATTCTGCACATAGAACTACATCATTAATACCATGGGCCGATGTTTCAAACTCAAAAAAAAAAAATTCGCCTCCGTATGACACACAATCTCTATTACGCATGGAGCATTACGGTTGCAAGGCATTCCGGCCGTTAGGCAGAGTCAATCTGTGACTGGTGAGGTTCAGACTGTTGCAGTAGCAGTGGACCTTGCCAGAGAAGCTCGAGAGTGTTACAGCTGCAGGCTTCTCCGAAACCACCAACGACGACATCCTGGAGGTGATAAAGGATCCTGATGTTCAGATTGTGGAGCAGACTGTGAGGAGATCTTCCTGGTATGCTCATCCCGAGGCAGTTCTGCAGACAATGCTCTGCAGTAAGGATGAGGAGGAGAGAAGAGTGGCAGTCAAAAAGATCTTGGATATGAGACTTATGAGAGGATCTGGGCATGACGAATCAGTTGGTGACGATTCCTTCAGGGTCAGGAAGACTCCTGAAGTCAATCTAGGTGCCAAGACCCTCACTGATCTCATAGATCTGGATAACATCCAGGCTGGCAGTGAGCCCCCTCTTACCTGTAGCCTCACCAATGTTCAAGTCAGAGCTTTCCTGGACAACCCCATGCATGTCCCTGCCTGGCCCTCGCACACCCAGAGTATAGAGCGTTGTGTACAGCAAGTGAGCGAGGCCAGCAGTCACATGTACAGCCAGGAGAGGAGGGAAGGCTACATCCGAGCTCAGGTGGTCAGCAGGGAGGTGATGAGTAGAAACAGAAGCAAGAAAGACATGTTCTCTATGGTGTGCAGCAACACCGGGTCGTAGTAGTAAAACCGGTTTTTGTATTTGATGATTTTGTTTTCTAAAGGAATATTAAATTTAATAAAGTGTCAAGATCATTCGTTTCACCTCTGGATCATTTTCATCCTAATAAATTAACCTGATACATTTACTTTACTTTAAATAAGCTATTTAAGTGGTGTTGGTAAAAGGGTGGGAATACTGAATTTTCATAAGATTTCAAGTTAAAATTTACCTAGCAAAAAATGAAAACTTTTCAAATCTGAAGATATCACATGATTCTGCACATAGAACTACATCATTAATACCATGGGCCGATTTTTCAAACTCAAAAAAAAAAAATTCGCCTCCGTATGACACACCCTACTGTGGTACCCCACTTGTTACAGGTACAGATGACGATTTCGTGCCATTAATCACCACACACTGCTTGCGGTCATGCAGAAAGTCTTCTATCCACGCTAGGACATTTCCCCGAATTCCGTACCCTTTCAGTTTGATTTTCAGCCTTTCGTGGGGTACACTGTCGAAAGCCTTGACAAAATCTAGGTAAATATTGTCAATATTACCACCCCGTTCCAGAATATGGGTCCAAATATCCAATACCTTGAGCAATTGTGTTAAGCAAGAGCGCCCCGGCATAAAACCGTGTTGGCAATCTTTTACAAGGTTGTTTCGTAGTAGATGTTCCATCGCGGCATCTCTGATATTACTCTCAAGCACTTTACATATTAAGCTGGTCAGGCTCACCGGTCTATAGTTGTTCGTGGAGTGACTATCGCCCTTCTTGAAGATAGGACTCACATAAGCCACTTTCTATTCACTGGGGACCATTTGTTCATCCAGGCATTTACAAAACAGGATCTTCAGGGGTTCTGCAAGCTCGTTGCACAGCTCTCTTAGCACTCTAGGATGCACCGTGTCAGGTCCGGGACTCTTATGGACCTTTAGCCTGGACAGTTTATTTCTAATACCCTCTTCTGTGAACACAATGTGGGTCAGTGCTGTGTCGAACCGTCTGTCCTCAAACGCAGGAAGGTTAGTTGCATCCTCTCTTGTGAACACTGAGGAAAAGAAGCTGTTCAATGCCTCAGCTTTATCCTGGTCAGAATCTGCGTAACTACCATTTTCAAGCCTCAGGTCTGATACTCCTACTCGCGTTTTCAATTTCGACTTTGCATAGCGGTAAAACGCCTTTGGGTTTGACTTGACCTCGCGTGCAACCAGCCTCTGGAACTCCTTTTCAGCCCTCCTACACTCTATCTTTGCTTGGTTTCTGGCTCTTGCATACATCCTCCTGTCTTGCTCATCGTTTGACCCAACCCACGTCTTGAATTTCTGGGTTTTCTTCTTAATTTTGTCGATCGCCGCATGGTTCATGTGTAGTGATCCCCTCGTATTCTTAGAAGATATTTGTTTTAGCTCATAAAATTCATACAAATTACTGGACCAGAATATAATTTACATTGCTGGAATTCTTACAATATGATGATCATTTTGAATATAAACATCATGGATTTTGCATTAGACATACAAATTTTAGATCTAATGTAATAATTTGGTTTACACAAAGCAAGTATTTTATCTTTTGTGCAAAATATATGAAGTTTAAATTAAAAATATTCCCTGACCTGCAAGGAATCCAGAAATGTCAATTATATTATCCTAACTTTAGTCTGAGGTATTATTTATTACTAAACGTTAAAATCTAGTGTTTCACCCAATCATTTCTCAGAGAGGTAGGGGCCAGTGAGCTGGGAAGAGGGTGGGGGGGGATTTGAGTCTATTATTTGAATGGACATTAACCTGGCGACTGTATTTCTCTTAAATATTAATTGTGTGAGCATACCATCATAAAATTTAGATGTTATTTTTACTACAACATAGGTATTGTGTCGGAAAAAGTGGAGTTTGGGGGTCGGGCCAGTCTCTATTGGAATTAATCCCATATATTCTGTTGTTCCATTTACGCGGATTTCACTTTCCGCGGTACCCTGTGGGTTCAATTGACCTCGTAAATCGGGGTACTACTATATATATATATATATATATATATATATATATATATATATATATATATATATATATATATATATATATATATATATATATATATATATATATATATATATATATATATATATATATATATATATATATATATATATATATATATATATATATATATATATATATATATATATATATATATATATATATATATATATATATATATATATATATATATATATATATATATATATATATATACACAGTGACCCCTCGTTTAACAAACGCCTCGGTTAACGAACTGCCTTCCATAAGGATCTTCAATTTGGTTAACGAACAAAAATTCGGTTAATGAATTTCTTACGAACCGACCTCAACATGTTTTCGCTTGCACTGGCCGGGCAACCAGCTTTAGTATCAGTCCGCCAATACATTAATCGGTTCTAGGGCTTAAATTCCTAACTATTTTAGTAAATATCAAGAAGTTTATACTATTCAATAATTTTAAAAGTTTAATATTCAATTTTTTAGTCATTTTAACAATTATTGAACATAATTGAAGGTAAAGTGACTAGTTTAAAGTGCAGCATCCAGCCTCTTAACACAGCAAACAGGCGTTAGTCTCTCTGTTTTCACTGGAGGTAACATCTTGCTTGAGACTCTCTTCAACTAAACGCTTTTTTTCTGTGTTTCCAAGCAAATTATTGGTCATTTTGAAATATATTTTACATATTGACAATATATAATGCAGTACAGTGTTGATTTAAAGAAAATAATCTTGAAATACACCAAGAGAACTAAAATTTTATGGGTGAAATGGTGCCATGGGGTGACTTCTCTTCCACCCCAATGCCTTCTCTTCTTCCTTCTCCTCCACCCCCATTGTAATTCCCATCATCATCATCATCATCCAGGAGCCTTCTACATACACACCTCAAAGTAAGTGAACTTTTCTACCATTTTTGTTGAATTTAGGAAATTTTCGGTGAGCTGGAACCAATTACCCAAAAACCCATTGAAACAATGGTTTCGGTTAACGAACTTTTCGGTTAACGAACGACCTTCTGGAACGGATTGAGTTCGTTAACCGAGGGGTCACTGTATATCATTAGCCCAATAAAGCACGCGGACTTCTACATACAATCAACACCTCAACCCGTCAGGATTGGTGTTGATTGTATGTAGAAGTCCGCGTGTTTTATTGGGCTAATGAAATATATATGGATCCTCGTGTTTCGAAGTCGGATTTGGTAAAACGTTACTCTGACCACCTACGTTATACGGGTAGTCCCCATTAGAGGTTCACGGCGCCATAAGCTCGTTGAACAGGCTTTGTGTGAAATATAACAAAGTCTAGGACTGCTTTTAGTATCCTGGTGGTCCAACGGTTAGCGTTCCCCGGTCACAGTCATGGGGCCGTGGGTTCGAATCCTGGCTGGTTGAGGTGTTGATTTTATATATACTTGTATATGTGTGTGTGTGTGTGTGTGTGTGTGGATAGATTTGATTTTATTTGAATTAAGTTCATCTGAACAAAATTTTCCATAGACCGACTTTCTGGGTCAGCCCGTGGTGTGTCACCCCATTGGTGCATCCTTCGCTGTCGAACGTAGAAATGAAGATGACATGATGAAAACCACGAACAATGTTCTTCCTAAGCCCCCGTAAGTAGCTGGATGATGACATTCTGAAATGAAGGTAGTATTGTTAACATTATCATCATTTTTATTTTATTTTTAATATTACTTTTGCTCCGTCTTGTCTCATAAAATCCTGGATCTGCCTTTGTTTATCTATTAATGAAGCAAAACAGAGATAGAAATATTGAGGAGAGTTCAAGCAGACATCACTGTGTCTGCTCTTGGTTGTATTTTGGGCCTTGGGGAGAGCATAATGTGTGCATTAAGAATATTGACAAAAGAAGGAACTTAATGATGCAGGTAGCATCTCAGCATCTCTTTCAGCATATATTATGACAAGAATAAAAAGATCTGAGCTGAAGAAAGTGTTGGGAATTTTTAAGAGCACCACACCCAAAGAATAATGGTGGATCTTAAGTGGTTACAAGTCCCTGTTGATGATGAGCTTTCTAGTAAATATAAGTTTTATTTCTTTTAATGTGTTATTTATATTATGTCACATGATATTTTTACTCTATTGGGAGATTTTTAAATTGATTTGTTATCAAGTTATACATTATTTTTGCAGTAGAGGTCAAATAATGCTCCCATAGTAAAATACCTCTAATAAAATGGCTCTCTTTTAGGCAAAATTTTTTTATTTGAACATTTTTAAAACACAATCCCAACATAAAGCAATAGGCACCTGTTTTGGGGATGGACAAGAGCTGTGGATGATGATAGAGATGGTTGATAGTTGTAGATGATTAAGTTTATTATTTAACATTGAAATATTATGTGCAGATCCAATAGGGGTGAGATTGTAACCCTGAAGAAAGCGTCAACACAGAAGACACCAGTTTTTAACTGTTCCAACAGTCTCATTAAGTGTGCCAAAATCAACTGCCACATAAACTCCTGGCCAGTTGGTATCTCTTCTGCAGAAATCGTATTCAAGCTAGAGATTGATCTTGCCATTCTAGGTAAGTGTTGCTTCACTATGTCTTTCTCTCTCACCCTTAAAGAAACTAAACCCATGAGAATGCATTCTCATCCTCAAAAATCAAATGCTATCTTTGGGATAGTTACTCCAGAACCACTTCGTGGTTTTGCTGATGTCAAAATTAGCTCATGGAGCAATTTTGGAATTTGTATATAAATATACTGTACAGTAAGATCTTGTATTTCGCAAGTAATATAGACTGGAAAAATTGCCCTAAATTCAAATTCGCCAAATGCAAATACATACACTAATGGGAAAAATAACAATATAGACATCAACCTCTAATTTTCCCATTTATAACATCCAAATGATACAAATTCTGCCTTTATTGTGCTTTCCGGAAACTAGTTTTTAGGCCTTGCTCGATGCCTTATCATGCATCGAGTACTTGGCAAACTTAACTCCCTTATGATAGTCCCGCTTCTCCTTTTCCTTATTTGGCTGCTTAGGCCCACCAGCACCATTAGGACCCCCAGTAGAGGTAGTGGCCATTATCTTGACTCGACAGGTGTTCTTGGAAACTGGAGTGGATTTCTCCCCTACAAACGCTGTTTGTCGCTGAGTAGCCGACCCCACCAATTCCCCAGTGTATGCCTCGTGGTCTAGGTCAACCAGCGCCGCCATACATCACGGAGCGGGGGTCAACTACTAAGCCACGCCTACCCCCCGCTATTTAAGACCTGACCTCGTGGTGACCTGTTCTCTTTCTACCTACAGCCGCAGATCTTGAACCCCACAAAACATTCTTCTTACCTTGTTCTTCATATTCATCGCTAACACAACAAAATTGGAGAAAACAACGAAAATCACGGAGTAATCGACAGAAACAGCGCAATTCAACTGAACGTGATGTAAACAGAGAGCGCTAGTGTAAACCGTTATTAGTCCTCGCTGCGAAACATTCTTTTTACCTGTTCTTTTCATACAGTATTTATGGGTAACAGCTAAATTTGCAAAAAAAGAACGAAATTTACAAAGTACCTCTCAAAAAACACTTCACAAACAAAAGACACAAATCAATTGAACATGCGATGTTGAACGTGAACTGTAAACATTGCATAACCCCGCGCCACGCTTAAAATGTTGAGGATGGAATCGTGCTATAGCCAACATTTGTATGCAAAAGTTCGCGTTTTACAAACAGCATTCCCCTATTCATCAATTGCGTTACAACTGGTATGAGGGTTGTGATGTCATTCAAGACGGTGGCCAGCATTCAGCTGGCTGGATCTCATGTTCAGCTGGATAGATCTCGCGAAACTCACGATATTTTACGCCAAATATAAGACTTGGTTACATTAGGTAGTGCTCACGAAATTCAAAAAGGTGAAATGAAATCACGCCAAATATGAGATCTTACTGTACAGTATTTGTTTGTAGATAAACTTACTTGGCTCTAATTTGGAATTGTTAAAGCCCAAGCTGTAAAACTCTGAAAGTTATGCAGGCTTAATATAAGGTCTGTTGCAACTCGAGGCTTTCCTGTAGTTTGGTACAAAATTACAGTAGTGTAGTTAGGTACTAATATACAGTGCAGGTAGTTAGATATTAATTTACAGTACTGTAGTTAGGTTTTTTGTTGATTGTGAACCATTTTTTTTAAGGTATAATATTGTGTGGTTTTCTTGTCATTTGGAAACCAAACCCTACGTTACTCTTGTTATGTTATTCACTTTTGGAATATACACTCTATGTATGGTTTTCAAGGAACCTAACTTTTACTTTTATCCAATTCACCACTGATCGGCTCCTTAGTCACCTGGGTGATCGGTACTGTACTAAGATATGGGAAGGCTTTGTGCCCTCGTGGCCATACAATATTATTTAAAAGTTAACTTGGCTACCCTGTCTTTTGACCTAGGTGTACCCTCATTTGTTGAATGTTGCTTCCTAAAATAGTTTTTCGTCTGTATTTTTTTACTCGATTTTCCTTAGCAGTTGCTGGTATGACTATGTGCTGCCTTTAAAGTATTCCTCACCAAATTTTGATCTTCATATGAATGTTGGATTATATGCACAATCATAGTTATTAAAAATCCTTCTTTATACCTATTGTGGCACCATTTTTATTTTTCTATTTTACCCAAGCACTCCTATGTCTGTGTTTTTCCCTATAAATGCTCACTACTATTCTATTTGTTTATTTTCAAATTTCCTCAGTATTCATTGGTTTAAATATGGACTGTCTTATGGTAGATATAATCTCGGGTTGTCCTGCTGATATTGAATTGAAGTTATAGATACAACTACTGTATTCTTTATCTACTCTATGTACTGTATCATGACTTGTAGCACTATTTTCTTTTATTCTTACAAATCTTGCCTCTCACAATAAAGAATTGACCTTCAGTTGTGAATGACAACATAAGCGCAACACCAACTGACACATTCACTTCATCAGAATGACCTTTATGAATTTACTGACCAGTTTTTGTTGTTTACAAGCACAATCCCAATTGTCAGAGCTCTTTGTTACAGAGACACAACTTGACACATCTGATTAAAGCTCAGCTTTAAAATAGGATTTCAGAATCAGTCCTCCTTTATTGAGGCACTGTTTAATTCTGTTCACTAATCACTTAATAATACAGTAGTACAGTACTTGTATCCACTTTTAACACTAAACTGATGCCAAGCAGAGATGATAACTCTTCCATGTTTTGAGTTTGAGTAGTTTGGAAAGTAGAATTTGCACTGCATTTTTACCTCCCACAAAACCAAATTATTCAGGAACGATATAGTCATAGTGCTATCTATTCATCCATCCATTGTGTGACAAAAGGTTTCTACACAATAGAACATAAAAAGTTTTTTGTATCTTATAGTTTTGGTGATGGATCAACCATTCCACTGATTGCTTTATTTACTTTTTCATTTGGGTTTATACAAGGTATTGAGGTAAAGTTTCTTGTTCACATGACAAGAATGAGGTTGAAGTTGGTATCTTTAATTTGTAATATTAGTCAGTTTAACTTTTGAGTGAATGATATAAGAGAGATATACCTATTACTTATTTCATGTGTTTTGGGGAATATTTACACTTTACGTGATGTGTGTTCATTACTCCTCACAGCTGGTTACATCACAGCCAGAGATGGAGCAGTTCTACAGAGCACAGCCACAGCTTCCATCACTTCTCTAAATCCTGATATAGTTTTCACTGGAGAAAAGTAAGGGAATTTTTTTCATCAAGTTTGTTTATCTTTTGTATGTGACATTTCGTACATTTAAAATAAGGTGACACATTTAGATTTTTTATTTATGCCTCATTCAACATCCATCATCTCCACACATATAAATATTATGTCATTAACAGAACAAAATGTTTCTGTGAATGTAATTTTTTTTTTAGTGCACTTAATTGAAACATTCCCTGTTCATTTAATTACACCCAACCTGGTGTCTTCCACCCTTTAGCAGGGTGATATGATGCGATTCTTGTTTAAGCATTCCTGTCTTTACACAACATTTATAAATTAAATATTGAAAAAGTGGTTGCCATTGGCAAAAGGTAGCCCAGATGTCATCAGAGAAAAATGCAATTACCATTTGATAGTTTATTGTACTGTACATATACAGTACAGTAGAACGTCGATTTAAAGCGATTCAATTTAAGATTACTGATTTAAAGCAACACCCATAATTAAGGACAATGTTTTAATTTAAAGCGAATCTTTCCTATTTTGCGCGAGTCAATCTGGCGCATCATATTTTAAAATTCGCGCCTAATGTTTCTCTGGGCACGCTACACTGTCCTAAGGGCAAAGCTGTGCTGTACATGTACTCAAAATAATGTACTAAATGATTACTAAAATTTTTGTCTAGTGCAAACTATAGCATGTTTATACGTATTCAAATTAATTTCTATCTTAGAAGAATTCCAGCAATGTAAATTATATTCTCCCTGGTCACTTTTGTGACATTTTATAAGCAAAAAACAAAATCTCAATCTAAAGGACATAAATAAACAAACAAATAAATACTCCCAGCCAGGGGTTGGTGGTTTTAGGCTTAAAGTTTTTATCTTATATAGTATCACAGACTAAAGCTAGGAGAATATAATTTGCATTGCTAGAATCCTTGCAAGACGGCGAATAATTTTAATATGAACGTCATATATTTTGCACAAGAGATAAAAATTTTAGCCCTATGTAAAAAAATTAATTAGAACAGGTCAGTTCAGTGACATTTTGTAAGAGAAAAATTTAGTCACTCTTAAAGACATAAATAAATAAGCACTAGACCTTGCCAATCTTCACATCAGCTGATCGCTAGTAAACAGACCATTTCACGTCCCATAATTTTAGCTTTTTTTTTTTTACGGGGATTAGCCCACCCAGGCACAGGTAACTGACCCACATCGGGGCCTGGGGGTGGGGGGGGGGGGATTTAATTATAATAATAATAATAATAATAAAGAAATAAAAAAAATGAATGATCACTGAGTGAGAAACAATATATGTACAGTATGTTGTGTTGTCAATGGTAAGAGTAACAATTGAGACCCTGCAATTGTGTAAATGAGGCAGAAAATCAGATCAGCATTATGGTTCCAATATCTTCCCAGGCTGTGTTGATTTATGAGTGTTTGTTTTAACATAATACTACAAAAAACAATGTTTTGTTTATTCTAGGAGATAGGCTGAGGTGCATCTGGGTAGATGCTCAGTCTTTTTAGTACAGTATTGTGTTTCTCTCAAGTACCAAACTAAATTATTCCATTGAAACAACACTTCGATTTAGTGCGAATTCGGTTTAAAGCGACCTCTCTTGGAAAGTATCTCGTGTTATATCGACGTTCTACTGTACTGTAAGTCTTAATTTATAATATCACAATTTTACTTATCTGAATAAAGAATAACAAGATAAAGTGCTGTTGGTGAATTATGATGATCTGTTATTTATTTCATATAATGTATTGTCAATACAAATTCTGAATAAAATACACCTTAGCAAGAATAGCAGCTGGCATATGTGGTCACTGCCTAGCTTATGCAATTGATGGGCAAGGGGTGACTTAATATTGAAGTTTATAAACATCTCAGAGGGCTCTACTCGTCAAGTGTCCATACCTGGAGCTGGTGGACACCCGCTCCACGAGGCGTTACAGATCAAGGACGGAGAAGCCACAAGTCCATAAAATTTTTAGGGCAAACTTTTTCGGAGTGAGAATTGTAAACTCTTGGAACAACCTGCCAGAGTGTTGTGACAGCACTGAATGTAAGCTCTTTAAGACCAGAATTGACCAACACTGGTACAGGCACAGATCATTCAGGAGCCAGTACTAGCCAACAGTGCCCAAGCAGCTAACGAGCCGATCAGTGATGAAGAGGATAATAATAAAATTAACATATTGCAGACCTTTACTGGGGAAATCTTATAATGAGTGTTTAGATTCTCAGGGCATCCCCTATTATGTCAATCAGAGTTGATCTTTTAATTTGTTTTGAATGCATGAATCACCTTTCCTTCTTTATCATACTTTTGACCTCTAATTGAGGAGGATGTGGTGCAACAGTTGCCCTTTGGAGTCTTTTAGTCATGCCTATTCAATCCTTAAACATATTGTACAAAGGCTTCTGTCTGCTTTGTAGATTTCTGGCCAGTCTGCCGTTTTGTGTTTCAGTTCTCAGCTGACAGCCATCAAAATCAGTTACAATAAACCCTCCAAATACCAGACTAATTCATGCAAACCCAGTTCCTTATTGGGAATATTCCCTTAATGGGAGGGTTTCTTGTGTTTTCCAGTGTACAGTATACACAAAATAATACAATAAAATCTTTTGCACAGCATTCTCAGCCAACAAAAAGCACATCTTACTGTATATGGTACACTTGAGTATCAGGAGTCCAAAAGATTTGGTCAAGGATTCTGAGACTATAGGAGTAGAGCTCACTCAATGTTAAATTTTGTATCTTCCCGCGATAGTGGCATTGCCCATTACTCCATACATGATAGTATTGTACAATAACACCAGATTACCTGTATTCAATAAAAACAATTTATCCGGCTTATTTACCTACTTAAGGTAATATACTCCTTTTGGTTCTTCAGTAAGAGCAATGGTGATGTTACAGCTTTACACCAGTTTTTCACCATTACAAATTACTGTATTTTAAAAAAGCATTGCAGACAGGTAACCAATGCACTTTATTGTAGAGTTATTACTATTGAGTTTGCCCTGATCCAATTTTGTTTATGTTAGGTATAAAAAGGTGTCAGAAGGATCAACTCATCAGCTTCATTCTGACTTGCACAGCACAGACCTATTCAAGGCATGGCTTGTCATTATTGGCAATTAAGTGTTTGTTACTGGTATTGTTTTAGGCACAAATATGAGTGTACAGTGTTAACTAATGTCATGCAGTCTTAGGTGTGAGTAGTATGTATACTTTACAGATATGCAGTATTGATTATGTTCATATTATGTTGCTTGTTTGTTTACTGAAATTGACTGTTATCTGTTGATATAATATATGGAGCCAACATGCCCAGTACTGTGATCACATAGTTTCCCGGCATATACAGTATGTAGTTCAGCTTAACTTTTGTGCTAGATGATGAGATCAGGTTCAAAGGAAATATAAGAATAAGAGGATATTTATGATCTCATGGAAGGAACTGTCTGACTTGGGATTTAGTAAAATTTCGATGTGAGAGTCACAGTATGTCTTGCCTCAAGTCACCAAATTTGCATGTCATATGCTTTATGTTTGATTTATAAAGATATTAGTATCCTTCAGAGAATTTGAAAGCTGTTTGGTACTGAAGCAATTAAGTAATTTCCACTGACTTGTTCTACTGTATTTCTCATAAAGTCTTAGATACTGTACCTCTTTTCAGGTTTTCTCCCAGTGGAGGGTTTTAAGGAGTATGCCTCACTATTCTGTATATCATAATTTGGCTATGCAGTACAATATATCAAAATATTGTTTTGAAAATTAATGGAAATGCTCTGTTGATATACAGTATACTTCTTAGTGGAAAACAATAATGAGTAAATTTTTGTTTTACTATACAGTACAGTACTGTACTGTATTATATTTGGTTTTAGGATTGTATTTCAAAGTTTGAATAAAGATATTAGTAATAACTAACCCTGGAAAGAAATTTTCTTGTATCATATTGCTGAATAATTCTAACTTGGTGTAATTTACAGAGTTACGTCAGTAATGGTAAAAACACAGATTCAGCCTGACAGCCTGCCAGGGAGGGGAGTTCCCTGGTGGATCATTCTTTTGGCTGTACTTGCGGGCCTCCTGCTTCTGGGCCTCTTAGCATATGGTCTCTACAGGGTAAGGGAAAAATATTGAATTTATACAGAATATCTTTTTTTTTTCTTTTCTATTAAATTTTTTGGGTGTACAGTATACAGTACTGTATAGATGTAAAGTCAACATATCAAGTGAATGGTTAGTACTATACATTATACCTGGTATATCTATTAAAATCTCTACATACAATCTCAGTTATGTTACTTAGTCTCAGACTGTTATGATAACCATTGTTTTTAATTACAGGCAGACCCTGATTTAAGTGGAATTGATTTATGAAAATTTATAACTACAGTAGTACAAGAAAAAAATTACCGGTAGCCCAAGTTTTTATTTATAAGCAAAAACCCTGAATTTATAAGAAAGAATCACTTGTAATAATGAAAAAATACAAAAATAATGTTGCTTATTTTACTACCAGTACAGTATGAATGTTTATTTCACTAACTTATTTCATAATTCTCTTACACTTGCAATCCTATCTAGTTATAATGGGGAGTGTTTGTCCGTGTAAGATGAGATGCACAGTTTAGAATCAAGATGAGATGTGGAATTTAGATTCTTGGAAAACTTTCCCCAGAACCTAGAAATATTCTGGGGATGTGGGCTAGTGTCCATCTGGGCAAGATGCATAGTTGAGACTCACAAAAACTTTTTGCAGTAGCTGGAAAAAATTACGGGGATAAGGGATTTTTCCGAGTTCAAGAAAGTTGTCTGGTTATCCCGGGCATCTCTCATTGCCGGAAGTGCTCTGCACCAGTTGTTCCAGCTAACCGTGATATCACTGTACTTGAGATTTGTACAGTTGAAGGAGCGGTTTACTGAAAGGCTTCTACAGGAGCATCTATTACACTTCATCCTCAGACCTAATCACAGATACAGGGGTCTGCCAAAGAACATTACCTGTAGTTCACTATTTCTTATTGGATGCATTATCTTTCAGGCTGGATTCTTCACCCGTAAAGAACAAGAAAAAATGAAAGCTCAACAGGCTCATGTTCAACCTGCTGGTAATGTCAACTCGGGTATTGTGGGGGATTAATTAGGTAATAATTTGTGTGTACGATGTCATGATGAATCCCAATTTTTTTGAGTATTATAACTATATTGACATCATAAAAACACTGGAGTCATACTAATTTTCTCTTATTAAAACTCCCATTGGATATATTGCTGAGACAATTCTGTGATATTCAAGTACACATGCACTGTAATATGTAATAACAATCCTGAGTGTCTGTCCACACACTTCCTTTAAGCACCACCCAGTTACATATTTTGCAATACTGAGATTCCAACCATCCATTGTCACATATTCTGTACACACCCAGTTTCTACCCCATCTGGAGTTCCCCATGGACTCACTTGTTAAAATTAGTTATTTTAAGCATTTTTCATCATATTTTTTGTGGCTTACAATGGCAATATGACGAATTCATTAGTTAATTGACAAAGAACTAGTGACATGAAGATAATGATTAGTTGTCAATAAAAATATGTAGAGAACAACAAGTGATCTAGTGAGAAAAGTAATCAAAGCTGCAGATTTACTCTATAAGGATGTCAGTATTAGTCCAGTTAAGAATGCAGTATGTACTGTATATATTGGTATGGGTATCTGTAATTGGTTGCTCTGTATTTTTTTTATATGTAAATTTTTAATGCAGTGAACTTGAAGCCCTCTTTAATAATATATTTAAGGAGGGGTGTTAAACATTATAAGATTATTGTAAATCAGCATAAAAGTAAGCAGTACCACTCTTGTCTCTCATCACTTTGGTCACAGGGTCAAATCACTTGGTTGGATGTGAGAAAGATGTTATCCAGTGTGACCCGACCAAACATTGCAAGTTTTCTCCATGTACTCCGATTTCATTCTGTACTAACACTGAACAATGGAGATCATAACAAAGTAATAAAGAACAGACTATAGTATTTCCACACTAACCTGGCCTATAAGCCACACCCCTCTTCTATACTAATAGCTGATTAGTTCATAGAAAATTCAAACTAAATGTGTTCACAATTGGTAAGCAGATTTGTTATTATCTAAAATAATGTTAAATATAGTATCAGAACTATCAAAATGCAAATGATTTCAGAGCAATAACACTTCAGAGAGGATGTTAGAAAATTTTAAATATTTATAATGAAGGTCAATATAAACACTCGCTTATACACGCGCAGTCGGGGGGGGGGAGGGTAAAACGCTCAGGGGAACCAATCGGCTATTTGTAGCTATAGACAAGGGGCGGTGCTTATGGGCCAGCTTAGCATGGAAAGGGTAAAGTTTCCTAAACAGCTAGTAAGCTAATAAATGATATAAATGATGAACAAAATAATGTAGGTTGAAGAGGGATGAAAAAGAATTAGGCAAAATGTAAGCCACTTTTAATGTATGTGGGTATTATTACATGTATTAAAAGCTATAGTGTATACTATTCTTAACGATATGAAGTTTCTGTAAGGCATTTATTTTCCTCTTCTCCAGTCCGAAAGTGGGGAGCTTGTAATCCTACATTAATTTTTTTTTACAAAATGAAGAGAAAGTTAGGCATGTTGTAAATATGTTTTGTCAAATTACAGTAATGCCATCTTTTTGTTCAAGCCGAATGCGACATCAGCAAGCCATCTATTTTTCCTGTTATATATGTCAATGCCACACAGACTGGATGTGGAGAACAAAATGTTCACGAAACACTTTGGGATCCCTAGCTGTACACTCCAGGGTGTCTGAAAAGTCTGCCAAGAGGGAAATACTGTACAATAAATCAACATTTTTTTATATAAATATATTGTCAGAAAAGCTGCATACACAGTGCAGTTCCCTACAAAATATATTAATTTACAAAGAACACACCAGCTACTAAGTTTTTCCATAGAATAAGGGGCAAAGCGGCACATTTTGTTTTTCGTTTGTCTACAAAATTTGTTTATGCTCAAGAATTTGAGAACCGTTTCATGATCAAAGTGACATATGGTACAGTGATTTGTATATTTCTGTGGGTAGAATCTTCTTGGACATCCTGCATACTATGAAATTATGATTTAAGAAAATTAGGAGTCATGATCACTAAGTGGATGAGAAAGATTGGTTCTGGAAAAGTTTATCCCCCGTGAATTTTCATTAGTCTGCCATACCAAAGATCTGAATTTAGTTTTTATCTCTTTTGCATCTTTATTACCTGTAATATATGGTTAATATTGATTTAAATACAGATAAGAGAGGGACAATAACTTGGATGTAAATACTGTATTAGTCATTTGTTTTAATTATTTTTACAGTGACTTTTTTTGTCTTTGTCATCATAATAATAAAAAAAATGACAATGTTTGGTTCATGTGCACCAATAATTTGTTATACTGATTGTAAAATATATTAAATGTCTTTCCATGGTTTTTTCGTGGTATTAAATGTAAAAATGAACTTCTCAAACTCAAGCCTAGTCAAGAAATTTAATCCTTAAACTGAAGAATGTATAAAAAAATGTGTTATATATGTACTGCTTTAACTCATTTATACTGCCTAATGATGTGAATTTGAGGGAGATGCTTCAGTTCATAAGATAATTAAAAAATATTTGAGGGACTAATGCATTCAGTGCATGAAGTATTTTAGTCTTCCGTTGGAGTAAACCAGAGAGAGGACTTGGGACTTAGCTTGGATTTTGTACTGTATAGTGTACTCTGATCTCTATTTTTTGCCATAATTTTGTCCATCAGTATTTTTATAAGCATTGCATCAGAAATAATCATATTAATAAGAATAACTTGCTGTTAAAAAGAGCAAAAGATGCATTTATTCATAGTATATTATGCATATGATTTTTTCTGATCCATACTGTGATCTCGTCATTTTTAGCATATTATGATAATGAGTAAGTGTACTATTGTATGTGATGAAAAGTTTCCCATGGACTTTGATTCTTGTCTTTTTTGTGGGGGGCCAACAGAATCCTTGAGGATGCAACTACCCCTTATATAGTATGTTGTTTTTGCGACCACAGTCCTCCACTCTAAATGCTTCCGGGCTGTTTTTACCAATCCTCCAAGATTTTGTCTCTCCAGGGACCCAGTTTTTAATTTAATTCATCCATCTCAGTCTCTGCCTTCCCCTGGTTTATTTGTTTTTTGTATTTTTCTTATTAAAAAATTATATTCTTCAATGTCTCATCATCAATACAGTATTCTTCAACATGCTGAGGATCTAGGGTCGAAAAGTTGAAATGTGATAAATTGTTTGCAATGATTTTACTCACTTCGATTATTAAAGCTTAGGTACTCGCTTCAATTACTATAGCATGGTACTCACTTCAACAATTACTATAGTTTTAGATACAGTAATGATAATATCTCATTCCATGATAGTACAGTATTTCATTATCCATAAATTCCCAGAGCTATAATATTTTAGTGATACATTCACTCAGTGTCACAACAGTTAAGCTTATGTGATGAAAAGGTGTCCTGATGCATGGTCTGCTATGTGTTTGTCTGTCTTTGCATCGACATGAAAACTGCATTTCTGTTAAGATTTTCACACATCTGTATTTTATTTATGGCTACTTTGGTACAATATCTTTGATGGTGCAGTATCAGCCACTTTTTTCTGCCCTCCCCCCCATTATGTTGAATCATATTGCATTTTGCACATTTCTAGTTAATATTAATACTTTAATATATACGTTTTTCCTCCTGAGTGCCATATGAAGCTCAAGGACTTTAGGCTCTGACTTTTCATCCCATATATAAATACTGCATGTAAATGAGAATACATACTGTATGTAAGATTTTTTTATAATAATAAATGATAGATCTGCTAAAACTGTATTTTTTTGAACATTTTAAATGACTGTCTTGCAAATCCTTATTAGTGATAATTTATACCTACATTCAGAAATACAAAGGTAGAACAGCGCTTTGGCTTTCTTAAATTGTAACTAATGTACAGAGAGCATTACTGTATAATAATACTGTAATAAATATTGTTCATTAAAATTGCAATACAGGTTTACAATTGGATAGGTATGTTTATAAACTATGCAGGTATACAGTTGAGCATGAATATAGACAATGTAGATAAACAGTGCACACAGGCCTTGGGAGTACTATACTGTATGCAGTTTTCTGTTTGAAGAGACAGTGCAGGTTAACAACAACGGTAAAAAGTAAGGGAATTTTCCTAAGAATAGCCGACAAAGCTGTCAGGTGCTTATTTCCCTGAGGATCCCTTGCTTTGGTTTACGCTTGGTCTCCAATCAGTAATAGTATGTCTACAGGAGTGATAGTGAAAGCATTTTGATAAAAGTTAACAAGCATTGCATTGAACTTGGGTTATCTGAGGCTGGTGAATCACTTCAACAGTACAGGGGTACAATGTTCTGTGGTTACTAATATAGAAACTCGCTCTCTTCTCTTGTTGTAGATTCATCTATTACAATCCCACGGCTCAACAATTCTTGGCACCCTACAAGAAGGTGTTAGCTCATAATGACATTGAAGAAGTGACTCGTGAAAATTGCTTAGCCTTAGAATCTATCCCAATCCTAACTGCCTTTAGTGATTATCTAAAGGATCTTAATGCCAATGCTCCATTAAGCAATTTAATTAACTCTTCTCTTGATAAATGCAGGGTCTTTGAGCAAGACAACATTTATCAAAATGAGGAATCTGATGTTCTCTTAGAAGAGGGAAATACTAACTTAGTTTCATCTAGTGTGGTCTCTCGTTGCACTGTGAAAGTAGTTGCATATACTGTATAGCTGGTTTTGTTCCCGTGAAACTTAAGAAATCTTTGAAGTGTGAAGCATGTTGTAGTGTACTATTTACCTAAAATGTTGATGAAACTCCTGCATTAATCACTACAAAAACCAAAGGGAATCTATCATTTCCAACTAAAGATGTCATTGCTATACTGCATGTTGCTCATGCAAAAAAATATTCAGAGAAAAAATATTGCTTGCCAGTAAAATACACCCCTATGCAAAACTGTCAACATATGATTGCCACAAAATTTTAATTGATGTATTGTCAGAGTTCCTGAACAAAACTATATTCCTGGGCTTGACAATACACATGTCAGAAAGTGATCCTTTCAACAATCATCTTGTATTGCCAATCAAAGCAGTAACTGAGACCTATCTACAGGTGAGATACACATATGAAGGCAAACAGTTCACAGCACAAAATGCATCTCAAAGCTGTCAAAAGTAGAACTAGCATTTACTTTACTTTTATCCTCTTTGCCACTGATCGGCCCGTTAGCCACTTGGGCGATCGGTCACGTCTCTGACTACTTTTCCTTTTCATTTATCCTCTTCACCAAAAGATCGGCTCGCTAGCCGCCCAGGCGATCGGCCACGTCTCTGTCATTCACTGTTGGCAAATACTGGGCATGCACCGGCTCCCGAATGTACCTGAACCCGCTCCAGTGTTGGTCAAGTCTTGTCTTGAAAGAGCTCACACTCGGTGCCGTCACAACACTCTGGTAGATTTTTCCAAGACTTTTCAACCCTCACTCCGAAAAAGTTTGCCCTCACAGTTTTCTGGACTTGCGGCTTCTTCAATCTTGAGCTGTGACCTCTTGTGGGGCGAGCGTCCTCCAGCTCCAAGTAAGGACACTCGACTGAGTAGTCCCCCGAGATGCTTATACACCTCTACCAGGTCCCCCCTTGCCCGTCTGTAGTGTAAGCTAGGCAAGTTCAGGCGCTCCAATCTCTCAGGGTAGCTGAGGTGCCGAAGTGCAGGCACCAGTATGGTGGCCCTCCTTTGAACATTTTCAACCAACTGACAGTCCCTAGCATATCTCGGGGACCAGACGGGGTGACAGCACTCCAGATGGGGAAGCACTTCAATCTTGAAGATCGTTACAACTTAGGTACTCCTGAATGTGCTGCTTAAGGATCTGTTAACCAAAATTTGATATCTTGATTATAACTTGTTCAAATGGCTTTTAGAAAATGTTCAAATGATTTTTAGAATATTTTAATTACTTTTGCAATGCTAATTACTCGCCACTTATGGGTTTTCGAGGTCATTTCTTGGTGCTTGTGTATTATTCTGGATGTACTTAAATAGTTAGGCACATTAAATTTTTAGTTCAGAGAGAAAACGTATTTTTGGCCAAAAATCATTTAAGGCTTTAGACTTACAATTTTTGTCATTTTCGGCCAAAAAATGGATTTTGTTCAAAATTTCAGTATAGGTACTCCTGAATGTGCTGCTTAAGGATCTGTTAACCAAAATTTGATATCTTGATTATAACTTGTTCAAATGGCTTTTAGAAAATGTTCAAATGATTTTTAGAATATTTTAATTACTTTTGCAATGCTAATTACTCGCCACTTATGGGTTTTCGAGTCATTTCTTGGTGGCATGTATTATTCTGGATGTACTTAAATAGTTAGGCACATTAAATTTTAGTTCAGAGAGAAAAGTATTTTTGGCCAAAAATCCTTTAAGGCTATAGACTTACAATTTTTGTCATTTTCGGCCAAAAAATGGATTTTGTTCAAAATTTCCGTATAGGTACTCCTGAATGTGCTGCTTAAGGATCTGTTAACCAAAATTTGATATCTTGATTATAACTTGTTCAAATGGCTTTTAGAAAATGTTCAAATGATTTTAGAATATTTTAATTACTTTTGCAATGCTAATTACTCGCCACTTATGGGTTTTTCGAGGTCATTTCTTGGTGCTTGTGTATTATTCTGGATGTGCTTAAATAATTGACACATTAAATTTTTAGTTCAGAGAGAAAAAGTATTTTGACTGAAACTCCTTTAAGGCTTTAGACTTACAATTTTTGTCATTTACATTAAAAATGGATTTTGTTCAAATTTTCGGTATACAAGTACTCTGAATGTGCTGTAGGATCATATTAACCAAAATTTGATATCTTGATTGATATAACTTGTTCAAATGGCTTTTTAGAAAATGTTCAAATGATTTTTTAGGATATTTTAATTACTTTTGCAATGCTAATTACTACGCCACTTATGGGTTTTTCGAGGTCATTTCTTGGTGCTTGTGTGTTCTGGATGTACTTAAATAGTTAGGCACATTAAATTTTTGGTTCAGAAAACGTATTTTTTGGCCAAAAATCCTTTAAGGCTTTAGACTTTACAATTTTTTGTCATTTTCGGCCAAAAATGGATTTTGTTAAATTTCAGTATAGGTACTCTGAATGTACTGCTTACAGATCTAGTAACCAAAATTTGATATCTTTATTATAACTTGTTTCAAATGGCTTTTGAAAATGTTCGATGATTTTTTAGAATATTTTAATTACTTTTGCAATGCTAATTACTACGCCTCTTATGGGTTTCGAGGTCATTTCTTAGTGCTTGTGTATTATTCTGGATGTACTTAAATAGTTAGGCACATTAAGAGATTTTTAGTTCAGAGAAAACGTATTTTTGGCCAAAAATCATTTAGAGCTTTAGACTTACGAATTTTTGTCATTTCGGCCCAAAATGGATTTTGTTCAAAATTTCCAGTATAGGTACTCCTGAAATGTGCTGTAAGGATCTGTTAACCAAAATTTGATATCTTGATTATAACTTGTTTAAATGGCTTTTAGAAAATGTTCAAATGATTTTTAGAATATTTTAATTACTTTTGCAATCTTTAATTACTCGCCACTTATGGGTTTTCGAGGTCATTTCTTGGGTGCTTGTGTATTATTCTGGATGTACTTAAATAGTTAGGCACATTAAATTTTAGTTCAGAGAAGAAAGAAACGTATTTGGCAAAAATCCTTTAAGGCTTTAGACTTACAATTTTGTCATTTTCGGCCCAAAAAATGGATTTTGTTCAAAATTTCAGTATAGGTACTCCTGAATGTATATGGATCTGTTAACCAATTTGATATGTTGATTATAACTTGTTCAAATGGCTTTAGAAAATGTTCAAATGATTTTTAGAATATTTTAATTACTTTTACCAATACTAATTACTCTACTTCCTTATGGGTTTTTCGAGGTCATTTCTTGGTGTGTGTATTATTCTGGATATACTTAAATAGTTAGGCACATTAAATTTTAGTTCAGAGAAAAAAGTATTTTTGGCCAAAAAAATCGCTGGAGCTTTAGACTTTACAATTTTTGTCATTTCGGCCAAAAAATGGATTTTTGTTCAAAATTTTCAGTATATGTACTCCCTGAATGCTTGTAAGGATCTGTTAACTAAAAATTTTGATATCTTGATTATAACTTGTTCAAAATGGCTTTTGAAAATGTTCAAATGATTTTTAGAATAATTTTAATTACTTTTGCCAATGCTAATTACTCGCCACTTATGGGTTTTCGAGGTCATTTCTTGGTGCTTGTGTATTATTCTGGATGTACTTAAATAGTTAGGCACATTAAATTTTAGTTCAGAGAAAACGTATTTTGGCCAAAAAATCCTTTAAAGGCTTTAGACTTTACAATTTTTGTCATTTTCGGCCAAAAAATGGATTTTGTTAAAATTTCAGTATAGGTACTCCTGAATGTGCTGCTTAAGGATCTGTTAACCAAAATTTGATATCTTGATTATAACTTGTTCAAATGGCTTTTAGAAAATGTTCAAATGATTTTTAGAATATTTTAATTACTTTTGCAATGCTAATTACTCGCCACTTATGGGTTTTCGAGGTCATTTCTTGGTGCTTGTGTATTATTCTGGATGTACTTAAATAGTTAGGCACATTAAATTTTAGTTCAGAGAGAAAAGTATTTTTGGCCAAAAAATCCTTTAAGGCTTTGACTTACAATTTTCGTCATTTCGGCCAAAAAATGGATTTTGTTCAAAATTTCAGTATAGGTACTCCTGAATGTGCTGCTTAAGGATCTGTTAACCAAAATTTGATATCTTGATTATAACTTGTTCAAATGGCTTTTAGAAAATGTTCAAATGATTTTTAGAATATTTTAATTACTTTTGCAATGCTAATTACTCGCCACTTATGGGTTTTCGAGGTCATTTCTTGGTGCTTGTGTATTATTCTGGATGTACTTAAATAGTTAGGCACATTAAATTTTAGTTCAGAGAGAAAACGTATTTTTGGCCAAAAATCCTTTAAGGCTTTAGACTTACAATTTTTGTCATTTTCGGCCAAAAAATGGATTTTGTTCAAAATTTCAGTAACTTACAAGGGACGGACCGTCTAGATATCTGAACGACCTTCTTATAAGACCCAATAATTTATTTGCCTGGTTTACCTTCTTCTCGCAATGGCCTGCGAACTTCAGCTCATTGTCAACATACACACCTAGGTCCTTCTCACATTCAGTCTCAACTATTGCAGTTTCTTCATCCCGTTGGGACATATGTACGCCTCCTTACAGTTGGTACGCCCCAGGTGCATCCTTTTACACTTCGTGACATTGAATCTCAGCAACCATTTCTTCAGCGGAATCTAATGTTCAGTTTGCAAGGTAAAAATGCATAGAAATCCCCCTGTGCTCAGGGTACCAGGCTCGTGCCATGATAAGGATAATTGATGCTAATGATTAGTGTTGTTCATTGAAATGTTGTTTCATTGTACTATAGTATATAATAAATGGTTGAAAATAAAATAAGAGTTTAACTTAATCACACAGGGATGCTATGGATGAGTGTAAACAGTGCAAACCAGTGTCAATGAGGGTCACTCCGTCTCCTGGCGCGCGACCAGCCTATACAAAGATGGCCGACACGGAGGAGAATTGGTTTCACCTGACAGTACTGGGAGCGCGCGGCATGCTGCCTCCATCCTTTATACCTCCATGGGAAATACCATCTTGAGTGAATGTTGCTTCATCAGTGAAAAGCACGAGAGATGGAAAGAGAAGGCATTCTGCATGCTGCCTTAGAACCCACCGACAACTGCATCCGAGGCGGATAGTCTACATCAGTTAGAGCTTGTAGCTTGTACGGTGTAGGATCATCCACACAGTGCCCACTGACAATTGCAGTTCCTCGGCGATCCATTGAATACTTGTTCCAGGGCTGTTCTCGATGATGCGCAGTAACGGGTCCTCTGCGGCATGGATGCGCTCGTTTCATGGTCGCCCTCTGTCACCTGGAGTGGCACGACGTTGACAACTACCGGTCTCACGTAATCTACGCTCCACAGAAAGAAACGGACATGAGGGGACTCTGCGGTTCGGGAAACGTTCTCTGTGCAGCCGAACTGCCTCTGCCGCGTTTCCACCAGCTGCTCCCAGTGTCGGTACCATATCCGCATATTCACTAAATGAGTACTCCTCCACGTCCACGTACAGTAAGTCCTCGTATAACGTCAGCCCGCTTAACGTTGTTTCGGTACCACAGTATTTCGCTAATCTTTAGATACCCAAAATTCGTTTAACGTCCCGATGACTCAGTACAACATCATTTTGCGTCGTCACGCACTACTTTTTACGGCTCATCGCCCTCTCTTGTCTGGCTGCGCTATGCTCTAGGCTTGGCGCAGTTTCAGTGACGTAACACCCTCCTCATGTCCCGCCCTCCTCCACTCCCGCCCTCCTCCTCTCCCACCCTCCTCCTCTGCTCCCGCCATACTCCTCCGCTCCCACCTTCCGCCTCCTCCACTTCACTACCCACCACACACTTGCCCTTCCACTTCTGCCTATCAGTGAGTACCAATACAAACTAAGTAGTTGTATATGTATGCCCTATTTTCTATAGAAATGGCAATGGTTTTCTGTATATGTAATATATTTCATGGGGCAAAGGGAGGGTCAGGAACGAAACTCCCGTATTTTATCTACTTCTTATGGGGAAAATTGATCTGCTTAACGTTGTTTCGTATAACGTCCGCATTTTTAGGAATGTAACTCCAACGTTAAGTGAGGACTTACTGCAATACTGTGCTTGCCCACTCCTGATTGGTACAGACGTTTAACTCCTTCCAATGCTGGGAAGGAAGTGGTCTGCCAACCCCAACCCTCCACTTCCTGTCAATCTGGTATGGCCCCACCCCTCCTCCTGATATCACCACTCGAACCACCAAAACCAATCACCGATGCAACTGACCCTTACACTGTAACACTGGGCATTTAGCTCAAATAGGTTTCATTCTTTCCTTCGGAGTTTAATTTACAATCCTACTAAACGTTTAGGGATGCTGTAGTGGATTTCTCCCCTACAAACGCTGTTTGTCACTGAGTAGCCGACCCCACCAATTCCCCAGTGTATGCCTCGTGGTCTAGGTCAACCAGCGCCGCCATACATCACGGAGCGGGGGTCAACTACTAAGCCACGCCTACCCCCCACTATTTAAGACCTGACCTCGTGGTGACCTGCCTCTTTCTACCTACATCAAGCAGCCAGCAACACCCCCTCCTCCGCTGCTGCCTGGCGGCCCTCGCTCCTCCTCCGCCTGCCTGGCAGTCCTCGCTCCCGCCGGCGAGCATGGCGACCCACAAGCTGTCCTCCTCCAAGCACCCTCACCAACCAGCTCTCTCTACATCACGCTTGTAACCATGCTACCTTCCCAGCACCAAGCTGCATTGTACATCCAATACAACATGTATACATGAGAGCACATTGTGAGTTTCCTTTCTCCATCCCATCCTGAGTGAGAACCAAACATCCCAAAAACCCACAAATGGTGACCCCCGGAGATTCGCACTCACACAGGATGGAGGAGAAACAGATCACGCTCCCAGTCTTCAAGCAACATGGAAGACTGGCTTATCCACACAGAGGCAGCTCTCATCGGCTCTACAACTACTGTCTCTACACCGCAGGTTAGACACCCTAGAGCAGCACTGCTTCTCTAAGCAGACACCAGCTCCTCTTCCTGCCCCAAGCACCACGTCCTACCGACCCCAACACGCCCGTCCTGCCTCAGACGCTGCCCCCGGCCCAGCAGTAACCCACATACCCCTCTTTTCTCCCTCAGGTACTCCCTGCTAATGTCCTGCATCCTGCTGCTGTCGTGGACCCAGCTGCTGTCACGAGCCCTCATCGGCTTCTGCTGATGCAGCCCCTGCTCCTGACCCAGGCCCACACACCCCAGCAGGCGCATCTGACGACTCTGTACCTGCCGTGAGGGAAGCACAACATTCATCGCCTCCACACACCCTTTTTCTCCCTCTCTACTCCCACAGATATTGTGTATCTAGACAGTTGTCTCCAGCGACCAGCTCATCCACGCCATCGCAGTTGTCTCTCATGAGGCACGCACCGCCCGTTCTGCCTCACATGTGCTATGCAACCCTGCAGACAACAAGTCTCCTACACTGCCTGGAGGGAAGGGGGAGTATTGTAGTGGATTTCTCCCCTACAAACGCTGTTTGTTGCCGAGTAGCCGACCCCACCAATTCCCCAGTGTATGCCTCGTGGTCTAGGTCAACCAGCGCCGCCATACATCACAGAGCGGGGGTCAACTACTAAGCCACGCCTACCCCCCGCTATTTAAGACCTGACCTCGTGGTGACCTGTCTCTTTCTACCTACACCAACCAGCCAGCAACACCTCCTCCGCCTGCCTGGCGGCCCTCGCTCCCGCCGGCGAGCATGGCGACCCACAAGCTGGTCCTCCTCTGAGCACCCTCACCAACCAGCTCTCTCTACGTCACGCTTGTAACCATGCTGCCTTCCCAGTACCAAGCTGCATTGTAAATCCAATACAACATGTATATAGAGAGCACATTGTGAGTTTCCTTTCTCCATCCCATCCTGAGTGTGAACCAAACATCCTGAACCCCACAATGCAACATCCAAATTATTGGGAATTGAAAATTTATTAACGTAGTAGTTTATCCTTATTTATGTCCCAGGAATTCACTCTGGTATGACCACTTCTGGTTTGAATTAAGGTAGGAAATAGGGAAATATAAATAGAATAAAGTTGAACTAATGAATTCATAAGCTAATAAGGAAGGAATTCACTCCGGATTTACTGAAGGAACACAGCCGAGCCCATGTAAACACGCGATAAATATTATATTGCCCATAGAACCCGAATGACGTTATAATTCCTCTACATCTTTGATTTAATTAAAGGATCTTGATGAGTTTTATGATGATCCGCCAAGGCCACATAAGTATCCAGAGCTTCCTGCTTGGTCTGGGCATCCTGAGTTACTTCATCCTGGCCTGTGGGAGCTGGTGGCAGAGTCCTGGTGTGGAGTGGCTCAGTCAGCGGCCATGGGCGTATTGTGGAGGGTTCTATTTAGTAATCAATGTCATCTTGATTATTGCCTTCCGTGGCTCTGATTGGCAGGTAATGTGGTAAATGATGTTATTGTTTGTTAAAGTTGGACCAGATAGCTAACATCAGAGAGAAGCTTAATTTAGTTAATTATTTTCCACATATTTGTATGATAGTAATAAAAAGGATGCAACAATATACAGAACTTACTATAATCTGACCTAAGCAAAAAAACATACTTAGCCTTGCCTAAATAGACCCTCTCGTCCCTGTACAGTATTATTATCATTTCGGTCATGCAGCGAATTTTAGGATTTTAAGTTTAGTTTAGGTTAGGTTAAAATTATGTTTGGTGTTACTACAGTTTTAGCCACAACTTGGTTGGAGCAATTTTGTGTTTATCATTAGTTATATCTTGTCAATAGGAACAACTTTTTCTAATACCATTTCTGTCGCAAATGGATATTAACCGAGAAAGTAAATTCATGCAAGAAATTAACGTAAATCTGCAGTCACCGCATGATGCTTCAATAAAATTTCTTTTATTGGTACCAGATATCAAAATAAGTACAGTACTTTCTGTTTAATATAGTGGGGACAGCTAGGAAGTTAGGTAAGGTTAGGTAGGTTTCCTTGGTTGGTTAAGTCAGGCTGTATAGTGGTGTGATAAATCCAAAACGACTCATTTCCGATGGAAAAGAAAGTCAAAGTTGAATGAATGACACCAAATACCATGGGAAAAAAAATAAAATTGTGGTTGAACAGTAGTTGTGACTAAAACTGTAAATTTTCCTTAAGAATTTCTAATGGTTTTGTTGTGTTTTGAACTACTTTGAAATAGATACATGACTGAAGCAATAAACCCCACCACACATATTTAGCAGAACAAACTGTAAAATTATCGTTTCGGTCATCCAGCGAGTGTTAGGATTTTAAGTTTTGGGATCTGTAGTTTAAACAATTCTAAGACACTTTTCTTCTATAGCGTTTCCGTCGGAAATTTAAATTTTTTAGTATTTTTATCGATAAAATTACCAACATGACTTGTTTAAAGTTGGCAGGGCTTTGAAGTAGAGGAAAATGTGGGGTAAAATACTAAAAACACCAAACAAACTTTTGAAAACCTTGACCTAACGTTTCCTAACCTTTAAAAATCCTAAAACTATAAAAAGTTTACCTTATTCATGTTTTCAGTGTTTAATAAGCGATGGTGTTGTTTTCGGTTTTGGTTAATATATAGGACTAACCCGCCAGGGCTGCATAGTGCCGATGCGGCCGCATCATCTCACGTCCAGAAAATGCCTCAAATTTCACCATATCATAGTAAGTTCTTTCTGTTTAATATACCGACAAGTTAGGTAAGGTTAGGTAGGTTTGTTTGGTTTGGTTTGTTCTTCATACCCACAAATGTTAAGTAGCGTTTATTTTAAATATATAAATTTTTTAACATATTTCCACAAACTACAACAGTCTCCACTATAATATAACAATGAAAATTCGGCGTTTTTATAATTGATTTCAATCAATTTTGCTCGTGGGTTGGTCCTATATAATTACCTCGGTTTTTAGTATGTGTTGATGTTTTCAGTGCTCAGATGACGAGGGATTTATAAACTCGAAAGTTATTCTTAACATTTTTACAAGTTAGGTAATGTTAGGTAAGGTTTTGAAAGGTTTGTTTGTTGTTATTTTCAGTATTTTATCCCACATTTTCCTTCTTCAAAACCCTGCCCACTTTGAATAAATCATTTTGATGGGAATTTTATTGGTTAAAACGCTGGAAAATACAAATTTCCAACTGAAACGCTATAGAAGAAAAGTATCTTAGAATTGTCTGAACTACTGATTCCAAAGCTTAAAATTTTAAAGTTCGATCTGATTCATACGAATTTGACATTCATTTACGTTGCAAATTAGTGGTTACCGAGTTATTACCCCCAAATTGCTTTACTGAGTTGAGGTTGAAACTGCAATAATACCCTTACTTTGATATTTGGTACCAATGAAAGCAAATTTCTTGAAGCGGCATGGTGTAATTTTGTTCTTTTGTGGATGTAAGAGTAGATCAGTTACTAAAACAAACTAAGAGTGGATTCAGACATGTGCCGATGGGGTCTGCCCATATAGTCACCAACCCGCTTCGTCCTCTATTTTTAACCCGTTTCGTAACCTCTGCTTTACCCCTTTCGTCACCCTGTTAATTCCCATCATTATATACACAATGAAAATAAAAAATAAAAACATTGTTAATATACCGGCAATCATCTCACTGCTCGGTAGTTTATGTGCTGGTGCCAAATCATCTTCGTTTGTTCTGTATTTTGTTTATTTACCAATGTTTTAATCATTTTCTTTATTAAATAATTAATATTCATGTATAATAATAAATAACACAATACTTCTCGAGTCGTCTGTATACATGTGTAATTTCCTATTCGTGTGAAATAATAACTTACAATTTGTCACAAATACCAGCCACTGTTAGTGATGACGAAACGGTTTTGATATTGGTGACGAATTGGGGTTTTGGTGACGAAATGGGTCGGTGACGATGAGAATTGGTTACAAAATGGGGTGTATCCGTGGCGACACCAGATTTTTCGGCGGAATATTCTGGTAAATTAAATTCTTCACGTACAAAGCATCCTTCTTGCCCTGCCTACTACAGGTGATTTATGATCGTAGATGGAGGAAAATCATAATTAAGATAAAAAAATTCTTGTATTGTTTATATTTCTTTTATCACCAAAGAACATTTGTGGGAAAAATGAACAAAATCGAACAACTCCTCCTCGTGTTAGCCGTTTGCTCCACTTATAGGAGTTTTCATGGTGAAGGTGGAACAAATGGTTAGCACCAAAAATTCTGGAGATTTATATTATTTGCATGCTACAGAACATGAAAATGAAAATGAGAATACACAGAACTTAACAGAATCTGACCTAACCAACCTAACAAAAGAAACCTACTATAACGTTAACTAACTTCCTAGCAGGCCCTCAGATCCCTCGGGCATATTAAGCAGAAAGAACTTACTGTACTTTGACATCTGGTTCTAATGAAAGCAAATTTCTTGAAATGGCATGGAGTAATTTTAAGTGTTTTGTGAATGCCTGAGTACAGGTACGATCCATTATTGCAAAAAAAAACAATTTCTTTTTCACATCGGTTCTCTGCTGCATTCTGAACACTTGCATTTCCTGCTAACTTGTTGATGTTGACAGGTGAACTCTTGGAGATGGTCTGCACACTCCACAAGGAGAAATAACTTGTGATATGAAATTGAACACGACACAATAAGGATGACATTGAAAAACAATATGAACCCCGAAAACACCTGACCTAACACCTTGCATTTCAGCAGATGAGGTCACGACATAGTTTTTGTTAAAATTTCATACAAAGGTACTCTTTTACATGCTGATGAAGGATCTGAGTTCATAATTGAAAATATTGATTAATTAGTGTTAAATAATGATCCTTGCAATAAAAAGAATTGAAAATACAGGTACAGTATATGATCTTCATCATTTATAACTGTAATACAGTAGGTTTAAGAAATTATTGTGCAGGTCATAGACTCACGACTCTGGATAATGAAGCCTAAAAAATAAAATACAATCAAGCCAATATTTAAGGTAATAAAACCCGCAAATGAGGTTCCGTCATGTTTTGAAAAGTTAAGCAAGACCATAATCAGAATTTATTTGTTTACGAGTAGAGGACAACACTGGGCGGCAGGGCATAAATTTTGGTGAAATATTTATGGTAAATACAGTACAGTATTTAATTTCTTCGTGTAGAAAGTATGTAGAGAGACTATTTTAGTGTCATATGATCAGATTTTTGCTGTGATTTTACTCCAAAATTTCCCTCATCCTTCATGCCCTGCCAACTACAGGGTCCGGACTATCTGAAATCCAGACTTACGGGGTCTGGACTATCGAGGGTTTACTGTAATAAGTGTATAATTATGTCTTTCAGGTGGCTGTACGAGGATGTTTCCTGGGATCAGCTTGTAGTGTTGGGATTATCATCAGCACCCTCTGTGAAGCTTCATACCATGTATTTGGATGGTATATTGTGGTTTTGACACTTTTCCACTACTCTGAGTATATAACAACTGCCATTGGTAATCCTAGCACCCTCGCCCTGGACTCATACCTTCTGAACCATAGTTGGGCTTATGGTATTGCAGCAATAGCCAGTTGGGTAGAATATTTTATAGAAAGATGGCTGCTTCCTGACATGAAAAAACTTTGGTATGTCAGTATTATTGGAATCATTGTTTGCCTCTGGGGTGAAATTGTCAGGAAATCAGCAATGCTCACTGCCAAAACTAACTTTAATCATATTGTTCAAACAAAGAGACAAGATGATCATGAACTTGTTACATGGGGTGCCTACAAATTTTTTAGGCATCCAAGTTATGTTGGATGGTTTTGGTGGAGTGTTGGTACTCAACTCATTCTGGTTAACCCATTTTGTGTTATAATATATACTTTGGCTTCTTGGAGTTTTTTCAATGAAAGAATTCATTTTGAGGAAATGACACTTCTAAGTTTCTTTGGTGAAAAGTACCTTGATTATCAGAAGAGAGTAGGGACAGGTCTACCATTTATCAAGGGTTATCAGTATATTCACTGTCCTCCCACTGGTGAAAACTGAAACTTCAGGCTAATTTGCATGCACAATTATAAAATATTAAATACAGTACTGTACTTACTGGAAATTAATGTTGTTATGATGGTTTATATGTGTAATTGTAATGTATTCTCCAAGAACAGATACAGTAATTAATTGTTGTATATAATGTATAATATTATATACAGTAGTATGTAGTAACTGATATTTCTTTTCAAGAGTTTGTAAGACTGTTGGAATTGTACTTCGAATGGTGGAAAGTATAGAGATTACTGTAGTTGGATGCTGTTGAATTGATATAAGTGCAGTGTACATGGTTATGAAATATGATTCATTCATTGTTAAGCATTTTTATAGCACTGTTTGTGTGATGAGTGTATTTTTTGATTTTACAGTAATTCCTATGTATTTATTAAACTGAAACATTATTGAATACATATAGCATATACAGGAAGTAATAAATAGTTTGTCCTCTTAAAGCAAATAATTCTATATAATTACAAGGGAGAGTTGTTCTCCCCTAGAGGTGTCTGCGCTAAAACCCCATTCACTTATAGTCCACTTGATTATCTACCATGCATTCTCAGATGAACTCCATCTTTCAGCTATTGCTCTTTTTTGTTTAAACATTTTCCTGCTTCCACATTCTCTTTATATTTTTTTAGATTTTTGGGATGTACATTATTCTTTCTGCCAGTATTGGACTCGGCTGCCCAGTCTTCATTTCGTAGATTCATATTACTAATACCATCCTGTTGAATGAGGTTTATTCGTGTGATCACAAAACCAATACAAAGAAGTACTGTGCATATGTTTTAGGTTTTGTTTTAGGTGTTCAAAAAAAGAATGCATGGAGATAATCACTGGTTGAAATACCGTATCTGAGTGAGTTGAATTTTCATCGCTTGCTGTGAGAATGAGAAAGAATATAATAACTATAAGATGAATTATAGGATTTTGTAATTTCATCTGATAAGGGAATCTTGATTATATGTACAATATAGATTTATATATGTGGTCTCCTCCTTCCCCTCCATAGCTCTCAGTGCACATCAGGTTTATGGAATACAATACTGTACAGTAAATGTCAAGTTACCATCCAATTTTAAAAGAAGAATTCAGCTCATATGTCTGTCTGGTGAGTTTTCTGTGTAGATCATCAGATAAGTATTTCTTACGGAATAAACCGTGTAACGAAATTTCCTCTGCTTGAAATAGCTTCAGATTTAAATAGTACAGTAATAATTCCATACACCAAAAGATACAAAATGGAAAATATAATGACGACTTGCTGACTATTGCTCAGTACTTTGAAATTGTCTTAAGCATTAGCTTTGTTGCATTTAGTACACAGATTAATTTGTTCCATATTGGAATTTCATCAGTATTGTGTGTGGTATCAAAGTTACAAATGAACCATCGTTGTATATAATGAGAGTAGCATTGAAGTGTGAATTTACTGAAGACGCTTTCTTTGACATGGCTTAAGGTGGAGACTAAAGGAATCCACTGTAGTCAAGCTTTACTGTATTTAGAATTCTGTATGCATCTAGACACCTGTCAGTTTGTTGCAGACTAAATATGATAAATATTAATTTCCCATATGATTGCTGTTCAAACTTCTTCATGTATATGAATTTAGACTAGCCTGTGAATTATTAGGAACTTTTGTCAATATATTTCATGTACATGTACAATTTACTTTACTAATTTGAACTTTATACAGATGAATAAAATCAGCCAATAATTCAAAAGGAAATCGACGGATTTACACTTTACTACCAGCGTATTCACATAAAAACAATGTTACTAACACTGTTTAGACATGGTTGGCAAAGCTGGATGATTAGCAGTGAGGATTGGTGAGGGGCAGAGCTGTAAATTGGGGGATGTGAGCAGGACAGTAAGTTGGCGAGGGGTGGTGGGCCGGTAAAGGTAATACCATGCTTTAAGGGATTGTGGATAGGTTTTGGCAAGACGAGGGGTGGTGGGCAGGTTTGCACAAGAGAAAGGGTGGTGGGCAAGACAAGGCTTTAAGAGGTGATCAGGGTTCATATGGTGAATAGTGCTGGTAACTGGAAATGTAAAAATATTGCTATCTGTTTGACTAGCTAAATCACCAAAAATACTGTAATATCAAAAAAATTACCTTCCATACTGCCATCCACAACTCAGACTAATGTTACCATTCACACACTGCCCCATCTGACACTATTGCACTTGACACACTATTACACCTGACATAGTGCCCCACTTGACACACCATTACACCTGACAGTGCTCCACTTGATACACATTTACATCCAACACAGTGCCCCACTTGACACCATTGCACCTGACACGCTGCCCCATCTGACACGCCATTGCACCCGACACTGTCCCATGTGACACACCACTGCACCCGACACACTGCCCCATCTGACACCATTGCATCCAATATGCTGCCCCTTCTGACACACCATTGCACCTGACGCATTCTAGCACCACTGCTGTATGGGAGGATGTACTGGAACTACATGTTCATGACCCAGGGTAATGTGTGGGATTAGTGGTGTGTAGATACAGTACTGCACAGTAAACAGATTGAGATAGGATAGAAACATTTGTCCCATTTTATATAGGTATTTGTGAACTACTGGTAGTTAGGATAGGTTATGCTTTCCATTAACGTAGGAACAAAACAAGATAGGCTCAAGAGTTGACATATTCTAAAGTGGAATAGGCAAAAAAGTCTCTTTCAGATGATAACGACTATTCCACAAAACATTTTAACAATCAACAATTGAATTGTAATGCACATGTTTAGATATATTAGTCTTCTAGTCATATGAAATCTTAAGCCATTTTTACTTATTGGAGATTTCCTTTTTAGGAGGGGATAGTCCATAGTCATTTGTTATTACTATCATATATTTATTTATTATTATTATTATTATTTTTTTGGGTGGGAGGGGGAGGTCTTCTATTGTCACCATTCATGTCACAACCTCCACTGTTGATCTGAACCCAGAACCCTTTAATTACCTGCTCAGTAAGGTAAGCTTTCCATTGTTGGATCATCAGAGGAATGTGAAAATCCCTCAATAATTTTAATAAAACTATTCATAGCTACCTGAATGATAAGAATAAAATTTAAAGATTATATAAATTTGCATTTGTCCTGTAGATAAAACACTGTATTATTGTGAATTATAGAAAACAAGAATTTAAGATATTATTAAAGGTGGTGTAGGAGGGGTGTGTGGAGTGTTAGAGGGGTGTTTGGAGTCTAAAGCTGGTGTAGGAGGGTCCCTGGGGGTGCCACCGCCCCTGGGGTCGCCGTCTCCCCTGGCAGGGCCCTTGGGGGGGCACCGCTGTCCCTGGAGGTGCCACAGCCCATAAGAGGGCCCCTTGGGGAGTCACCGCCCCTAAAAGGGTCCTTAGGGGCTCTAACGTCCCTGAGAGGGCCCCTGGGGGCGCCACCTCCCCTGGGAGGGTGCCTAGAGGCGCTTCTGTCCCTAAGGAAAGCCCCTAGGTGCACCGCTGTTGGCAACAGCACTCCTGGAAGGGCCCCTGTGGGCACCACCGCCCCTGGGGGCGCCACTGGCCGTAAGAGGGCCCCTTGGGGAGCCATTGTCCCTGAAAGGGCCCCTGGAGGTGCCACTGCCCCTAAAAAAGCCCTTGGGGGTGCCACCACCCACTGAGAGGACCCCTAAAAGGGCCCTCAGGGGCTCTAACATCCCTGAGAGGGCCCCTGGGGGCGCCACTGCCCCTGGCAGGGATTCCTTGGGTGCCATCGCTCCTGGCAGGGCCCCTGGGGGTGCCACCTCCTCTGGGAGGGTGCCTAGAGGTGCTTCTGTCCCTAAGGAGAGCCCCTGAGTGGACCGCAGTTGGCACCAGCACTCCTGGAAGGGTCCCTGTGGGCACCACTGCCCCTGGAAAGGCCCCTGGGGGTGCCACTGGCCATAAGAGGGCCCCTTGGGGAGCCACTGCCCCTAAAAAAAGCCCTTGGGGGTGCCACCTCCCCTGAGAAGACCCCTAAAAGGGCCCCCAGGGGCTCTTAACATCCCTGGTAGGGCCTCTTCGGTGCCACCGCCCCTGGCAGGGGCCCTGGGGGCTTCACCTCCTTTGGGAGGGTGCCTGGAGGTGCTTCTGCCCTTAAGGAGAGCCCCTAGGTGGGCCGCTGTTGGCGCCAGCACCCCTGGGGGTGCTACCACCTCTGTCAGGGTCCCTGGAGGTGCCACCTCCTTTTGCAGGGCCCCTAGGGGCACCACCACCTGTACAAGGGCCCCTTGGGGAGCCACCATCTCTGAAAGGGGCCCTGGGGGAGCCACCAACCCTGAAAGGGCCCTTGGGGATGCCACTGCCCCTGGAAGCTCCACTGTGGACACCACGGACCCTGAAAGGGCCCCTGGGGGCGCCACCGCCCTGGACAGGGCCTCTGGGTTCGTCGCTGCCCAATGGAAAAAAAATGTGACAAAAAGTTAACATATAATTTTTAATTTCTGTATAATACTTTACAATCTTAACAATGGCTCTCTCATCACCAGACAACAAGCTAGTGATTCATAGAACAATTAATGCAAAGCCATATTATGATCCATATGTGATGTAAGAACCGACACTTTTTATAACCAAAATATATCAAGTACAGGTAGTTCTGCTATAACGCGATAGTAGTGTTCTTGTAAAACATCGTGTTATAGAAATTCGTGTAATAGAAATAACAGGGCTTATGGAGAAAATAGGGTTAGGTGCAGATTACTCCAAATTGAAAAAAAATTTCGTAGTTAGCCTAACACAAAGGATAGCACAGTCTAAATAAATGTTACATTCATATCTAATAATGAAATCATACAGTAAATGTTACACTTTACCTTGAAAAAATATGAGTATAACTTGATGGGGGAGAAGGGTGATGTTGAGGCTGAGGAGTCATGAAACATCAAGCTTTTCTTCAAGTGTTATAGCCTTTCTTTTACGATCACCACCGGAAATGCGATCACCAGAGTGCTTCCCAGAGATATTCTTCCTTTCCATAGTCACAAAATTGGAGAAACAGTAATCAGAATTCACTGAGGACACTTAAAAACTTCACGTGTTTCAAACAAAGTGTGGAGTAAACAGAGCGCGCGGGTCTAAAACGCTATGTATTTTGTTTTTCTCTTATTTAAAAGTTTACATTTTACATATACTGTACAGGTATACTGTATACATAAATATTACATAAATTATTTCTGCAATTCTTCACAAACAAAACACATAAATCAATTGAACAAGTGATGTTGAACGTGAACTGTAAACACTGCATAACCCCGCGCCAAGCCACAGCACTGTACTGTACTGTACAGTACAATTTAAGCGCTACGTATTTAGTTGTTCTTTTATTTAAATTTTTACAATTTACATATATATACCTGTATAAGTAAATTGTAATTTACATATTATTCATATTATGCTAGAGCGCCCACAAAACATGAGAAACGTTTGAGTCCCCCAGTAGAGATGTCCGTTCTCTATCCACTCCAGGATGTCCTAGTCCTCCGTTTTCTTTTTGTGTACTCGCTCAGGGACTCAAGTATTTCTGTATATGACACAGGATGATAAGGGAATTTGAATTTATTTGTTTATTTATTTATATATAATATACTGTAATATATTAAATATAATGCAAGTATTTTCTTTAATTTATATACGTGTTTCGCGAAAAAGGGAGGCTACATTTATGGTGATCGTTAAGGACCAAACTCCGAATCCATGACGCGACTTCTGTTCATTATTTATATCCTAAATTTACCACTGTAGGTAGTTTCAAGAATTAATGCAGTCATTTACTGAATATTCTTTGCAAAAAAATAAATTTTAAATGAATTATTTATAAGAGATAAGTATTATGATCAGTAAATATACAGATATGCATTACTGACTGCCTCCGAACACAAGGACGGCTAAAAATAGCCACAGGCGGTCACAGTCAAGGTCACTTTCCCTTTCTTGTCACTGGCAAATGGGGGTGGGGGGGATGATAATAGCAGCTGTTTTTATTACGGTATGTTAGACTGGTTTATAATACATTTTTATTATTTTAATATACCGGTAATCTTCATTTTAATCCAGCTTACCAAACGTAAGTTTCAGTATAAAATAATTAGTGGTACTGTAGGACCTTGTGAGTGGTTTACTGTATACATGAATATTACATAAATTATTTCTGCAATTCTTCACAAACAAAACACATAAATCAATTGAATATGTGATGTCGAACGTGAACTGTAAACACTGTGTGTGATGTAGAGAGCGCGCGGGTGTAAAACGCTATGTAATTTGATTTTCTCTTTTATGTAAAATTTTACAATTTACTTATAATATATAGGTATACTGTATACACAAATATTACATACATTATTTCTGCAATTGTTCACAAACAAAACACATAACTCAATTGAACATGTGATGTCGAACGCGAACTGAAGCCACAACAACCGTTCGAGTGGAATCGCGTTAGAGCAAACGAGTTCGCGTTTTACAAATATCGTTCCTCAATTCATAAATCGCGTTCGAGCAAATTCGCGTTGTCAAAACACGCGTTATAGCAGAACTCACTGTACTGTATATCATATTTTTATTGTCAACGTAATGAAGCTACCTGTCATAATTAGAAGCATAAGCAGAATTAAGAGTGCACAAAACAAAATTAAAGGACAATTCATTAAGCTAACATTTGTGAACTAGTGATAAAAATCTGTACTTTGTATTCTGTATTGTATAAAAATATATCATCATAAATTTCATCATACTGTAGTTCGTTTTGCATTTTATTTTTCATGATACAACAATTAACATTCAATCTCAGTATCAATCTCTAGGTATTTTTATTCTATTCTTGTAACGTATCCTTTTTCCCATCAAATGCTGGGTGGTCTGAATCAAGAGTAACAGAGATTTTAATTTCATTGCCATTCATTCACTTTGTTAATGTACCAATGTGGTGCCGAGTGCGACAGAGGGCTAAGCGCCATCCCCCCAAAATTGAATTATAGTATTATCTGTACTCCCCAACCTTTCCTCTATCTGCAGAAAAACAAACTGTCCCAGCAGCACAATATCTGTAAAACTGAGAGCCACATTAGTGAAGGTAGGTAAAAGCGTCTCTACAGCACGTGATCTACGCCTCGAGGCAGACTGAGTGGGAGACTGGGACAAGCACCCGTGGGCCCCCAATCATAGCCTCTCTTGCTCATAGCGACTCATTATTTTCTGGTTTCTTAGCTAATGGGAGTCCATGTTTCAACAAAAATGTCACTTGAACCTTTTTTTTATTTTCCAACTGGCAGAAAGAAAGGAAGGAGGGCTATTGAGAGAAAAATAAACAAAACAGAGAGGAGGGACAGCGAGGAGGGTGTGAGGGCTGGTGGCACATGGCGTGTCATGTTCCAGCCTGTCCGAGTGACGAGTCTTATCGCACCAACAGAGGGAGGAGGAGGAGGAGGTGGCTGGGAGCGAGGGTGGAAGTACAAGTCATTGTTTACTGCAATTTTTCTAATAATAACTAAAACTTAGTACATACCTCATTTTTTTTTTTTTTTATACTTTTTGGTGCTTGGCCCCTGGTTGAAATATTGGTAATACTTGGTATTGTTCGCTTTTATGCAAACAGTACAATGACCTTTGACTTTCTGGTGTGGACTTAATACATTATTGCTTCCATGTAATGACAATTATACTTCAACAATGCATATTAATCAAACCGCAAACATCAAAAACAATGAAATTTTTGCTGTAAATTTTTTTCAATTAATATGACTTTAATATCTGTGAAACCAGCTTTAAGAGCTCTATACACTGCCACTTGAATGAACTCGGTATCTTCATTGGTTCAAAATTTAAGTAATTTTTCATTTTCACAACTTTAAGAACGTTTTTTTTCAATTGTAATTTTTGGCGCTTGGTCCCTTGTCGCATTTGGCACCTCATACATAATCTGCAGTGGTATTCCCACTGCACACCAAGGGCCCAAGATATCCAGGTATCACATGCTAGTCAATTTTGTCACAAGCAAGAAAAAACACCAAATCAGGAGTATTAGAATTAACAAACACTGATCAAACAAAGGCACTGCTTAAAGGTAACCAGAGTCTACAAAAACTTTATGAAGCTTAGCAACTTCTTGGTCAGGTAGAGACTGTAGGGGAGCACGCGTGGGGCCTCCGTAAAATCCTTTCCAATCCATGACTTTCTTCAATCCTGAGATACCAAATGTCTTGGTAACCTGTATAAAAAAGAAATTATGAAAGATTATTATTTTATCTTAACATTATTTATCTGCGTGTTTTTTCAGTTTTCAACTTCTATAATAACATTCTGCAGTTACAATGAATTTAAGAAAAGGGACCAGACCAAGTACTACTTTAACTTTTTCTAATTTTACCCTCTTCTCCACTGATTGGCTTATTAGCTGCTTGGACAATTACAGTAAAAGTCCAAAAATCCGGATGCCAGAAATCCGGACCACCCGAGAATCCGGACTTTTCGAAAACTCAAACTTTTTTTTTTTTTTTTACCGGGCTTTTGTGTGTGCGCGCGCACGCGTGAGCGCCACAGCTGCACAGCGACAACAAGCGAGGTCGCCACTTTAAAACGAGCAATGAAACTGTGACAACATATGTAATTTTGAGTCCTACTCTTTCCATTTACAGAGTACTGTAAAAGCCCATAATAATGGCTCCTAAAGTAGATAAACTTCGTTGTGTGAAGAGAAAGAAGAACACGTTGAAATTGAGTGACAAACTTGAAATAATTAAGAAACTAGAACGTGGTGTGAGCAATACTTTTCTAATGGAAACATACGACATTGGAAAGTCTACAATTTATGATATAAAAAAGGCAAAGAATAAAATTCTAGAATTCACAGCTTTTTCTTTAAAACTGCTCGTTTTGATAAATGAAGCATGCTATATTTGCTAATGAATAACTATCAAAATGTACCTGTTCATCTCTTCTTTATTCCTCTTTAAATTTGAATTTTAAAAGTACAGTCAGTTCTGCTATAACGCGATAGTTGTGTTCTTGTAAAATATCGTGTTATAGAAAATCGCGTAATAGAAATAACAGGGCTTATGGAGAAAATAGGGTTAGGTGCAGATTACTACTCGAAATTGAAAAAAAATTAGTAGTTAGCCTAACACAAAGGATAGCACAGTCTAAATAAATGTTACATTCATATCTAATAATGAAAAAATACAGTAAATGTAACACTTTACCTTGAAAAAATATGAATATAACTTGATGGGGGAGAAGGGTGATTTTGAGGTTGATAACATCGAGCTTCTCTTCAAGTGTTATATCGTTTCTTTTACGATCATCACCGGGAATTCGATCACCAGAACGCTTCTTGGAGATATTCTTCTTTACCATATTCACAGTTAATACCACAAAATTGGAGAAATAGTAAGCAAAAATCGCGTTACAGCAAACAAGAGTTCGCGTTATACAAATATCGTTCCTCTATTCATAAATCACGAAAGAGCAAATTCGCGTTATCAAAACGCGTTATAGCAGAACTCGCTGTACTGCCTGAGAATCCGGAAAATCCGGGCCGACCCAATCCCCAAACAGTCCGGATTTTTGGACTTCTACTGTAGTCATCTCTGTTACACACAGTTGGCAAATACGTACTGGCTCCAGAATTTATCTGTACTTGCATCAACTGCATCAGTGTTGGTCAAGTTTGGTCTTGAATGAGCTCCCATTTGGTGCTGTCACAACACTCTCCGGCAGATTGTTGCAAGAGTTTACAATTCTCACTCCAAAAAAGTTTGCCCAAACAATTTTCTGAACTTGTGGCTTCTTCAACCCTGAATTGTGACCCCTAATGGGGCGGGCGTCTGCCAACTCCAGGTATGAACACTCAACTGAGTAATGCCCTCCGTGATATTTATAAACTTCAATTTAGTCACCCATTGCCTGCCTATAGTATAAGCTAGGCAACTGCAGGTGTTGTAATCTCCCTGGGTAGCTGAGTTGTCCTTTGGACATTTCCAATCAACTGACAGTCTCTAGCATATCTTGGGGACCAGAAGGGCCGACAGTACTCCATAAGGGGAAGCACCTCACTCTTGAAGAACCTTACCAGGGATGGACTGCCTAGATATCTGAACGACCTTCCTAAAGATCTACATATGTACTTAGTTTAGTTGCTTGATTCACCTTCTCACAATGGTCTGAGAATTTCAGTTCGTTGTCAACATACACACCCAGGTTCTTTTCACATTCAGTCTCTATTAATGCTGATTCTTCATCCCATTGGGATATGTGATATGCCTCCTTACTGTGGGTACAACCTACGTGCACCCCTTACACTTTGTGACACTGAATTTTAGCAGCCATTTCTTCGAACACTCATGAAGCTGACAGAAATTTTTCTGAAGCTCTTCACAGTCTTTTTGGTTCTTAATTTACTTGAATAACATGGCATCATCTGTAAAAATTTGTATGGATAAGTGTATAGGTTCTGGCATGTCATTTATGAAAAAATCACAACAAAGGGCCTAGTACACAGCCCTGTGGTACCCTGCTCCTCACAGGTATGCATGACAATTTCATGCAATTAATCACCACACACTGGTTGGGGTCATGAAGGAAGTCTTCGATCCACGCAAGGACATTTCCCGGAATCCCATACCCTTCCAGTCTAATTCTCAGTCTTTCATGGGGTAAGTTGTCGAAAGCCTTAACAAAATCCATATATACATATATCATTGGTAGTATTACTATCATGTTCCAGAATTTGAGTCCAAACACCTAGCAACCAAAGTAATTGTGTCAAGCAGGAGCATCCAGGCATAAAAGCATGTTGGCATTCCTTTAGAGGGTTATTTCGAAGTACACTAGATGTTCCATCATGACATCTCTTAAAATGCTCTCTCGTACTTTACATACTACGCTGGTCAGGTTCACTGGCCTATAATTATTCATGGAGTGGCAATCGCCCAGTTTGAATATAGGACTCACATTAGCAGTTTTTCAGCACTGGGGACCTGTTGGTCAGCAAGCTCATTGCACAACTCTCTCAGCACTCTGGGATACACCATGTCAGTGCCAGGAATCTTATTAACCTTTAGCTGTGACAATTTATTTTTGATACTCTTCTGAGAAGACAATGTGTGTCAGCACGGTGTCAAACTGTCTTTCCTCAAATGCAGAAAGATTGTCAGGATCCTCTCTTGTAAACACTGAGGAAAATAATGTGTTTAATGTCTCTGCCTTGTTCTGATCTGAGTCTGCATAACTATTATCTTGAAGCCCCAGATCTGATACGCCCACATGTTTTTAATTTCGATTTTGCATAATGGTAGAAAGCCTTTGGTTTTGATTTGACCTCTCTTGCAATCTGGCTCTGGAACTCTTTTTCAGCCCTTCTGCACTCTGACTTTGCTTGGTTCCTGGACCTGGCATACATCCTCCTGTCCTGCTCATCATTTGTCGTAACCCACCCCTTGAACTTCTGAGATTTTTTCTTAACTTTGTCAACCGCTGCATGGTTCAGGTGTAACAGTCTCCTTGTATTCCTGGAGCCAGTAGGTTTGGTCTTGTGTATATATTTATCAATCAAATTGTTCACTTTACTGGCCATGATATTCAGCGTAATGTTTGTGTTCTTGTTTCTTAGTGACTTAGGCGAGTGAATATCCTTATCTCTTCCTGCATCCCATCGTAATTGCCCTTATAATATTTGAACCTTGGCCTAATTTTATCTAATTTTATCATGATGTTCCAACTTGGCCTCCATTACCCCCTTGTTAGTTATGATGAGGTCCAGCAGTTTGGATATTTGTTCCCCTTTGTATTGAGTTGGATCTTTAACATGTTGGAATAGAAAATTGTGTATCAGAGTTTCTACAAAATGAGTAGTAGGGTTATTAAAGTCATTTGGTGTGGTTTAATTTCTTCAGTCGATGTTACTACAGGTATAGTTAAAATCCCCCATGACAAGGAGGTGGCTATGGTCGAGTGCTGTTGCATTGTCAATTAGGGCTCTTAATTTCTTTTGGTTTAGTAATCTACAATTTGGGGATCTGTAGATACATCCAACAATACACAAGTCTCTTCCCTTTACTTTAATTTTACACCACTTCGATTCTTCAAAATCATCCTCCCCTGTACCCTCACCTGGCTGGCTCTAAGCTCTTGTCAAGTATATATAATCACATTCCTCTAAGAAGTTGCCTGACCTCAGGATGGATACATAGGTTAGATAGGTTCATTTTCTCTATGATAAATCATATACTGTAATGTATAAATGCCAGTCGATGTACATTCATGTTCAGAATGAAAAATACCGCTAAAACAAAATTCAAGAAAGTTTGAATAACTCCATTTGAATATTTGTTAAGCAAAAAACAAGTTTTTTCTAAAGAATATATATGTAAAGTTGCTGGGTCTTAGGAGTCAGTGTCCTAGAGTTCAGTATTATCCAAAAACTATAATGGTTTTGTAGCACACTTGAAAGATTATATGTGTATTTCCTGTACACACAAAAAAAAAATATATATATATATATTGTTATGGCTTTCTTGCATCCTCCTCTATCATTTAGTCAATTCTCACTTCACACTTTCTACCATAGCACTGTCAGCTGATGCAGCCTCCCCAGTGAGTCACACAGTGTAGTTCAGCTTGTCAAGTCAGTGTTAAATTACTGTGAATTTGTTGACTAGCTGGTTTACCATTTACAGTATCTTGAGCAACCAAGCTTGAATCACAATTGCTTCAGTCTGAATCATTAGCCTACTCAGTGAAGCTTTACATCACTGCAAGTGCGCAATCAAAATCTTCAAAGATCCTCCAAATCTTGGTACAGTGGCAGCCTTAACAGCTGGATGGTCTTGGATATCGATGGCTGTGCAAATGCTGCATGAATATTGTCAGACTTTGGTCTGATGCTGCAAATTGTGCTTTTATTTACCTGTGCTGTACCACATTTCAGCATGCCAATACTGATGGATTTACTTGGCATTTAAGTTCATATCAAATTTTAATTTTCTCTTCTAAATTAAATTTTTTCTTATTTTTCTCAACTGAACTGGAAGCAGCTGCTGAGTGTTTATATATCTTGGCAAGTGGTGCACATGGCAAACTCAAGGGAATTGTGATAGTCCATGACTTTGAACAAGCACTGAGTGATGCCATGATTGCAGCTGGGAAATTGTGCATGTATTGTAGTTGTATTAGGCAGTGGTTGATTTAAAATGTTAAAAGGTTGGCTTTCCTTGTGAAATAAAAAATCTCTTGTAATACATAAGAAAAGGTTAATTTAAGAAAGCCCCCCCCCAAAAAAAAAATTAAAAACATTATGAAATAAACTGAGGCTACTGTACAGTTAAAAAAAAAATAAGAAAACTTGAATGTTACTAAAGAAACATTGGATCATGAATTTACTTACTGCTGAATTTGGAGCAATAAGTTGTTTTTGCAGCTGAACAGCAGCTTCAATGTCACCCTCAACTGTAAGTTTGTGCAGCTGACACACAGCCTCACCAAGAACATTTGCTAGAGCACACACTCCACCAACACCACCTGAAGGTAAAAGGCAGTTTTAATTACAGTATATGCTTCATGGGAAGTTAGGGTATACAGGTATTATGCAGTTATGTATATTCTGTACTGAGGTCATGTTTGAAAATTACCTTTGTGCTAATTATCCCCTACTATACCAGCCAACTGATGACAATGTTCATTATATTATATATGACTACAAGCAGCTGGACCTTGATGATTTACACATAAATTCATTTTCTAGTTGGCCTAATCATAACGTGAACCCATGCAACCTACAGAGGACAAGTGCCAGCCACTACTGGTGTCACAGTCTATCTCATCCCCCATTCCAAAATATCCGTACCAATTTTCTGCGCTGTCTATCTCTTTTAAGATCTGACCAAGAGGAGAGCACATACCAGGAGGAGGAGAAACTAGACTGGTCTAATCACTCCCTGCTGGTTTACACGATCCCCCTGCCCCATACCAAGCTAATATTTCTTTATCAGAAATCACTTTCATCCAAATATTTTGTATATAATATTAGTTTCTTGTTGTGAAAGTGCATAAATGGGGAGTATCTAGACTGGGGGGATGGTTTTATTGAATCTTATGCATGCGCAGTAGTCAAAAGGATGTTTTGGACTGAGATAGCAGAGAGACTCTGACACTGGGTAATAAAGGAAGACACTCCCAGCATGCTGGCCTGGACTCAAGTGGGTAAAACTATTGTTAAGACATAAACAAGCTTTAGGGAACAACATCGGAAAAGAATAATACATTAGATCCTTGATATTCGTAGGGGTTAGATTCTTAAAGCCCCGTGAATGTAGAAATCTAAGGTCAATAGGAAAAGGGACTTAGGTTTCTGGTACGACAGAACATATGGGTAGGAATGGTAAATGTTTATGAACAATGACTACAATAAACACTGTACAGTACGGGTAAATAATAATAATCTATATTTAGTACAATATAACCTCTATACCGAACTTCTATACTGTATACTGAAATTCTCTATACAGTATGTACTGTATACCGAACTACTCTTCAGATTCCAGTAGTACCTTTCGATTCCAAATTTATTTGCTATACAGGAATACCCCAGTTATCGCAAGGGATGCATTCCTAGAAGTTATTGTGAATAACCAATTTGCAAGCATCAGGGAAATTTTCCCCATAAGAATTGATGTCCCAGCTCACAACTTTCACCATATATTTTTTTATATACTGTACTGTACAGTGTACCCCCTCATTATCTGAGGCTATTAGGGACCAGGGTCGCATGTATACTGTAGTACCAGTAAATGTGAGGAGTAAATAAAAATTATACTAAAAAAACAAGAAAATACCGCATTGTCAGTTGGTAATAGTTTTACTAGATGCAGAAGAGTTGGAGGGCTGAGATCTCCAACACTCCTCCCACAATCTGTGGGCTAACATGCACTTGAGAATTATTTATTCCCTTTATGCTTTTGAGTTTATGATAATCATTGTTTTTGTTTTTTTGCACACACTGTTTGAACGATTGCATATGCACGTAACAGTATTTTCTCGATTTAACAAACTAATTCAAGCCATCCCTTTCCGTTAAATTGAAATTTCCATTATTGTCGCTCGATTTAGCGAACTAGTTCATTAAATCGAGCGTTATTCCATTAAATTTTGCCGCTTGGCACGTGGGGTTTGTTTATCTGCTCAGTCTGTGTCCTACCGCCACTATGTGTATTGTTCACTGCTACCTCTCGGTCAACTAACTACCAGAGTTGTAAAAAGTACTGGACTTTGTTACTTGTATTGTTACTTAAATAGAAGTAAAAGTATCCTAATGTCAATGTACTCAAGAAGAAGTGAAAAAGTATCTCATTCTTAAAGTACTCAAGTACTGAAAGTGAAAAGTAACAACAAAATTATAATTTGTCTCAAATATTAAAATAAATTCACAGTAAATTAAAAACAAAATTAGTCAATTAATGATAAAAATAAAAGATACATAGCATTACACACCTTTATTTTCAAATCTTTCTATTAAGATTAATCAATAACTGATTCTCAAAATTATTGTTGTCCAATCAGGATCTTTTAGGCTCAAATATAAGCCCAGCATGACCTACCGAAAGAGAATATGTTCAGTCACTCTTCTCCCATCAATCTCTTTCTTCCTTATCCACACAAGTATCGTCAACGTGGACTTATGGTCCGCATACATAATGTTGTTTCTGCTCGCATTAGGTTAGGAGACCTATCTGCCATGTATCTGAGGTGGGGGATGACCCACACTTCTCTTCCTGTAAACTCTGTAACTGTCCCAATGCTAGCACCCTTCAACACTGTTGCCTTGACTGTCCCACAGTCAGGGACCTCCTACCACAGGGAGTCATTTATTCGTAATAAGTAAAATTTAAATTCTTGAACGCTACCCATGCTTTGGTGGGTGCAGGGCATAATTAATCTAATACCAATTTCTGTATTCAAAAAGCAATTAAATTGTCAAAGCAATGTATGTATCAAAATATTACTTCACTACTTGTTACACTGTCATCAAAAGATTTTGAGTAGTAAGGTCAATTTCCTTATCTAAGTACAACTGTCCTCGAAATACAATAAAAAACCCTGATTTATTTATTTAACATGGAAACTAAGATTTAAGAGTGAATAATCATTGCTTGGTATCAAAGAAAACCCTAACTGAAAAGTTCAAAAGTATTACAAATCTTTAAACAAAAAAGCAAGCGCCAACATATAAAAAGCCTTGCAAAATATGTATGATAAAAGCTCAGTCTCTAACCTAGTTGTAGTGATGCTAGAAGGAAGCTAGCAGATCCAGCAATCAATTGGAAATCTGTACCCTTTGTCTGATGTATTATACTACCAATTTTTGTGATCTGTAATATAAAAGTTATTTGTTACAAATCTTCATCAACTTTAATAGCTCTAACTTTTAAGGGATGATACAGCTGCATCATTTCATGAAGTTTTCTGTTCTTTTGCATCATCTGAGTTGCCTCTTAAGTGAGAAATATGAAACATCTGATCCACAAAGATTATACTCAGGAAAAAAAAAAAGTTTTCTGGGTGGTTATGGGGGGGCAAATACCTAGACTACCAAACCTCCAGGTAAGCTGCCATTTACTTTCATATATAAAAAAGATACAGTATATACACTATATTTCCCTCTTTTGTATATCTGAGAATTAAAAAAATACTTACATCTCCACCACTCTCCTTTATACCAATGATGTTTGGATGCTTAGCAAGATCAATTATCACATCAAGGCTTAAGTCAATCACTGAAAAAGAAAGCTTAAGTCAAAACCATAAATAAATAAACTTGAAGTTAATTCATTATAGATCTGGTTATGATATACTGTAGTATGAATAATTTATACTTTGCCATTTTCATATATATGATCATTGATCTAATTTCACTTTCATTGGCAATATTACAAGACTGATGTATGAGACATACTGTGCCAGAATTCTAGTAATCTTACTTTTTCTGAGACGACACAATGATATGTACCAAGTAACTTAAGGCTGGTTGCCTGGGTGCCAATTTAAAATGTGAAAATTCTTCATACAACAAAAAATAGCTCACTTAGCTGTGAATGTTGTTGTGTCTTATTATCCTCAACTCAAATGTAATGCAAAATCTTCGAAAGCTGCATTAGTGAGTCAAGCAGAAATTCATACTTCTGTGACTATAGTGATCCCTCAGTTAATGAGCGCCTCAGTTAACGAAATTTCGGTTAATGAATTACCTTCCATAAGATTCTTCACTTCGGTTAACGAGCAAACCCTCGATTAATGAATTCCTTACGAGAGCCCCTCAACATGTTTTCGCTTGCTCACTAGCTGTCATATTAGTCTGCTAATACAGTAATCGGTTCTAGGGCTTAAATTCCTTACCATTTTAGTAAATATCAAGAAGGTTGTACTATTCAATCATTTTAAAAATTTTATATTAAATTTTTTAGTCATTTTAACAATTATTGAACATAATTGAAGTTCAGGAAACTAGTTTTATGCGCGCCAAACAGCCACTCAACACACCAAGCTTGGCGTCAGTTTGTTTACCAGTTCAGAGGAAGGAACATCTTGTTTGAGACTGAACATAAATGCTTTTTTTTTCTGTTTCTAGTCAAATTATTGGTCATTTTGAAATATATTTTACATACCCTATTGATAATATATAGCACAGTGCAGTGTTGATTTAAAGAAAATAATCTTGAATTACACCAAATGAACTAAAATTTTATGGGTGAAATGGCAGCATGGGGTGACTTCTCTTCCACCTCAATGCCTTCTCTTCTCCCTTCTCCTCCACCCCCATTCTAATTCCCATCATCATCATCATCATCAACCAGGAGCCTTCTACATGCACACCTCAAAGTAATTGTACTTTATTGCATTTATTTTTCGTTTGTATGTAATTTTCGGTGAGCTGAAACCAATTACCCAAAAACCCATTGAAACAATGGTTTCGGTTAACAAAATTTTCGGTTAACCAACAACCTTCTGGAACAAATTGTGCTCGTTAACCGAGGGACCACTGTATAGTGAAATTTGAATCATCAAACAGAAGACAATATATGCATAAGCAGCCTGGAAAAAAAAAAACTGTTTTGCTATGTTTGTTATGTGTTAGGTACTCTGAGCTTATGGATCCTAAAGTTATAACTAGAGGTTCCCTGCACAGTCCATACTAAAATGCATACAAAGTTGGGAGACTTTGTTGATGGTGGACAAATCCCATGGGTGGACTACCTTCAAGCTATAAGGGTGGGGTAAAACACTAGCTGTTGAACTTTGAGTCTGGGATTGGTATCTGATGAGTCACCCTAAATCAAACCAGGAAAAAGGTAACTAGAGTAAAAAGAGAAACGTTAGCTTGAGTGGAGATATGAGTGGATGAAATGGGTGTTTTAGGCAAGTGGGGAGTGCCTATGTAATAACTAATGGCACTCTGAATGAGAAACTGAATCAAAGAAAAAATGAAGGGAAGAAATACAGGCATCCCTCGAGATACAAATGTTGTAGATACGAAAATTCGCTTATATGAATTTCCTAAATTGACACCACTTTTAGGAGATACTAAAAGCTTCCCCCCACTTTTATAAATTTGGGTCTGGGCAAAAATTCAAATCATGGGCTAAGAGTCAGCTAGCACAGCCAATTTGGGGAGAGATACACAGAGTAAGGCCTGTACAGTACACAGTCCACCAGTGCTCACCCCCTTGTGGTGGTGAGCCCAGACTGCCCTCCCATAAGGTAATGTACCAAAGTTTACAGTATTTATTTTTTTTCATGTGTTAGATAGTAAGTGTGCAGATTGTGGGAGAGACAGAGCGGGTGGTGGGCGGTGAGGTGTCGGGCCCTGTGAGTTGCCTTTATGTTATTTTTTACTTGTATTTTCTGGTAGATAAAATTTTTTTTTTTACTGTTATATGCACACACAATCTTCATACAGAAAGTTAAAAAATAAAATACAATAACAATCATACAGTCAAAAACATAAAGGAATTAAACATTATGTGCTCGTGTTCCCTCACCCTAAATCACTGCTCCTGCTAAATGGCAATACAGTACATAATTTTTCTTTTATTTATTATTATTATTATTTATTCCTCACATTTACTGGTACAATATATATTATTCTGTGTACAGTACAAAGGATAAGTTCTTCCACATGCATACTTCCTACGCATTCAGCTTGTGACACAGTTCAGGCAGTCACCCAGCTGACACACAGATGTGGTTGCCACCACGGTGGGTGTGTATGGTGTGACGTCCCGTCAGGTGGGAGCTCAGCCACACAGTTGTAATCCACCGCCTCATAACACATTTATTTCCCACATATGCTCTTCATTTTTCTTATTCTATAGCTTTATATTATATTTTCCATATTTCTAAGCCACATTAGAGTACTGTAATGATTTTTCGAGAACTTTTGCAGTTTCATTACAAGTAACAATAAATGTGGCGGTTAGGCTGGTCACCCGGAGACATAGTTATAGCCCACGACTACACACACGTTCACTTCTTACACATACACACCCATACTCGTCATTTTATTTATATTATAGTTTAATATTATACTTATTTTGAAGCAACATCATTTAAATAGTGGAATCAAGTTGAAGAAGTCCGTTTTTCTGAGACAAGTGCTAAGAGTCAGCTGGTGTGGCCACCTTGGAGAGAGAGTGCAGACTCATCTGCCTCCCATAATGTAATGTACCAAAGTTAAATAGTACTGTATTTTATTTTCACTTTTTTTTCTTATGTTAGGTGTAAATTAGAGTATAGTTGTGTACTATTTATCACTAGGTAGGTAGTTTTTGTTCCTGAAACAGAACCTATTTTGTGTTTTTGGGTTATGATATTGGGTCATTTTTGTCATTAGGGAACTGAACCCTATTTTTCCCATAAGATTATCGTGATACATAAATTTACCTAAAAAATGTGTATCTCAAATACAAAAAATTTACTGTCAATTCAAATGTACAGTCTTTTTATATCAATTAGCAATTTAATAGCAAGGTAAAACTAGCAATAAATACAGTGGTTGTAAGCTCCCACTGGGTATTGGTGAACTAGAAAGATTAAACATTAAAGGACAGGTACATTTACGTGCACTGTCCACCCAGGATGGGGTATATTTTGCTACATAGAAAACGGAGCAAATTGCGTAAGATAGAGTTGTTCAAATACATGTAGAATGCATCCTAATTAGATATTTAAATTTTTTACACCATTAGAAAGCTGAATCTTTTTCTTACAAATTCATATTAATTTTAGTCAATAAATAAGAGTAATAATAATTTCTTAGAAAACTCACAAGTTGAACTGGAAGTACTGTAATATACATGTTTTTACGGCTAAACATCATGTGATATCCGCCGCCCTTTAAGGGTTAATAAAAAAAAAAAAAAACTGCAAAAAGCATAACTTTACTAGGTCAACACGACTCAAAGGTGGGTTGCAGCCTATGGTTTGAGAACGTCTGGGCAAAAGGAATGGAAAATGAAGATTGATAAAAAGGTACTGTTAAAAAATGGATGGTAATAGAGAAAGGGAAAGATTGAAGAGGCGATGGAAGAATGGGATGAGGGATGGACATCCACAAACCAGTGGTATGTATGGTGAAAATTTGTGGAAATCCTGGCAATATTTAGTTTTTTGGGACAGGTGATCCTGGGAGGGAAACATTATAACAAACTTCATTTTACCTTAGTAAAAGAGTGAATGACAGTGAATGAATTATGTGTGTGTGTGTGTGAGCATGGGAATGCATCATGAACTAAAATTCAGAAAATTTGACATAAGTTTTAACATAACTTTCAATATACTACAGTAATTGTTCCACTAGTGTTTGAGGCTATTTGTTGAATTTCACTCACACAACTAAAAATGACTTTTCACTACCATTAATTAATTACCGGTATGTGATTTCCCTCAAACAGCAATTCAGTCAAACATTAAATCAAACTTAGAAGACAGAGTTCAGTAATAATGTAATAATAATTATAATAAAAAACCCACTTAAGACAGCACTACTGTACAACCTGTTATTATATACCTGTAAAAGCAGGAACACTGTAGAGAATGAGAGGAACAGGGCAGTTGTCAGCTACAGCAGTAAAGTGCGCGTGGAGTGCCTTGTCCTGGGGTGACAGATATACCACAACTATCATATATGAAGAGTCCAATGATAACACAGTTAATGTCACATTAGTAAGTTATATGTGCTAATCAGTGTCTTAACACCCACAATGTTAAGATGAAGTGATGAATGAAATGTCAAATGTCACGTCATTTGAGTTCAGGTAAAGCAAATAAAATGTTACGGAGAAAACAAATTAAATGCTATACAGCCACATTGTACTGTATGTTATTACTGTACTACCCTGTACTGTATATACTTTTATTTATGAATGATAATACCTGTACAGAACATTATAACATACATAACTCATCTAAATTACGATAAAAAAGTAGAAATGTGTTACAGCATAATTATGTGGCACCAATCAACTAAATGAGCTATTGTCTGTGTGAGGTCTTCACCAAATGACAACATGCCATGCAGGAGAGGGAAAATTGAGGTGCACTCCCAGTTTAAGGTGTTTTTTTTGACAGACCTTGATGGATATCATACACTGCATTTATTATTTCTGGATTGTATTGATAACTCATTTGACTGTGGTCAAACAGCAAACCAAAAGGGCTCACCAAGAAAAAAAGCTGTAACCCTTTTAGCAGTGAGTAAGATTTCCTGTAGTGACCAAATTACTGAATTCTCAAAAAACAGTAAAAAGAATTTTTGTCTTTAAATGTTGTAAATGTCCATCTATACTGTAATTCATAACAGCAATCAATCATCAGAATTTTTTTAAAACAGCTCAAAGCTAAGTGATGCCGAGTTTCAAAATTTCCCTCACTTCCAGAAACATCCATTACTGTACAGGCATACTGTATATAAAACAAAAACCAGAAACAAATAAAATGCAGAACTGTGAGTCAGCTCTAGCTAAAAACTGAGAAATTTTTGCAGAAGAGAGGATGGTACAACCTTCATCCTTCTTATCTTGATGTACAATCCACGCCACTCATAAGCAATACAGATTGGTGGCCTTAAAATTCCTAATCGGCAACATTGCTGTGTCCACCCCTACGTGAGAAACACACAAACCTGGCAAATAATTGGTGGTCAGCCAAGGTGTCAAGTCGATTTTTACCCTTGAACATGTTAACACACAGAGGTCCAGGGTTCGATTCTCGACAAGAGAGGTATTGTTTGTATATGCAAGTCCGTGTGCTATATGGACTGCTGAGATATATATGTAGCCTCGTGTTTCCTAGCTGGATTCGGTAAAATGCTACTATGACCACATAGTAGGCACGGGCAATCTCCGATGGAGGTTCACGTTGCTTAAAAAAGACGAATGAACAGGCTTTGTGTGAAATAAAACAAAGCTTAGGATTGCTTTTGTTGTCCTTGTGGTGCGGTGGTAGCGTTCCCTGTTCACACGCAGAGGTCCAGGGTTCGATTCCCAACTGGTGAGGTATTGTTTGAATGTGGAAGTCCACATGCTATATGGACGGATGAATACTTAAGTAATTTGAGTTATATTCTATCTTGTGTGTATATATATATATATATATATATATATATATATATATATATATATATATATATATATATATATATATATATATATATATATATATATATATATATATATATATATATATATATATATATATATATATATATATATATATATATATATATATATATATATATATATATATATACAAGATAAAATATAACTCAAATTACTTTAGTAGTCACAGTTTTTAAAGGGGGAAAAGTTTGAATGCATACACATACAACTACTAAGTTTGTATTGGTACTCCCCAATGGGCGGAGGTGGTAAAGCGAGTGTGTGGTGGGTAGTGAAGTGGAGGAGGCGGATGGCAGGATGGGAGGAGGAGGGTGGGAGCGGAAGAGGGGGGTGGGAGCGGAGGAGGGCGGGAAAGGAGGAGGGTGGTGAGTCACTGAGAATCTACGCCGAGCCGAGAGAGCGTAGCGGGGCCAGACGAGAGGGGATGATGCGCCGTAGATAGTTCTGTAGTACCGAAACGCTTAGCGGGACGACGTTAAGCACGGACTTACTGTATTGTAATTTATTTACTGTAATTTCAACAGAGCATTGATCATTATCATGGTCTATCTCCTCTTCTATTGTAAGGTTTAGGAGAATTCAAAATTAACAGCATTTACAGGAACGAATGAGGCCACTTTCAGTTAACAGGTAGAACTAAGTACAATAGACCCTTACCAAACGCGGATTTCCCATCTGCGGAATCCATGTATCCACGATTTTCCCTCTGTAAACCATTTCACGAAGGTATGCGGGATTTAAAAAAGTAATTCAATATATACTGTATTAAAATTAACCACTTTACAGGTTGGAAACATAACTTTATGGGCATGTGTTGTTTCAGCGCCACACTTGGATATGGCCATGGGTGTGGGTGAACAATATTCTTGCCAAAAATTCCTCCTTATCGACAAAATGTGGAGCGAAGGCGAACCTCGAGGTACGGTGGGTGTCTGTCAACCTCTTTGTCAAGGCTCATTGGTGGAATATCCAGTGTAAATAAGCAGTGGCCTGTTTTGATACTCAAATAACATGTTATACAGTGTAGTCTATCATGTCCATAGTTAAAACAAATGCATGGGTATGCTTTAGACACAGAAAGAAAATATATTTTTTAATTTTGTTATCCACGTTAATGCATTCATGGGCAAGTGTTGACTTTACACCTAGGCTGACCAATGATTAATTGCCTGGTTTGTGCATTTCCTGAGGTGGTGATGGGGGTGGAGGGAAGGAGCCAGAGAAGTTGCCAGTTAGGAATTTCGAGGCTACCAGTCTGTGTGGCATATAGTGGTGTGGACAGTACATAAAAAAATTAAAGTAAATTCACTTCAAAAAACAAGGCAATCTGTAAGACCATTAGAAATTTGTTAAAAAGGGTTTAAGTTAATGCCTCAAAGGTCTGAGAAATGTTATTTAGAGACTCACATATCTGCATGGGAACACCATAAATGGATGTAATTGTATATATTTTTTTTTTTTTATTGGACTAGTAACAAAAATAAATTTGATAAAGGAAAATTCTTTTTACATTTCTATAGATGAGTATTACCTTCATGGCTCCTTTATAGTAGCTTGGAGTGACCACCATAACTGCATCAGCACCAGCATCAGCCATCTTTTGAGACATGTTGATTGTGTCTCGTGTTGCTGAAGAATAACTTTTTTCAGTAAATGATTTTCAACATGACTAAATTTATAATGAAAAACAGTTTTGAAAAAGAAAAAAAATCAGCTATACACTGGTGCATTAATCACAAACAGTGCTATGTAATCATACATTTTGCACAAAATAAGCCTTCTATTATAAAATGCAAAGCAAAGTGATACTCATTATTCTCCCTCTGATTCTGCAACATCCCAATATATTTGGTAGGAATGCTGAAGTATGCTTTAGCACACCCTGATTTCCATATTTACTTATCTTACATTTACAAATACTGTATTGTAGTTCTTCTTTACATGTGAAACTTTAAATTAAATTTTTGCCCTGGTATGCTGATATGATAAAAACATATTTAAAAATTCCCAAACATTAACAATTATGGTCATAAGTACTATTATCATTGCCCTAGCATGAAGTAAAAGAGTCAGTAAGGTGCTACACATTGCACAACAGAGTATCTAGGATATCAAAATTAATATTCAGCATCCCCTGGTGGCCCTCCTTTGGACATTTTCAAGCAACTGACAGTCTGTAGCATATCTTGGGGACCAGACGGGGTGACAGGACAGTTCTCCAAATAGAGAAGCACTTTACTCTTGAAGAACGTTATGAGGGACAGACCACCTAGACATCTGAACGACCTTCTTACGAGATCTAATAATTTAGTTGCTTGATCACCTTCTACTCACAAAGGTCCGAGAACTTCAGTTCGTTGTCTACATACACACCCAGGTCCTTTTCACATTTGGTCTCTGTTAATGTTGTTTCTTCGTCCCGTTGGAACATGTCAATGTCATACACCTCTTTACTATTGGTACAAAACCCGAACAAGAACATTTTTATTCTTCTACCGACTAGCTTTATTCTTGAGGAAAAAAAATCCTTCTACAGATATTTTTTTATCAAATACTGTAGCTGGTTAACCCAGACCATTGTTCTTAAATATTACCAATAAGTAAATTGGAAAAAATAAAAGGAAAAGTAAGTGTAGAAAGTGAAAGAAGTATAAGTGACGATACATCTCTTATTAATTTAGAGGCTGCAACCACTAAGACATATGTGATAAATGAAAAGATACACCAGGAGAAAGAAATTTTATCCCATCTTTTGATGATCGTGCTTATGAGGTCAAGTGGAATAATGTGACTTAACTTTTGTGTGTGTGTGTGTGTGTGTGTGTGTGTAGATATTAACGAAATAACTTCATTACTATGCAGCTCTGCTAATGATCATTTCAATAATCTAATTAGACAAGAATTATAATTATTACTTCTGAGTGATGTACAATATTCAAAGATAGTACAGCTACTCCTTGACTTACGACATACTCGACCTACGACCACCCGGACATACGACCGCCTCAGTCGTCCCAAAATTTTGTCAAATTACGTACTTTCGAGTCCCAACGTTAGTGATTGCACTGTGTACTAACAAAATTTTCGTTTGTAATTCACTTTAAATGGCTGGCAAGCTTAAAAGTGAGAGTTTTGTGGTGCTGAGAAGAAAAAGAGACACCCATTTTAGATTTTCCATGTATTATTTAAGCATTTTCGACTTACGACCAATTCGACTTACGACCTGGATTTGGGTCCCTAACCCCGTCGTAAGTCGAGGAGCAGCTGTAATGATCACTTTAGCAAAGTAATTAACACATTACTGACACTCACATTCACATCCTGAGCCTGCCAATACCAGCTTCCCTGAATCATGAGGGAGAAACTCTCGGACGCGCTTCACCAGGTCAACCCGCTCTTCAGAGGTGAGGTACACATATTCTCCATTACTCCCCTCCACTACCAAGCCTGAAGGAAAAAGATACATTAGCTTCAACAAGTTTAACCTCTACTTTTATAAAAAAAAAAAGTGAGTTTTGTTTTGAACATAATAAATAAAACAGGCAATTTCCGGCAGAAATCAAGGTCAGAACCAATCAAAACACACAAAAATACAATAGACAAACATAGTTTTGACTTTCTAACAGAGTTGTGTGAACTACTATAAATTTAGTACACAAAATATGGCAACCCCACTCTTACAGCTGTTTGGGATGGAGCAGTAAATCTCGAAAGGTGCAGTACACCTTCAACGGAGCTAACTACTTGATTAGGTCAATTTATAGTATTACACGGGTCTTTCTTTTAATAATAGAAATAGGTTTTCCTATGTATTTTCAGGAGTTTCAAACGAATTTGATATTCATTTCCACCGGAAATCACGTGTTTTTTTATACCCCCCCCAACAATCATAACAGAAAAATTTTGATTTTTTTCAGAATAAATAACAAATTACATTAGTATTATTTTCTTGTAGCTCCGTTCATTCCTACCACTAATCTATTATCATATTCGAATAAGACGTCTAATTATAAGATAATTTTCATCTATTACATTACCGGCGGAAATGTATAATAACAGAGATAGCTCTTCCAAATAAATTTATATGTTCTTCCATTATTTCCCACCATTATTGCCTGCCTCTCACCTAACACTGCGTGTCTCTCGCGTCTCCTTCATAAATCATGACGCGCATACGTACCCGTACACGTCAAGCGGCCAATCAAAAGCGTTTTTGCTAATTCAGAGTATATTTGGCACAATCAAAATCAAGTTTTATTTTGGGTCTCTCATATTTGAAATTCAAGTTCAGTTCCGACCATGGAAGTCTGCGATGGATGTCACTTAAAGTATATGGAGCTGATTGCGAGTTTTTGGAAGAAAAAAAAACGTAGAAACTATAGCATTTTTTCGATCGCATGGTGTTCTTCCAACCTCAGTAAAGTGTACTAAGAGCAAGACGGAATGTAAATATCGCAAAGACCAACATATGTGACGTTGTGTAAGAATCCCAGAATGCAACGACGAACAAGAACCAGGCCAATAAGGTAAGAAATAGGTGATTCCATCATATGGTGAGAGTCAGGTTAGGTTATTGTTTTTCTAGTGTTTTATTGTGTATTTGTTAGTCGCTTAGGCACTTTTTTTCTCGGAAAACGTCAAACAAACAAAAATCGCTAAAAAACCCAGCTAATTTACACCAAAAAGGAAGGTCATATTCGGTCTCAGCACACACAAATACGCTAGAAAAATATATTTTTAACTTGCTATAAGTGAACGGAGCTACAAGAAAAATTTACCATTATATTACCAACCAACCAAGAAAACCAAACCTAACTTAACCTAACCCGTTGTTCATGCCCCAGAGGCTTAAAGAGCGAGGGCGGAGACCTGGAGCGACGTGTGAGCAGGAGGTCAGACCACCTCCGCCATAAGTAAACAAATCATGGCGACACTTTTGAGTGAGCGAAAGTAATAATCTTTCAAAATGAATATCTCAGTTATCCTTAATTTCCGGTGGAAATATCATAGAAGAAAAATGTCGTAGAATTGTGTAACCATTTTGGGATACATATTTTTAATATGGAAATAAAGACCGGTGTGATACTATAAATTCACCCTTGATTATAACTAATCATCTTGCTCTTACCTCTAAATGGAATCTTGCTCCACAAATCAACATTGAAGGCTAACTTGTCATAAGCTATTGTCTCGTCCTGGTTGAAGGGTGTTGGCATGGGTGGATACACTCCTCCAAGGTCCAGTTGTGCTGCTGACGCTCGACATGGTGACAGTGATAGTGGGCGTAGCTGGAACGCCCGTGAGGCCGTCCACTTCAAAAATCTACTGACTACACTCTTCCCTAGCAGTGCCATGTTGCAACTACTGGTGACGGTGCCAGTGCCAGCACATCACCACACTGTTCAACACTTGAGCTCATTAAGGCAGACCGCCCAACAACACAATTTTTACCCTAGGATGAATATCGACTTAGATTATTATTTTTATGATTATGTAGCCAAGATTATCCTGATTTTTTCATTTTATTATCAGGCTAAGGTAATAAATTTTCATTTTGTTTATTTTTTATATCGTAATTTGCTGACTTGCTAAGAGAAGCAAAATTTTTTTATATAAAAAGTAAGTTCTTGTGGCATATCTAAACGTCATTTATACTTACTTTTTTCTTTTATCCTCTAAGATAAGATAAAGCTTCACGGGTTTATCATTAGTTAAATTGCTATAATAGCTCCCATTTATATAACTTACTTGCGTCATCTTAGGAAAAATAAAGTATTACACCAGTGGCCAGTTGGTTGTTAAACACATGTCGCTAATGGCTGTGGACATATTTCACAACCTTTCTAAATTCTTTCCAAGTATAGTATAAATATCTATCCTTGTACAGATAAAAAAGTATATGGGTCACTAAAGCATCATCAATAGTAGCAGTTATAATGACTGTGTGGTGCCTTATATCATAATCTTTAGTGTTCATAATATCGTGTTGGCAACTTTATAATGCACTTGTTATCACAATAATAAGTCAGGCAAAAAACTTAAATGTAACCAAGGCCTGCGTCTTTTACTTGGATTATTATGTTTTCTTTGAACTAGGGAACTTTAATTTCCATTCATTAAGGATTCATGGTAAATGTCAGGAACAAAGGTACCAATGAATATTATATTCCTTGAATGACATTGTGGGGTTCAGGGTGTTTGGTTCACACTCAGGATGGGATGGAGAAAGGAAACTCACAATGTGCTCACTGTATACATATTGTATTGGATGTACAATGCAGCTTGGTGCTGGGAAGGCAGCATGGTTACAAGCGTTGAGTAGAGAGAGCTGGTTGGTGAGGATGCCCAGAGTGAGGGTGTAGTGGATTTCTCCCCTACAAACGCTGTTTGTCGCTGAGTAGCCGACCCCACGAATTCCCCAGTGTGTGCCTCATGGTCTAGGTCAACCAGCGCCGCCATACATCACGGAGGTCAACTACTAAGCCACGCCTACCCCACGCTATTTAAGACCTGACCTCGTGGTGACTGTCTCTTTCTACCTACACCAACCAGCCAGCAACACCTCCTCCGCCTGCCTGGCGGCCCTCGCTCCCGCCGGCGAGCATGGCGACCCACAAGCTGGTCCTCCTCTGAGCATCCTCACCAACCAGCTCTCTCTACATCACGCTTGTAACCATGCTGCCTTCCCAGCACCAAGCTGCATTGTACATCCAATACAACATGTATATAGAGAGCACATTGTGAGTTTCCTTTCTCCATTCCATCTTGAGTGAGAACACCAAACAACCCTGTTCCCCACAAATGGTGACTCCCGGAGATTGGCACTCACACAGGATGGAGGAGAAACTGATCACGCTCCCAGTCTTCAAGCAACATGGAAGACTGGCTTATCCACACAGAAGCAGCTCTCATCGGCTCTACAACTACTGTCTCTACACCGCAGGTTAGACACCCTAGAGCAGCACTGCTTCTCTAAGCAGACACCAGCTCCTCTTCCTGCCCCAAGCACCACGTCCTACCGACCCCAGCACACCGGTCCTGCCTCAGACGCCGCCCCCGGCCCAGCAGTAACCCCTGCCGCCCCTGATGCGGCCTCTGCTCCTGACGCTGACCAACACACCCGTCCTGCCTCAGACGCCGATCCCGGCCCAGCAGTACCCCCTGTCGCTTCTCCTGACGCGGCCCCTGTTCCTGAGTGCGGACCCACACACCCCTCTTTTCTCCCTCAGGTACTCCCTGCTAATGTCCTGCATCCTGCTGCTGTCGTGGACCCAGCTGCTGTCACGAGCCCTCATCCGCTTCTGCTGACGCAGCCCCTGCTCCTGACTCAGGCCCATACACCCCAGCAGGTGCATCTGACGACTCTGTACCTGCCGTGAGGGAAGCACAACATTCATCGCCTCCACATACCCTTTTTCTCCCTCTCTACTCCCACAGATATTGTGTATCTAGACAGTTGTCTCCAGCGACCAGCTCATCCACGCCATCGCCGTTGTCTCACATGAGGCATGCACCGCCCGTTCTGCCTCACATGTGCTATGCAACCCTGCAGACAACAAGTCTCCTACACCACCTAGAGGGAAGGGGGAGTATTGTAGTGGATTTCTCCCCTACAAACGCTGTTTGTCGCTGCGTAGCCGACCCCACGAATTCCACAGTGTATGCCTCGTGGTCTAGGTCAACCAGCGCCGCCATACATCACAGAGCGGGGGTCAACTACTAAGCCACGCCTACCCCCCGCTATTTAAGACCTGACCTCGTGGTGACCTGTCTCTTTCTACCTACACCAACCAGCCAGCAACACCTCCTCCTCCTCCGCCGCTGCCTGGCGGCCCTCGCTCCCGCCGGCGAGCATGGCGACCCACAAGCTGGTCCTCCTCTGAGCATCCTCACCAACCAGCCCTCTCTACATCACGCTTGTAACCATGCTGCCTTCCCAGTACCAAGCTGCATTGTACAATGTACATCCAATACAACATGTATATAGAGAGCACATTGTGAGTTTCCTTTCTCCATTCCATCCTGAGTGTGAATCAAACAACCTGTTCCCCACAGGACATTATATTTACGTTACTAGGACATCATATTACGTTACTAGACACTGATTCTCGGACACGAACATGAAATGAATACACTTCCCACGTAAGTAACTCATCCCATGGAAAACTGACAAAAACTCACGTGACCTGGGGGAGGCCTAGCAGGTGGTCCTGGGTTGTCTCTATGGGAGACTGCTTAGCTGGGCACTGGAGGGAAGTCGGGGAGGGAAGTCTTGCGTGACTCTCCTCCCGTGAGCGGGACTGGGCTGTGGTGGACCTCCTCCTCCGAATCCTGTGTGTCTCTCTCTCCCCGACTCTGTCTCTCTGACTCCCTCTCGCTGCTCCCCTGAGGGAGGGCTACGAGCGGGACTGGGGACGTAGTTGCTGGCCCTTCTTGGTTACAAGACACACTCTCGTGAGGGAGGACTAGGACGTCCTATATATTGGAAGATCAGCCGTCAGGTTGAGCTGATCGGGGGCGGCGGCGAAGGGTCTCCTTACATTTGCCCTCGCTAATGTAGGGTCAGGTCTGGACTTTTTCTGAGACTATAAGTTGTATATTCTGGAGAAATCTTCAGATGAATGCTTGCCTGTTAACATCGTTGGTGGGGCCGTGTGACATGAGAGGCTCTGGTTGATTTGTGGCCCCTTGACTTGGGCTCGAGGGTTACATTTTACCTGGCTAATGTGAGGTTAGGTCTGGGCCTTGTCTGAGATGTACTGTAGTTGTGTATATTGGGAGAGAGTCGGCAGGTGGTTTCTTACTTGTTTGTTGGGGCCGTGTGACATGGGAAGGGGAGCTAGTTGATTTGTAACTCCTTGAGTGGCCGCGAGGGTTACCCTTACATTTGACCCCCCTAATGTTGGGTCAGGTCTGGACTGTTTCTGAGATGTAAGCTGTGGTCTGACAACCCATCACTACACAAGCAACAACTCCTCCTCCGCCTGCCTGGCGGTCCTCGCTCCCGCCGGAGAGCATGGCGACCCACAAGCTGGTCCTCCTCTGAGCATCCTCACCAACCAGCTCTCTTCTTCTAGCTACAGCCGCAGCAACCTACACCACCTCCTCCGCCGCTGCCTGGCGGCTCTCGCTCCCGCCGGCGAGCATGGCGACCCACAAGCTGTCCTCCTCTGAGCATCCTCACCAACCAGCTCTCTCTACATCACGCTTGTAACCACACTGTCTTCCCAGCACCAAGCTGCATTGTACATCCAATACAACATGTATACAGAGAGCACATTGTGAGTTTCCTTTCTCCATCCCATTCTGAGTCCGAACAAACCCCACCATTCCCCACAAGGGCATGTGGCTTGAGGGACGCCAATGTCGCTGGCGGGAGCAGCAGCCGCACGGCTGGCGCGGAGGAGGAGGTGTTGCTTGCTGGTGGCACTGGGTAGAAAAGAGGCTGGCCACAGCGGTGTCAGGTCTTATAAGCCAGGGGTAGGCGTGGGTTGATAGTTGACCCCCGCTCCGTGGGCGGCGCTGGAGGCGTAGGCTGGGGAATTCGAGAAGGTTCGGTGCTTGTAGGGGAGGAATCCACTACAATACTCCCCTTCCTCTCCGGGCGTGGCGGGAGGCTGGAGGTTGGCAGGGTTGCGTGCCACATGTGAGGCAGAACGGGCGGTGCATGCCGCATGTGGGACACGAAGGCGTGGATGAGCCGGCCGCTAGGGGGGACAGCTCTGTCTAGATACACGAGATCTGTGGGAGAAAAGAGGGGGAAGGAGGGTTGTGGAGGCGATGAATGTTGTGCTTCCCTCGCGACAGGTACAGAGTCCTCAGATGCGCCTGCTGGGGTGTGTGGGCCTGGGTCAGGAGCAGGGGCTGCGTCAGCAGGAAGAGGGTCCATGACAGCAGCAGGGTGTATGACAGCAGCAGGGTCCACGATAGCAGCACGGTGCAGGACAGTAGCAGGGGGTACCTGAGGGAGATAAAAGGGGTGTGTGGGTCCGCGTCCGGAGCAGGGGCCGCATCCGGAGCAGGGGCCGCGTCAGGAGGAGCGGCAGGGGGTACTGCTGGGCCGGGGACGGCGTCTGAGGCAGGACAGGTGTGTTGGGGTCGGTAGGACGTGGTGCTTGGGGCAGGAAGAGGAGCGGCTGTCTGCTTAGAGTAGCAGAGCTGCTCTAGCGTGTCGAACCTGTGGTGTAGAGACAGTATTTGTAGAGCCGATTAGAGCTGCCTCTGCGTGGATAAGCCAGTCTTCCATGTTGCTTGAAGACTGGGAGAGTGATCAGTTTCTCCTCCATCCTGTGTGAGTGCGACTCTCCGGGGGTCATCATTTGTGGGGTTATGAGATATTGGTTCACACTCAGGATGGGATGGAGAAAGGAAACTCACAATGTGCTCACTGTATACATATTGTATTGGATGTACAATGCTGCTTGTTGCTGGGTAAGTAGCA